CCAATCCAAACGTACCCAATTGTATCCAATTATATAAAAGTATCATTCAACACTAAAAAGTGTCAGTTTCATCCCCCTTCAGAAAACCCTCTTGGGTTTCACGAACGCATCACCATATATAATTTATTAAGGCATTTCATTTCCTTCAAGGGGTAAATAGGGTTGTCACAACCACATTAGGAACTTAAGGTTTAAAAGTTTTAAAATGTATCAGTAAAAAAGCTAATTAATGAAAACAACAAGAAACATGTATAAAAATTTATAGATACTTAAATTACAAACTAATAATTTTTTATCATTTAAATATATAAGTATGTTTATCAGCAGTCTGGTTACCATAGTACAGGCTCTGCCTAGTTTGGGATCAGACGGCCGTGTGTGAGATGTGTGAGATATATTATTATTATTTACCATGTGTGGGCGACACACACAATTAAGACGAATCTCCTCGTACATCCCAAGCTAAAAAGCCAAAGCATCAAGCCGTTAGACTACAGAGAGTGCCAAAGAGACCCTCCTTCTGACGCAGAAGGGTAAAAATCTTCTCTTCTTACCCTTTACTAAAAATTTATTCGCGGTTGTAGTAATATTTTTTCTTCTTTAGTTTTATTCGTCTTTGGTTCTCTTTATTCTATCGTTCGACAGTTTACGGCTTACTCTCTTTCTTAACATATTATTGTCCTCTTTGATGAAGTCCATCCATCCTTACTCATATTATAAATGCGAAGTGTGTCTGTTTGTCTTTTTAAGCTTAAACCGCTGAACCGATTTAGATAAAATTTAGTATAGGAATAGTTCGAGCCCCGGGAAAGGACTTAGGATAGTTTTGATTACAGAAGTCATCCCTTAAGAGGGTGAAAAGGGGAGTGTAAGTTTGTATAAGAAATCAATAAACGTTGAAACGATTTAGATGAAATAAAGTATGGAGATTGTTCGATTTTTGAGGAAAGACATAGACGCGGATGGCACCGCGGGCAAAAGCTAGTCTTTACTCTTCTATTCGTCAATTGCCATATATAAAACTGTGTTCAGATTTTAGAATAATATGGTGGAACCCCAAAATCGATATAAGAGGCATGCATTGGGAGAGGCCTATGTCCAGCAGTGAACTGCGATGGCTGATGATGCTGATAGTGGCAGGCTTGTTGTATTTATCATATTTATTAATACATACAAACATGTCAGAGCATTCATCAAATTAATGTGTTTTAAGGTTACAGTATTAAAATAAATATAGTAGGAATAATTATTTTATTGTAAAACACTTAATTTCATGAAAATTTTAAATATTTTATTTTTACCTCAAAAGAATGTTAGTGGCCCTGTGTTAAACAGTAAAAAAATTGTACAAAATTGATAACGATAACGATTACTTTTGTTTATGTTATAACTTATGTATAGAGAAAAATATAATATCTTTTATTTTTTCATCTTTTTAGAAAAATATTACTAGAAACAAAAAAAGATGTTTGTGTTATAAAAAACGATTATAAAAGGAAATAGTTAAGTGACAGCCCTAAGAATATGGCTTACCAGTAATAGGTACAAGATAGGGACCAAAATACCAAAGTAATTGTATCAATCAAGCTAATTTGCATTTCTTGTATTTTTACAGAAAATAAAAGAAAATATCTTTTTACACAAGTAACGTGGCAAAACAAAAGTCAGTAAAACATATTATATTATAAAATATTTTGGAAAGCACCCCACGCTTTTTTTACGTGTTTTTTTTTTTTGTATATCTAGTAAATTATTTTCTACTTTTTAGTTCAGCCCACTTGTTAAAACATCCTTTTGTAACTGCAAAAGGGTGTTTTTTGTTTTTTTTTTAAACTATCATTTATTTATAGTGGGCAAAGATAGGGGGCAAAGAAGAAGACGGTTGTGATTGCAAGTTAAAACTATATCACTGTCTAACACTAACATTTTCAATGTATGACACCTGTTTACTACCTTGGTAATTTCATAATTTGCCTCTATTAGTAGTATAAACAAAACCTTTTTACTATTGAGGTCGTCCGCTCTGGCTAGAAAACATACACAAAGAGACACTTTCAGTTCTACATTTGTCTATAGCCCTCCAGTGACAATAGAACGGCCGCCATTTGCAAAAGTTTGGCGGGCTTTTTACACAAAGATGGCCGTTTCAAACTTTTATTTTAGTAACAATTACGTGACAAATGAGTTAGTGGTATTAATAGACGTTACTATAAATTATTTTGGTTTGTTAATCAATTATAACAGAAATTAATATTATATTAATCAAAAACAAAATTCGCGAACGGAATTTGAAATTTAAAATTTAAATTAAAGTTCATTAGTTGTCGAAGAAGTTCAAAATTATAGTGCTATAAGTTTAAAAATTATGCGAAAACGGGGTTTTCAACTACAGGAGGACTTTATGAGTTTATCTGGTACATTATAAAGTGATCAAATTTGAGTCTTGGTCACGACATATTAAATTATAAGCTACCCGCGGAACCTCGTCTGCGTCGGAGTCTTGCGGCCTAAGTTCTGCGGTTCTGAGAGCAAAAGGAACAAATTCGCTCCGTTTATGCATAATTTTTCATTAATGATTCGCTCCTATTTATTGGTAGAAGCGTGATGTTATATAGCCTTTCTCGATAAATAGTCTAAGCAAAACTAAAATAATTTTTCAATTCGAATAAGTCGTTTCTGAGATTAGCGCGTTCAACCAAACAAGCAAAGTTTACAGCTTTATAATATTAGAATGGATTGATTTTATAAAACCTGAATCAAATTCTCATACATTATGTATATTTTAATTAAAAACCACTCTCCCTGCAGCAGTTACAAGATGGCGCCACTTCTAACCCCGAAGGTAATGACTTAAATAAATTATGCTCGCCTTCTGAGGGATGGGTAAGAATACATGACTATGTACGTGACGTATTAGGTTAATGGAGCACTATGTCGCCGCCTTTAGTGTAGAAAATTTACACTTTTGATTTGCTGTCATTTTTGAAGAGTTCCGTTGTCTGTCTCCGAAACTCATAATCAGATCTATATGAAATTTAAATTGGACCATTTTGAATAAACCCCTTTCGAAAATTCTTGTTTTTAAAGTCGGTTAAAAAAACCTTGACACATTTTATACATGGGCGACTGATCGTGAACTAGCCTGAGCCCGTACAATGGTAACCAGATTGCTGATAAAGATGCTTATATATTCTAATAATATTTGTACGTGAAAGAGATATACTTCTGCATATATGGACCGGTTTAACCGGAGCAATAACAGGGCCTCCATAAAGACTGATGGTAAGCAAATCTCTCGTAGCTTTTAAAAGGAGTTAGTAACCATGTGCTCGCCCCTATATCATAAATAAAATCACCATAAATGCTATGGGAAATACAGTTTTAGTAGTACCTACTTATTTAAACTTATATGACATATCTCAGGACTCATTTAACAAATAATTTACCTATAATATTCTACATTTAATATTATTTAATTCCTTCAATATAGGGATATCAATAACATTGCAATAACTCCACAAAGAGGCACGTCCGTACCGGATGAGAATCAGACGTAGTATGAGCTCAAACGGAAATAATACCGCCGCCATCTTGCCGCGAGCGGAAGTGAGGACAGCTTAATGAGCTTCAGAGACTTATGCTTTGTGTCAGTGTATTCCGGTTCATTGTGTTGAAGCTTTTGAAAGCTACTTGTAAAATTTGGGAACTTTATAAAGTCGAATTTACAGGATTTGTTTCAAAGATTTCATGCTGCGTATTCATTGTAATTTTGAACGCCATTGGGGGTGTTTTAAGATTGACGTGTCTGTGTGTCTGCCTATGAAATCATAGCTACAAAACTAATAAATAAAAATTTTCGGACGTCTGGCACACAACGCCATCTAGTTTCAAACTAGGTAAAACTTGTGCTATGAAAATTAGATTGACTGATAGAATATTTAAATACTGTCTTTTTTTTATAAATACACACATATTACACATAGAAAACACCTAAAATCCGAAACAAACATTCGCAGATCAAACAAACACTTTGGAATCGAACCCGAAACCTCAGCACACCAGTCACTGGAGGAGGAGCCTGATTATGATGCGGTTTTTTGTTTTGTTTAAAACCTGACTTGATCGTCATGGTTCTTAGATATAATCTGTGAAGGTCATCAGATCATTTCTTAATTGATGAAGGAATCTTACTAATTTACACAACTTTGATTGATCAGAAATTTGGTGACTTTACTAGTAATTCCGTGATATGTTGATCTGATGCTGCAGCAAAACCTTGGGTTGATGCTGGTGTCGGGGGTGTTCCAAATTTTAAATTTTTGCATTATGGCTAGTTGATCTAGTGGTGAGTAACCCTGACTGCTAAGCCAGAAGACGTGGGTTCGATTTAGACCCAAGACAAATAATTGTGTTATGAACATGATCATTTGTTTTGTGTCTGGGTGTAACTTATCTATGATATGTACATAGAAATACATAGGTATTTTTATCAGCAGTTTGGTTACCATAGTACAGGCTCTGACTAGTTTGGGATCAGACATAATGTATAATAAGCTAGGTTTTTTGCAGCTTCGATCGAGTGGATGTAGATTTTGCCAATGAGCATTATTTTTTTCTGAATTAAAGCTATCTTGCTGTACCCCTTTTTTTGTTGACGGAGTTTAAAATCCAAGTCAAGTATATGTGATGATTCCACTTAAAACCACCCCGACAGCGGGTCTCGGGCACTCTGCTCTGGGGAGGACCCGGAACATGTTATTTCAGGTCCCCCCGGATCGACGCCGCGCTTAGTCTGGCAATATCCTTAATTTCCTGAGTAGGCTTTCCCCGCATATCGGTCCAATCAATATGTGTTGCATGTCGCATTTTGCGACCAGGCCACCAACCTATCGCCTACCGCAGCAAACAGTACCCCTAACAATATGAGATCCATGTTTCGCCACAAATGGGGCGACTTGATTGAGGGATACCGTAGTCTCACAGAAAACTGGTGTTCAGCAATGCCTTCGTTGCTGTTCGTAGAGTAAGTTCCTCGACCTTCCTTCTCCTAAAGTCTGGAGGTAAGGACTCGAAGGCTAGCAATGTTGGTGACTCTTAAGATGCGCGGTGTCGGTGAAGGTGGGTAATCACTTATCATCAGGTGAGCCGTCGAAAGAGAAAAGATCAAGAGTAGTTATGGCTTTAAGGCACAAGAACACTACCTAAAGGTTGACTGGGAGAGAATGCCATTAAGTCGGCATTAAGTCCATCATCATCATCATCGTCAACAGCCTTTAATAGTCCACTGCTGGACATAAGCCTCTCCTTAGAACGGAGGTTATGGCCTACTATACCACGCTGGCCAGACGGGTTGGTATAGGGTTTGTGTCAAGTTTTCCTTCTCTCTGCAGTGTTGTTGTTTTGCGCAGTTTTTTCCCTTAGTTGACTCTTACAACACCCACGGGATGAATAGGGGTGGTGACAATCTGTATTCTTAATCCGTCACCACACGGACACGGCATTAAGTCCGTCGATGTATAAATGTTATAAATAAAGAACAATATAATTCTTAGATAAATTTCGTTTAGTTAAACTAATTGTTAAGAGTTTCACACCGTTGCATTATCAGCGTCTTAAGTTCAAACCTATGCAGCAAATATAATTTCCATACTGCCTTTCGAGAGCCATCTATGAAACCGTGACTGGAGAGCGTGTTGCGAGGCAATTTGAAAGCTTTATCAATAATTCAAGTGAAACAGATAGAGAACCATTTTGTACAGCCCTTTGTGTTAGCGATAGAATAGAGAGGATATGACCTTTATTATGAGCAAGCGTATACTTGCAACTTCATTTTTTATGGCCTAATATTTTTAAAGCTCTCAAAGTGAGGATAATAGAACAGGGGTTTTTTTTTTAAATTTCATTCTTATATTTTAGCGTAGCGTTAGCCATGCAGTGACATCTTTAGTAATAAGTGTTTTAATGTCATGTTGATTACTTTTACAACTTTTAACTTATAACTAAACTTAATTTTTTTTAAGACAAACAGACTAAACTGTACCAGTACGGCATTTAATACGATATTATATGCAAAAGAAACCCCAAAGCAATCAAAGCAGTGTTATTTTGAATACATACATTTAAACATCATATAAGAAGATATCATAGGCAGTTAAAAGTAGTTTGTTCATGCTACGAAAAAAATCATAAATGTAATACAAATGAACACTTTTCCTAGCATTTCCATAAACAACAAACATTCACAAACAAGTAATTAGCACGATTATGTCAACGCACGTATGTGATTCAATCTGAAAATACCTGATACATTTTACAAGTGGTTAAATAATTATAATAATACTTAAAGTAAAAATAGTATTTGCCGGCCTTTTGAAATTGATTATTATTTATTCATCAAATTAAAAGTCCATTGTTTTAAGTAGTTTAATTCAGGCACTATTATTTCCGAGATCCTTACTACTCTTTAGTCAATAGGGCTGCCACATTAAACTTTAACATTCTGTATCTTATTCAAACGACGCTTTATACACCATTACTATCTGTTTACACCCTAGCTATCTTCAAGTTGTTAACACCGGAGTGTAAGCAGGGTTCACGGTAGATTAAATATTGAGTAATGTATGTTTTATTAATTTTGAATTTATTGATGCATCAAATATGAAGATTCAGGAATTAATTTTGTCTCGGAAAAATTGGTTGTTTTGCGTATAAATAATAGTACACAGGCACAGGCGTATCATAGATTTTGTATGGGTTTGATTTTTGATAAATTTATTTGCTTACTATTTGACAAAACAGAGATTGTTGCTTTTGTGTGTGTTGATCTATGACTTGAGACTACATAAAAGACAAGCAGACGAGCAGACGGGTCACCTGATGGAAAGTGACTATCGCCGCCCATGAACGACATGACATGACACTATTGAAATAAAAAAATAGCTTTTCCGAGTCAATAGTTGTATTATATGACAATTTCCAAACGCAGCAAAATTACCTCAAAACGGTGGCTGTTCTCCAGTTTTTTGGATTGCCCCCTTCTAAGGAAACAATTGAAAGACATTCACGTTAAAATCTATTCCGAGTACGTCCATACGTTCTATTTCAATGATTTTCTTTGAAGATTTCTCATCAACTATTGGTAATCATCTAACTTTTACCCATCTGAAGTCATACTCAAATGCAAAACCTTCTGTACATTTCTTACTTTCTCATAGCTTACTCTGTATCTCCTAATGACGGTACACGCGGTTTCTATTGGTCTAAAATTACTCGCTTTTATGACCTCTTTCATTTGAACTTTTGCCGACATAAATTGGTTGAGTCGGAGAGATTATATTCGTGACTATTTAACTTAAAATCAATGTTTTAAAAACAGCATTAATTCTTTCAATTAAATGTTTTTGCAAGACCCAATGTAAATATAGTAGGAATTTATTCGTAAAAGAAATAATAAACTAATATGAGAATTCTCTCTCTCTAATGGGATGGGAAAAAAAGCGTCCAGCTAAGTAACAAGCTAACTTACATCTATGTAAATCAATGCTAAACCACTATCATCTTATTATTCCAGGATATCATCAATTCTTCTATCAACTACCATCCTAATTTGTGTTATCTTCTAGGGACTTAAGTCGGAACGAGCTGACAGCGATCAGTAGAAGAACGTTCAGAGGATTGACAGCATTGAAGAGCTTACATCTGGATGGAAATCACCTCAAGTGTATCGATGAGAAGGCGTTCGAAAACTTGAAAAGTCTCGAAGTGCTGTAAGTTTTCAATATACCTACTATATTTAGGCGTTTCGTTTCCGCTCACATAGTTACGCCACTTTTTTATACACTACACCCACCAGCTAAGTTAACTAAAATATCCTAACTAAGTTAAAATTAATTTAGATGTGTAGGCCGATCTCAAGCTACGCGATCTAAGCTAAGCTAACATAGTTTCGTAGTTTTAGCTTATTATTATATATTTGGTGGATGGATAACTTTTTTCCCAGTTTAGCTTAGCTTAGTTGACTTAACTTATTTCTTAGTTACTTTAGTTGGCGGTAGACGTGAGGTTTTAACGTGCATTTATTTTAAAAAAAGCTTGAATAAAAGGCGTGATCAATGAGGAGCAGGCGAAAGGAGCGTCCATTTTTAATCAGGATGATTAAAAATGGCGTTATATCGTCTCTGCCTACCCTGAACGGGATTGAAGCGTGAGCATATGTCATGTATTTCTTTTTCTTGTTCTTTATTATGTCGTTCTTCTTAACATGATCGTCTAGATTATTATATATTTTTAATAGCAGTAGTAAATACTTACTTTCAAGATTATTAATAAAAAACACTACACACATCTCATGTCCATATCATCATAAACTGTATGTCAAAAACAACTTATAGCAAAGAATTATTATGCTAAAACAGACATATATGCAAAAAAAAAGCCGTGTGGTGTCGTGGGACACCCGATAGGAACGAAGTTGTAACGATTGAGTAAAACTGATTCGGCACATTTTAATTACAACGCCATCTATGAAAGCGGCTATTACCTACATATTTTTCAGTTGGTTTCTAATTAAAACAATTTAATTAGAAACCAACTTATTGGTAAAATCTCCTTGAGAAATGATTTCCTATCTATTCGATAGATGGCGTTGAATGACTGACATTAAAAGATAGAAATGAAAATATCTGGCTTGCTTTCTATAAGAGAGAGAGAGACAGACAGAGAAACATGCGACGCCGCATAGCTTACAATAGCTTACTATAGCAAAAAGTGTCGTGACCAATTTTCGTAAGATTTTTTTCCGTCTAGCCCCCTTTCATAACGCGCGATAAGGAACTTCGTTCCAAAAACATTATGCGAAAAGAAGGGATATAAAATTACTGGGCTTAACTGACTGACCGATTTATCAATGCAGATCCTAAACAGCTGTGGCTACAAACTTGATATTTTGGCAGCTGGTGCTTTTTATATTGTAAGCACTCACTAAAAAAGGATTTTTGAAAATTCTACCTCTTCTTCCTCCTCCGAGACTTTTTTACAAACTAAGTATGGTCCGTGTAGTGACGGATTAAGAATACGGAATGTCACCACCCCTGTGCATACCGTGGGTGTGGTAAGAGCCGACTAAGGCAGCAAACTACTCAGGACAACATCACTGCAGTTAAAAAGAAAACTTGAAACAAACCCTATACCAACCCATCTGGCCAGCGTGGTATAGTAGGCCAAAACTTCCTTTCTAAGGAGAAGCCTATATCCAGAAGTGGGTTATTTAAAGTCTTGATGAGGTAGGGTCGGCTTTAAGTCTATTACGATACAGCTGGACTTTGATTTTTTCGGCAAAACGACTGCCTACAGACCTATACAACCCAAGTACTAGGCGATATCGAAGTTCTAGAGAAAGACTGTTGTGGGACAACTACCCGTAACGTTTGTCAGTTTCAAAGTTAAAACAACGAAATAAGAATAAAACCGCTTGCAAGCAACTGCTAGTATATTGTACAAGCCATGTGGAATATATATTTAGGAAATACACCAACATTTCCACATGTACAAGGTTACAAATTGACCCATACCGACCTCATAATATTGATCCGACCCCTCGTCTTATTCGTTACCGAATTATTGACTACTTTGACCCAATTTGATGGGTTTATTAAGAATATTGGAGCGTGACCTCTGAGAATTGCAGACAATTAATTTCTCGTAGGAATAGTTTTAGTATATTATTATCGTCGACAAAACACAAATAAAGCAAAGTCAAACAAGTTGTAGGACCTGTTATAAAACCTTCACAGATCTCATACACGGCCGTCTGATTTCAAACTAGGCAGAGCTTGTTCTATTGTAACCAGACTGCTGATTAACATACTTAAATATTTCTAAATACACACATTGTTATAGATAAAATACACCCAGAGTTAATAGAGAAAGAAAACTTGAAAGAAACCCTATTCCAATCCGTCTGGCCAGCGTGGTATAATAGGCCAAAACCTCCTTTCTGAGGAGAGGTCTATGTCCAGCAGTGGACTATTAAAAAGCTGCTGATGATGATGGTGAAACCCAGATTAGAAAACATATATCAAGCACTAGGAATATATCTTGTGTCGCGGGGGACTTTACAAACATACATGAATCGGACACAAAGAACACCTAGACTCAGAACAACAATTTGTGGATCACACAAAGTGTCGTCCCATGTGGTGATCGGACCCACAACACTCTGCGTAGTAGTAGTAGATTAAAAGAAAAAAGTTCCGATAAGATAAAATCAAGATAAACTCTTAATTGTTAAATTATGCTAGGTATTTGTTAGAAATTAAATTAGGAAAGTTCTCAAATCACACTTATATAATAGAATAATCTTTGTTGTACACCAATTTAGGATATTATACACACAATAGTATTAAGTTGATGACCATGTACAAATGGCGGCTATATAGTATAGAAGCGAAAGTTGGTGTGTATACTTGTATGCCTGCTACTTCTTCATGCTGAATATGTGTATTTAGCCCACAGTCCAGTTGGAACTTTACACTAAATACATATATGCTACTTTTACTCCGAAAAAATGTAGAGTTCCCGTGGGATGAGCAAGGAATTGAAAATCCGCAGGTCACAGTGCGGAGCGAAGCGTAGTTGTTTAATATTTAAGAAGAAAAAAGTACGTGATATGAACACTATGAGTTGGCAGAAAATGTTGAACGCTGGTACACAAACTTTTTATGGCTGTATTCATAATTTACGTTTGTGTTGTAGATATGTACTCGTATGTAGCGGGGTATATGGTATATCACTTTTCTATGTATTAAAGTACTCATCTGTGTATTCTATATCGTGCCATCATGATCATAATCAGCAACGGCCTTTAATAGTCCACTGATGGACATAGGCCTCTCCTTAGAAAGGAGGTTTTGGCCTACTATAACACGCTGGCCGAGTTTGTATCAAGTTTTTCTTCTCTTTGCTGTTGTCTGCATAGTTTTTATTTATTAGGGATAACAACAGTCCTTAAAAATAAATATTACAATTTAAATTTTTACAATCAGGTTAAACCTATTAATGTTAACCACGTAAGCAATTTTGATTTTAATTAAATATAGTCCAGATTTTGCAACAGCAGAAATGTGAATAAAAACATAAAAATTTAAGCAAAAACATGAAATATAAAAAAACTAAATTATTAAATTACAATTAACACTAATATTAAATTAAATTACAATTAAAAAGAACAGTGAGAGAATATTCTAGACAAGCAGTGTGCCGACCTGTGTGTGTGTTGTGCGTGTTTGTGTGTGTGTTTGTGTGCGTTTGTGCGTGTGCGCGCGCACGTGGTGCGTGTGGGTGGCTGTGTGTGTGTGTGTGTGAAGTGTGTGCGCTACAATATACTACATAATATCATACTATACCCATAATTTGCTGTCATAGTCGGCTCTTATGACACCCATGGGATGAATAGTGGTGACAGTCTGTATTCCTAATCCATCACCACACAGAAAGCTTGTGTAATAACAAGTATCAATCTGTAACTATAGAGATTTTTTCAATTAATTTTTCATACATACAAAGTAGCCTACCCGCTATCCCAGCCTATTATCTATTTGCATATTTGTAACTTGAACATGCTGTTGCTGGGGTCAATCACCTTTCTTGAAGAATGTGTGTAATATGGCTGGCCTTTTCGTTTAGTGGTTAGTAACCCTGACTGCTAAGCCCATAGTAGTAAATTTGATACAGACTCAGAACAAATTATTGTGGGATAAGCGCGATCATTTGCTTCGGTCTGGGTGTAATTTATCTATAATATGTATGTATTTGTAATATATATAAGTAGGAATGTATATCAGTTGTCTGATTACTATAGTACAGGCTATTACAGTACAGTACAGGCTATTACAGTACAGTACAGTATAGTACAGTACTATAGTACAGTTTGCGAGGAGGCGACGTCCACGTGTGCCGTACGTCACCTAAATGGAGAATTCACCCGAATATGGTGCCGGCGCTTTGCAGCCGCGCTAAGAGGGGTTCGAATGTCTTAATAACAGCAGTTCCCGGATCCCTCCTATTTCAGTTGCAGAGTGGCATACCGTGTGGTTTTGGGTGTTGGGACACACCACCCCGCCGCAAACCCCGGTGGGGTGACGATACGAGGGTAATTCTTAGGGTTTGAGCTTAGACGGCCGTGTGAGAGATGTTTGATGTTAATAATAAATAATAATAATAGTGTTCCATATTCACACAACGTCATCTAGCCCCAAAACTAAGCAGAGCTTGTACTATGGCTACCAGACAACTGATATAAATACATATATACCTACTTTTTTTTTATAAATATATACATATTATACATAGAAACACCCAGACCAAATCAAACATTAAAAGTTCATGCACACAAATGTTTGACTTGAGCGGGAATCGAACCCGGGACCTTAGAATGGCAGTCCGTTACACAAACCATTACGCCATCCGGTCGTCTAGATGTTATTATTATTGTAATGTCAGTTACGTGATATTAGCACATAGTAGTGAATAAAAACTGTCAGAGATGTTGACTTCTCTATATTCTTCTGTTCACAGAACTCTGAATAACAATAATCTGACGTACTTAGCCCTGGAGCCAGCTGCTATCACAAGGTTGAACACGCTGCGGTTGACCGACAATCCTGTCGTTTGTGATTGCCGTGTCGCGAGGCTGTCAACTGCTGTAAGGGCTGCAGGAATTTTAGGAGTTGGCGCCAGGTAATATTAATTATTTAAACTGAACCGTTTAATCTCCGATTAGGGGTCGATCAGACCCACCCAGAATGGGATATTATAACTAATCTTGGATTCATTATCAGGTGTCAAGCTCCAGCTGCTTTAAGAGGCGCTCTCCTGACAGAGCTGGAGGCACATGAGCTGATCTGCAGTGGTAAGTTTCAGTATTATATTTTTAACCGACTTCAAGAAAAGAAGGAGGTTATCAATTCGACTGTATTTTTTTTTTAATGTTTGTTACCTCAGAACTTTTGACTAGTTGAACCGATTTTGATGATTCTTTTCTTTTTTATTCGTACAAATCGAGGGTTTTGTAATTAGGTCTCCAATAAAGTAGTAATTTCATCAATCACATTTTATGGCATACGAGCAGACTAGTCCCTGATGGACCTGATGGTAAATGATTACTGCCACACATAGAAACCTGCAACTCAAGAAACACAAGTTAATTACCGTCCCTGAAGTCCCTTCCCCCAGAATCAGAGGGAGGGGTCGTTTGGTGGACCTCACTCATTCGTTAAAAAGAACGAAAGAACTGCTTAACCCTGGTATTCTGTGGCCCTGGTATCACTCCGGTCGAGCCTGGCCTACAGGTGTCTAAGCCTGGATCTCCCACGATAGCCAAATGTGAATAAATATGAATTGATGTGAAACCTAAAACATTGCAAAATGATTTTTTCTAGAGAATTCATGGGTCTTTTATAATCTTCAGTAGATTGATCTGCCTGTGTTATACGCACCACGGGAATCTATGTTATATCCTGTTGGGTTCCACAGGTCCAACCACAACAGTTACAGTGGAGTGTTCAGCAGAACCTCGCTGCCCACCTCCGTGCCGCTGCACTCCTGAAGGTACCGTTGACTGCCGAGAGAAGCTTCTATCAGAATTACCTGTCACCATCCCCCATAGGGCCACTGAAATGTAAGTACATTTTTACATACCAACTTATACATATTTCGAAACGACTTCAACACCATCTAACGAAAATACACCGAACTAAATCCTACATCGCGCAAATAAAGTTTTACAAGAACGTTTCATAATTCTGAGTAGTGCACATAGAATACATAACTTTAATGCCCTGGTACACCAGGCATGATCACCTCGAACGATCGGAGGATTCTTTTTTTATGGTAAAGTTGGGAAATTGAGCATTTTTTTTCACATAGCAAAGGTAGGATTAGCATACGGCCTCTTTTCTGTAACCAGTGGTAATCATAATGATTTAAATGTTCTCAACCCTATGCCTGTTCTGCAAAAAGCTCTGGTTTCTCTAGAGCACTAGCAAAAAGTGGCCAAGACTTCAATATAATTTCTTTCAACCTTTGACGTTGATGATGATTGTGGTGATCATTATGATTTGGGTAATACCAATTCTTTGAACTCATAAATGGAAACAGCAACGTTATTTTCTCTACAGACTAAATGAGCACTTTTAACTACGTAAGGTTATAGTTTTTCAAAATATTTCTCTCTCTTTCAGTCGCTTGGAACAGAACGAGATAACCGAGGTCCCTGCTGGTGCCTTCTCATCTGTCAAACGTGTCGCAAGAATAGACCTATCCAATAACAAAATAACAAAACTAGCAGCAGATTCCTTCAACGGTTTAGTTCATTTAACTTCTTTGTAAGTGTTTTCTTTTAGTTAGAAACAAATATTTTTATTTATTTTATAACTTTATGCACAAACAAGATTTTGATCGCGGCTCCGCCCGCGTTTAAGTAGGTTAGAAAAGCACTATATTTCCTTCCTCAAGAATCAAACTATCTTTTTGAAAAACTACATCAAATTTATGGTATAAGGGGGCAAACGAGCAGACGGGTCACCAGATGGTAAGCACTACCGCCGCCCATGGACACTTGCAACTCAAAAGTCACAAGTGCGTTGCTGCCCTTGGAGTCCCTCCCGCTCGAGTCAGCGGGAGGGGGGAATTGGGTGAAAGGCAACGAAAGAATTGCTTAACACCGGTTTTCTGTGAGATTTACGGATCAGCACGGAGGAATCAGGAGGGTTACGGATTGGATTCGTACGTACACACGACGAATGAAATTTCTGGTCAGTAGTGCGTAGTACCTGTGATTTTAATCAACTAGTACTAGAAAAATTGTAGCTGATAACGCTAATGATTTTGAAACAATAATAATTTACAAATATATGAGTGAAGAAATGAGTTATTTCTGCAATTGTTAAGGGGACGATACTGTTTCTCCTTATCACACCCTTACCTATAGCCTACCTAGGTGGATAGTACATTTACAAAGCTTACAATCACAATAAAGATTTATTATTTTTATTTACAATTCTCATACATGTAGGTTACCGTATAATAATATACTTACCGGAATAACACACACATGTAAACTTAACCAGGTATCTCGTTTGTCGTCTCGTAACGTCTCTCGATAAATGATGCTAGGTGACTCGCGCAACACCGTCTTCGTCTTTTAAAAGGAATAAATTTTCCCCGTTTTTGCAACATTCTTCATAGGTGTTCCGCTCCTATTAGTCTTAGCGTGATGATATATAGCCTATAGCCTTCCTCGATAAATGGGCTATCTAACACTCAAATATTTTTTTAAATCGGACCAGTAGTTGTCGAGATCAAACAAACAAACAAACTCTTCAGCTTTATAATATTAGGTACATTATAAAAATCAAAATGGCGGAATTTTAGCGCCATTATTATCCTTACAATACTATTCTTATAGTTAAGTGAGACGGATTCGTGCGATGGAAATGTTTGTTTAATAAACAACTTCTCAAAATTTATCTATGGAACAATAGTAATTGTTGGTTTCTTATGCTATTTTACTAACTCTGTGTGTATGTATGTCAATGTATCCTCTATATCAGAGATTCCCAAAGTGGTCGATATCGACCCCTTAGGGTCGAAATCAATTTCCCCGAGTCCGACATGCCACCGATAGGTGGTATCCGAGGGGATTTCCGCACGGAAAAAAGAAAAAAAAGGGGTCGACATTATCAAAAAATGATTTTGGGGGCTGACGAGGTGTAAAAATCGACCCCTATTAATTAGCAACAAGTCCTTGTTAGAAACGTTTAAGATACTGTATCAGTTTATTTATTTGGGAAAACAAACAATAATATAATGAGTATACATATGAAATCTTTATAACTAAACTTAACTAATATACTACCCACTACATTTTTCAACAGATTACCTTATAAAATAATTCCATTGTTAGCAGACATGAGCTGCTGCCGCCGCAGTTAAATCAATAATATTATTTGTTATAACATTGACTAATATTTTAGTAGGAAGTATCATTAATGTACTTTTAAAAACTCAACAAATCGATAAGCGTGCAGTAATTCGGCTATGGGGGTCAGAGGTATCAGGTCATTTTAGAAAAGGGGTTTCTTGCCCAAAAAAATTTGGGAATCCCTGGTGTATGTCAGTGAAGATAGGAAATATTTGTGTATAACTGGACTGTATGCACTGACATAGTCCGTACTCTAGGTATAAAGCTACAAGTACAATACGGTCACATCTTTTATTTATTTATTTGTTAGTATTTTAGTGGGCTTAGAAGGTATTGTGTCATGTCAGAAAGTCATCCAAATAGTCATGGTTCTGATATGGGACTATTTTGGCTTCAAAGCTACAAGTACAATACGGTCACATATTTTATTTATTTATTTATTTCCACTACACTTTAAAAACGTCTGCGTTGCGTCTTCCTATAGATATTACTTAACTAAAATACAGACAAAAGATATGGTACGTATTTAGCTACTTAAATATTTTTTTACGTTTCAACACTTCTAAAGGACATCAATAAATGTTACACGATACAGACCAATATAATAAATTTATTTAATACCGCGATTATTTTGAACTGAGCGGAAATATACATCTCCGATGTTGTACCCAAAAATGTACTGCTGTAATTTGCAAAGAATATCATAATACGTATTCTAAATAAATATTGTATATTGCAGAGTGCTATACGGAAATAAAATCAAGGATTTGCCATCAGGGATCTTTCACGGACTGTCTTCACTGCAATTATTGTAAGTATTGTGTTCATTTTAACTTTTATAAACGTAACTTGGTAACGTTATATTGTAACCTAGTTAACCTTTCATAGTCACTGCTCTGGTTTAGAAGATCCTTAAGTCCTTAAACAAAATTCAAAAATGTATATTTAAATAACAGTTCCATTCGATAGTCAAACTGAACTGGAAATTACTTAAATAGAATCATTTTTGCTTTAGAAAATATTATCTAAGTATAGGTCATTGTCCGAGGAATCCATACAACTCAGTTAAATGTTATTATAATCTGCATACAGACAGTTTCTCTTTTCTATAAACAGTCTTAAGTATATTCATAATAAACTCTTAAGTCACAGATAAACCTCTTCAACGCTTCAAGTTATAGTGTGTTTAAATCTTTCTTTTATTAACTATTCTTTTAAGGTTAATTTTAGAAGAAGTAAAAAGAATTACTTTAAAAGAATCGTCTTTAGTTTACAATTAACCACAAAGAAAAATGTTTTCATCGTTTTATCAGTATCTTTTTTTGTTGTTTCAACTTAAGCAATCATTTTTTTATGATTACAGACTTCTCAACTCTAATGAAATTACTTGTGTACGGAAGGATACTTTTAGAGATCTTCAGAATCTGAAGTTATTGTAAGTATATCAACTTTTTTTCTTTTGAAAAGAGACAAAATTCAAAGAAAATTCTATATCGCGGGGGAATTTGCAAACATACATATATGAAAAGGACACAAAGAACACTCAGACTCAGAACGACAATTTGTGGATCACACAAACCAACAATACTGAGCATAGTAGCAAGCGGCGTGGCGACCGTTTAAACCACTAAGCCATCCATGCAGTAAAGTATTTTAGTGGGCTTAAAACGTATTGTGTCATGTCAGAAAGTCATCCAAATAGTCATGGTTATGATATTATGGGACTATTTTGGGAAAAGAAAAAGAAGAATAATAGAAGTGGTCTTCCTATGAGTAATAGTAGCTATTTTTAACGATTTGTCTATTGTAACTACCTTCAAATGTGTGGCGCCATCTAACGAACAGACACCGAACTACGTATTAACTCCTGAATACGAATTGCTGATCCTGAATCGCGGTATGAAGAATTTTCTCGCCGGTTAGCAAATAAACAAATACCAACATCAACCGCATGGCCTGCCATTCATGATCACACTTTGTGTTGGAGGGACATGACATCCGTTCCTCCACAAATTCATATTAAGTTATTCATATAACTTGGTTCTAAGTTTTTATCAAATGATTCTGTGTTACGTATTCCTTGTGTAACTACTAGTAATATACTCCAAAACATATATTTAAACATATTATCCTTTTTTTCAGGTCTCTATACGACAATAATATCAGGTCCCTGCCAAACGGTTCCTTTGATGCTTTAACAGGAATTCAGACTTTGTAAGTAGCAGTTCTAATTATCGTTGATATAATCATTAAATAATAGGCTTGTGTCCACTAATAACAAATTGCTTGGTTTATAGTTTCAAATTATAAATGAAGAGACATAGATAAGAAAAAAAACAGTCTATATCTCATAAAAGTTTAAGATTATTAATATTTAAAAAAAAATCGAACAAAATAGGCATTAAGTCACGTGACAGCGAACACCAATCAGAAAGTGTTACGTTACGCCACGCAAAATATCATTGTTGTTGTTGACGTTTTCATACAACAGAACAGGTTACTCCTTATTGTTTTTCTCACCTTAATACAGTTTCAGTTGACACTGGACACAGATGTAACCAGTTTTGTTTCGCAGACTGTGACGTCATTTAAGACGCCATGATACTATTCAGCGTTTTCAAGGGAAATTTTAATTGTTTTTTTTATATACAAAATACGTAATGTAAATATTACTTTTTCTTTAAAATATAGGTTTTTGAGATAAAATAGATATTAAACCAAGTTTTCAAATTGAGTCAACTAGCCGATTGTTATTTTTTTTCATAGACATTTGGGAAGAAATCCTTTTGCTTGTGATTGCTCACTTCGATGGCTTGCGGCGTACTTAAGGAAGAACCCTATTGAAACATCAGGTGCAAAATGCGACTCTCCCAAACGCATGAGTCGGAAGAGAATAGATGCTTTGAGAGAAGAAAACTTTAAATGCAAACGTTAGTATTTTTAACTCTTTCTCATGTTCTGCGACTATTTTGTCACATAGTCGAATAGTCATAAAATTTAAAAGGAGAAAAAAAGAAAAATACATAGATAGGAAAATACAAGAAAAGAGCGTACTCCTTCCTAAAAGGTCGGCAACGCGTTTGTGACTCCTGAGTTGCAGACGTTCATGGGCGGCGATAGTCACTTTCCATCAGGTGACCCGTCTGCTTGTCTGCCCCTGCACTTAAAAAAAAGGTACATGAAATTGAAAGACGCTGGTAAGTCAAAGTTATACAAAAGAACATTTAGACGTAATGTTCCATCTTAATTGTAGTATTTAAGATGGAACATTACGTGTTTTCTTTTCTTTCATTCATTCATTTTTCTTTTGTTCTCTTTTTTAATTTTATGACTAGTTTAAGTTAGCAAAATGTCTGTAATTGTAGTCATTTTACTTAAAAACTGACTGACTCAATATTTTCTACAAAAGCAGTGTAATACAAAATATTCCTCATAAAATTAAATAAATCACACATGCATCAAAGTTGTAATGATACTTAATAATATAAACATTATTTTCAGCGGGAGAAGAGTCCGCTAACGCGTGTGGTGCCTCAGCAGCGTGCCCAGGCGCCTGCACATGTGAATACGGCGCTCGCGCTGTCAGCGTGGCTTGCGCTCGCGCAGCTTTGACTGAAGTACCTCGAGATCTACCTGTCAATACTGATGCACTGTAAGCATTGGTATTTTGTATTTATTGCAATGCCTTTGAACAGAGGGGCGTCAACTCATATTAACTATAAATATTTATACATATACTACGAGTATTTGACTGTCTCGATGGTCCAGCGGAATCGTATGAGACTGCTGCGCTGAGGTCTCATGTGTGATTCCCGGGTCGGACCAAATGCTTGTATGATCTCCAAAAAAATATTTCGGAGCTTGGCTGTTTTCTGTTTTCTATTCTATACAAAAAAGAAGTATATAAGTATTCTATCAGTCAATCTAGCTTTCATAGTACAAGCTCTGCTTAGTTTGAAACTAGATGGCGTTGTGTGTTTATGATAAAATAAACCTTTCAAAGGTAGTTTTTTTGTTCCAGATTAATGTCAGACAACAGCCTGGGTCAAATCAAATCTGATGGTCTATTTGGACGGCTCCCCGACCTCACCAAGTTGGATCTTAGAAATAACGGTAAACAGACAATATTATCTTACTTGATATCTTACTTCTAAAATAGATCATTGTACTTAAAAGGCTTATTAATGTAACTTGAATTAGAATTATAAACACTAAGTAACAGTAAAAGTAATGTACTAAAACACCGAAACAAGACCATTTTTACTGGATCTAAATCTTTTTAAACCAATTTATTTTTCCTTTTTATATTGAAATATGTAACTTATATATTTTTGTAATCCATTTTTAATTTTCTTGAGTTTGATACCATACTCGATAGGCCTGACAAGTTTTTTATAAACCTATTACAATAGTAAAAGGTTTATAAAAAAAATTGTCAGGCCTATCGAGAAAAAAAAACAAAATGGCGGATTTTTGGCGCTTAATAAAGTGCCAAAAATCCGCCATTTTGTTTTTTTTCCCTTCATAAAGGTATTTAAGGATACTTGAGTTTTTGAGACGGTTAAAACATTACCTTAAATGTTGAAATGTATCCAGCCATTAGAAAGATACGAGGTAATAATGAAATTTAAAAAAAAAAACCTAACTCTTGCTTGGCAGTCGGGTAAAAAGGATTTGCTATTCATCTACACATGTACACTCATCTAAACCATTAGTGCCTTTAGCAGAGGTCCAACTTAAAAAAATTGTTTTATATAGTTATTAAAATTTAAGTGCGGCTAATAAAAGCATGTTAAAATGTACTGCATTACTGAAACATTTTGTGTGAAAAAAAACGTGTTATTTACATAAAAAATAGAAATAAGGCGGGTGACGGATTAAGAATACGGAGTGTCGCCACCCCTATTCATCCCGTGGGTGTCGTAAGAGCCGACTAAGGGAGCAAGCTACAGCCCTGCAAAGAGAAGGAAAACCTGACACAAACCCTATGCCAACCCGTCTGGCGAGCGTGGTATAGTAGGCCAAAACCTCCTTTCTAAGGAGAGGCCTATGTCCAGCAGTGGACTATTAAAGGCTGTTGATGTGAAAAGAATTTTATGTAACTTATGGTAGCTCTGCTGAGATCTAGGTAGCGATATGTAATATGTGCCAAAATATTGTTGTAATCTAGGTTTATTTTTGTTGGCAGGCATAACAGTAATAGAAGACAACGCCTTCGATGGAGCAGCAAATATCCAGGAGTTGTTGCTGGATGGAAACTTGATACAGAGCGTCACAGACAAGATGTTTTTTGGACTTCATAGTTTAAGCATTTTGTGAGTATCATGCCTCTCGTTCTACCTACTATTCTGTCAATATACTCCTGACCCTCATATCACACTAGGCTACTACAGCACTAGGGGTCATCTATATGCATTACATATGGTTGACCCCAAGTGCCTGCGATGTGCTAAAATTATATTTCATTTGCTAATTCGTTCAATAATTTACATTGTCCGTAGTTTTAACGGTATTTAAATAAATAAAACACTAAAAATTAACAAAGAAATAAAAACGAAGTATTGTTATAAAAGTCTATAATGTATACAAACCTAGACTGTACGTTTTTTTTGTTTTTTTTTACCACATTCACACAACGCCATCTAGTCATCCACTAAGCAGAGCTTGTACTATGGGTAACTAGACAACTGATTCAAATACAAATATAGTTTTTTTTTTGGTAAATACATGCTTATTATACATAGAAACACCCAGACCAAATCAAACATTAAATGTTCATGCACACAAATGTTTGACTTGAGCGGGCATCGAACCGGCGACCTTTGGAATAGCAGTCCGTTACACAAACCACTACGCCATTCGGTCGTCTATTTCTGTTATAAGATCGTTCGGGGAAGGTCATTGCGGGATGTAAATTTATTTTATTTTAAAAAAAGACAACTCCCGCACTAGGAATAAATCCTGTGTCGCGGAGACTTTAGAAACATACATGAAACGGACACAAAGAATACCCAGACTCAGAACAACAATTTGTAGATCACACAAAGTATCGTTCCATATGGGGTTTGAACCCACAACACTCGGCGCAGTAGAAAACGGCGTGGTGACCACTTAAACCACTACGCCATCCTTATTTACTTCGTAGTTCTAAACTATACATTTCAGTATTAAATTAGTCATATCCGATTTAACATTAGGGATTAGTTGACTGTATAACAGTTATTTAGTCAACTATTCAACAACTATACATGTATTATATACTAGCTGACCCGCGCAACTTCGTCTGCGTCTCTCAATAGTATTTTTTTTCCGTTTTTGAAACATTCTTCATTGGTGCTCCGCTCCTATTGGTCTTAGCGTGATGATATATAGCGTATAGCCTTGCTCGATAAATGGGCTATCTAGCACTGAAATAATTTTTCAAATCGGACCAGTAGTTCCTGAGATTAGCGCGTTCAAACAAACAAACTCTTCAGCTTTATAATATTAGTATAGATGTATACCCCCTTTGATATAAATAATTTTCTGGTTTTTCTTTTTATTTCAGATCTCTAACCGACAACAAGATCAAATGCATCACTCCTGGCGCTTTTGATCACCTCACCATGTTATCGACATTGTAAGTAAAAAAAAAATTAGCAGTCTCGGGACATCTGGGAGGTGTAAAAATCAAAATATTTTTTTGCTAGTATGTCGGTTATCATGGTAACATGACTGTAGCCTATGTCTTTCCCCACAACTCAAACTATCTCCATAACAAATTTCATTTAAATCGGTTCAGCGGTTTAAGCATGAAGAGGTAACAGACATGCAGATAAACAGACACACTTTCGTATTTATAATATTAATATGGATAATTTAGTATAAAAGGATACATTATGAAAAGATTATATATAAAAAAAAGTTATTTCACAGCGATAACACTAATTTTGATTCAGTATTTTTTGTTTTAACCTCCATTGTAAGGAGAGGCCTATGTCCAGCTGTGGACTGTTAAGGGCTGTTGATGATGCTGATGATTTTTTGTTTGAAAAAAGTTGAATGCCTAGCTCTACAAGTCTACACCATAAACAATGTATGTCGATTATCTGTGTAAAAAGTAGTCTGTTACTTGCTTTTAAAATGGCTTTATATTGGTAATTTTTAAAATCGGTTAAGCGGTTTAGGCGTGAAAGCGTTACAAACAAACTCACTTTCACATGAATAATAGAAGTATAGATTATGTAATACAATAAAGCGCTGTTGTTGAAGTGATTCTGGGTACTGAAAGGTAGGAACTTCCTTCCATTATTTTTCCAGGAACTTGGAATCGAATCCTCTCGATTGCACGTGCCATATATCCTGGCTTCCCAACTGGCTGCGAACCAGAAGACTATCACCATCAGCTACCTGTAGAACTCCAGCGGCCCTCAGGGATGCAAATCTCCAACATTTGGAGGTATCGGACTTCAAATGCACCGGTAAGTCAAAAATAATAGTCTTTTTATTATCTCACACAGCATACACAATTCTAAAGAATTGAAGCTATACGAAAGAAAAATTCATCATCATCATCAACGGCCTCTAACAGCCTCTGCTGGACATAGGCCTCTCCTTAGAAAGGAGATTTTGGCCTACTATACCACGCTCGCCAGACGGGTTGGTATAGGGTTGGTTTCAAGTTTTCCTTCTCTTTGCAGTGCTGTTGTCATGTGTAGTTTGCTCCCTTAGTCATCTCTTACGATACCCACGGGATGAATAGGGGTGGTGACACGCCGTATTTTTAATCCGTCACCACACGGAAAAATTAAAAAAATTACAATTTTATTTAGAAAATCTGTGTGGGATACTGGTATCTGTACTAGGACAGATTCTCCAGACTCTGGATAGGTGAAGTGAAGTGTAGGTAAATCATTTTATCACCAAGAACAGGTTGAGAGACGGTAGGGTGAGGACTAGGGTAGAGTGAATTGGTGTGAATTTGTGTGGTGTCAGTGTGTCGTGATGTGATGTGGTGTAATTGGTTAGTAACGTGTTGTGTGTGGTGAGTGGGTGTCTGTGATGGATAAAGTGGACACACACATTTGTTAGTTTAGTCTATCTAGAACCTATAAACCCTTGTATGGTGCTTTTTCTTTCTTTCCAAAAGACACCTTCCGCATTAAGACTATATCCTGTGTTCTCCCTGTTCTGTTCTGTTTCTGTTCTCTCCTGTTTATTTCTCATATGAAAATGCCATTTTACCAGACCTAACTTCTGACTGTAAACTCGTTTTCGAACTTCCGAACTTCAGGAACAGATGGCGCTCTTTGTTATATCCTAAAATATTTTTAAATGAAGTAATATCGTTCTTTTCAGCGGAAGATAAAGGCTGTTTATCTTCAGATTACTGTCCCTCTCAGTGCACATGTACCGGGACTGTGGTGAGGTGCTCACGAGCACAGCTGAAGAGCGTCCCGCAGAATATTCCAAAACAGACCACAGAATTGTAAGTAAATCGCCGCGAAGAGTTTGCCACAAACTGTTTGTACAGCGTACGATTTGTTTAAAATATTTAACACAAATTTGAAGTTGACACGACAAACTAATTGTACACGTATAATTTGTAAAAGTAGTTTGCTCTTACTAAGAAAACTGATTTAATAAGTTCTTATAAATTTATTTCTAGCGTTACTTACCGTATAACTTATATAAGTTTTTGACGCGACTTCTTCTTTCGTCAAAGACGTATACAAATTAAATTAAGAATCAAAGCTTAAATTATGCTTTAATTGTGTTCATCTCAAACTGATTTTCAATTTTATTACATGTTTTCAACTGAATTCGAATAGTTTTACAATTTACATACACTCCGGTGTGATTACAGAATAACAGTTTGACACATTCGTATAACTACAAACTTCAACAAAATTTCGGCATACTATACAATTTGCCGAAAACAATTTGCTTTAACCACTATTTTGTTTCCAGGTACTTAGAATCAAACGAGATCACGTCCATTTTACCTGACCAGATCCGTCATTTGACGCAGCTCACGAGACTGGATTTATCCAATAACGCCATCAGTGTCATCACCAATAATACCTTCGAAGGCCTCACAAAGTTATCCACGCTGATTGTAAGCTACAACCAGCTAAGATGTGTACAGGTGAGATTTATCACTGAGTAGTTTTTGAAATAATCCATTTTTCTGAATAATATATGTAGGTATTCTATGACTTTTTCTGTAGTTCTGACTACTTGTATACAAAACTTCAAGCTGATAGTTCAAGTGGTTAAAAGGTATAAAACCATATGGGGAAGTCTCCAACAGGATTAGGCGTAGTTAGGTACGGCGTCGATCCGGGAGGGACCTGAAATCACATGGTCCGGCTCCTCCCCAGAGTAAGGCACCTGAGGCCGGCTATCGAGGTTGTTTTTAGTGGGAATACCACACAGTCCTGGCTTCTGCGCCCCATGGTGTAAAACCATAATAAATAAACAGGCAAACAAGTGACGCCTAATAGTTTAGGAAAAATATGAAAATCGTCGTGCTAGTGCTTAAAATCGACGAATGATTTTCATATTTCGTGGCAGATTTTATGCTAGTGCATAAAATCGACGAATGATTTTCATACTTTTAAAAACAAGTTGACAGGACAATTCTGTCAAAGTTAAATATATTTTTTTTATAATTTTATGCTATTTCTTATTCTGATATTTCTAAATTTGCCTATTTTTCCAGAGGGATGCTCTTAAAGGTTTAACACAGTTAAGGGTTCTCTCTCTCCATGGCAACAACATATCCATGCTTGCTGATGGAGTCTTCAGAGATTTGGAATCAATTTCTCATGTGTAAGTAATTATTATCTAATGAAAATGTATTACTACTTAATTATAGCGCGTTGTGTCTTTTTAAACTGGAACCCTCTTAGAAGTTTTGCCTGCACGGATGGCGTGGGGCTTAAGCGGTCGCCTCGGCGTTTCCTACTACGCTGAGTGTTGAGGGTTCGATTCCCACATGGAACAACACTTTGTACTATCCACAAATTGTTGTTTTGAGCCTGGGTGTTCTTTGTGTCCATTTGAAAAGAAAATTGTGATGTCCCCCGCGATACAGGATATATTCTTTGAGTGACAGTTGTACTTTATTAAGAAAAAAAGCCACCAGCCTGACATTTCTAAGATCTGATCTAGTATCAGGTTCGGGGATAACATGGGTCAGGTTTACAATGGAACTAATCCCACCCACACGCCCACCACTGTAACTCCTGTACACCAGGATCCACAGCAGTGACCCATGAACACACCGAGTAATGACACTCGGGAAGTCCCAGAAAAAAATTAAACTGTCTTGGAACCCACCACGAAATTAATCAGAAGAAAATTGTAGGAGTTGGAAATACAGTAAATCCACTTCCCTCCTTAGCAAAGCGGGAGTCGAAATGAAGTAAAATAGGCATACACCCTTTTAAACAAGGAAGCACCTCGGAAACAATATATTACAGGTCAGAATTGTCGCGTATTAAAAGACTGTATAGCCTTCTTTAAAATATCTGGAAGACGTACAAGGATGCCTTGTAGCTGAATCCAAATTCATAACTCCCAAGGTGATTTCTGAAGAGCGTGTATAAAGAACGGGTTTTTTTCCAGTGCCTTAGGATCAAACCCACTGTACTGCGACTGTAACGCCCGCTGGTTATCAGAATGGGTGAAGAGCGCTGGAGAGTACGTAGAGCCTGGTATAGCTCGCTGTTCAGAACCCATTGCAATGAGGGACAAGCTAATTTTAAGCACTCAGTCAAGCGCTTTTATTTGTAAAGGTATTTATGAACAGTAGATTTTTATGTACGATTGTCAAATCAAATATATATTTTTAACATATAAAAATACATACATCACATCACATCAGCCTTTGATAGTCCACTGTTGGACATAAGCCTCTCCTTTTAGGTTTTGGCCTACTATACCACGTTGAGCAGACGGGTTGGTATAGGGTTTGTGTCAAGTTTTCCTTCTCTCCGCAGTGCTGTTGTTCTGCGTAGTTTTTTCCCTTAGTCGGCTCTTACGACACCCACGGGATGAATAAGGATGGTGACACTCTGCATTCTCTTATCCGTTACCACACACAAAAATATACATACAAAACAAATTAATTTACACAGCACCAAAAACCACGAAGGTTTAGTCCCGTGTTATAATAAGTCTGCCTACTGTTTGTTGTTTACGTTATATTTGCAGGACATATAAAACATACATACACAATAAATAAACGAACCAAAACACCAAAAGTGTTTTTTATATCACTGCCATAAACACATTTATATCGAGTTTACATAGGGGAGAGTGACCAATATTGAACCGGCGCTTAAATCGGAGCACTTCTGTATTTTTACCAAAATGGCACTATTTGGTATAGTATATTGGCACAAAAAGGAGCGCTACAAAATGGCGCGGTATTAGTGGCGCTGCTACAGTCCATCAACGTCGTGCGCGACCGTCCTGCGGGGTGACAGACGGTGGCGGGGACGAGGTACTCAAGATGTCAGCGGGTAGCGGGTTGTGTAGCGGGGAAGGGAATCGTGTGTAGCCGTGTGCTAGAATGACGCACTACCTCGCCCCCGCCGCTGTCTGTCACCCCGCGGGACGGTCGCGCACGAGATTGCCGGGTTATAGCGCTCGTTTTTGTGTTGCTAGTGTAAAAAAATAGTTTTCATTCACATTTTTCATTGTCATTTTTTGCTATTTCAGCCAAACCTCCAGCAGAAATAATATCCAAATGTGACAGTTGCTATAGCAACCCTTGTCGCAACGGAGGGTCATGTCGAGCGAGGGGCGCGGGAGGGCATGAGTGCCTCTGTGCGAGGGGATACCATGGTGACTCTTGCCAACATCAGATAGACGCTTGCTATGGCTCGCCTTGTGCTCATGGCATCTGTCATGTGCTCGAAGAAGGACGTTTCCGGTGAGTGTCTTTTTCATGTTAATTTAAATTAGCTGGATTACTTTAATTAATTAAATGGACCAGCTCGTCTGGATTGATACCACGCCCTCTCTTAAGCCCTCCCTTGATTTGGGGGGAGGGGAGAAGTACTTTAAGTACTTGCAGGCCTTTACAGGCTGTAGTAAGCGATGGTCAAGCGGTTTAACACAAAACGATAATTTCTTGGAACTTGATTGGTCAGTGGGCGCGGCTTGATCATTGCGTCACTATTTTCTTAACGCGAATGGTTTAAAGATGTATTGTTTTGTATATGTTGCAGATGTTCCTGTCAAGCTGGATACACCGGAGCTCGCTGTGAAGTGAACATAGATGATTGTGTTGCCAATAAGTGCCAGAATAATGCAACCTGTGTTGATCACCTCGAGGGGTACTCCTGTAAATGTGCTCCGGGATTCATGGGTGAGTGTAGGTGGTTGCTTACCATTAAAACCGTATTACCGATATGTACAAAAATACTTTCCAATTACTATTTCACTGATGGCGTAATGGTTTAATTGTCACCCAGTGCAATAGGAAGCGGATACTTCCTATTGCACTGGGTGATGTGGGTTCGATCCCCACATGGGACAACATTTTGTGATCCACAAATTGTTTTATGGGTCTGGGTATTCTTTGTGTCCGTTTCATGAATGTTTGTAAAGTCCCCCGCGACACAGGATATACGAGTATTACTAGTGCGGGAATTGTCTTTTATAAAAAAAAGGAAATTCTCGATCGCCTTCTCAAGCAAGTACTAATGTTTTATTTCAAACATATTATGACATGTCATGACAGTTTATGACATTCCTGTATTCAAGAGTTTTTATTTTACTTCTTGTAATTAACTTGACAGAATTCTATGCGTGGTTTTCACTTTTGCAAATTACCAGAAGGGTTGCTGGCTATAATTCAACCCATAGTAGGTGGTGCTGCTACCGAGACCTTGAGCGACATCTATTGAATGAACTAGTGATAGAAATAAATTAATCTTTTTTTTTTGCTTTATCTATTCCAGGAGAATATTGTGAGAAGAAAATACCTTTCTGCACAAAGGAGTTCAATCCTTGCGAGAATGGAGCAGTCTGCACAGATCATCACAGCCATTACACTTGCGCTTGTCCCAAGGGATATTCCGGCCAGAACTGCACCGTCAATGCTGATGACTGCATCAATCATATGTGTCAGGTACGTCAAAGTTTTTTTTAATAAAATCATTCAAATAGATTTCATTAAACAGGTACCAACACAGGTACCAGTTGGGAAGGTACTACTTTCGAATAAAAGATCCCTTGTATCTTTTTTGTACTTTTGACAACTTTAACAAACAAACAATATGAGTTACATTTGCGTTTGTGCTTTTATTTAAAGATTGCTCAAGTAATGAGTTTTAAATATAAACGTACAAACGCGTTGAATGTTTTATGCAATTAAACAAGTGTGTTTTTGTACTTTATGTGCCCCTCATCAGAATGAGGAGGAAGGGAGGGCAAGCCTCCGGTAACCTCATTCACTCCGAAAAAACACCGGTTTCTTGTGATTTCTTATTATTATTTTTACGGTATAAGGGGGCGAACGAGCAGGCGAGTCCCTCCCGCTCGAGTCAGCGGGAGGGGTAATTTGGGCTCCAATAACCTCACTCACTCAGTGAAACTCACCGGTACCGGTTTTCAGAAAACCGGTAAAACACTTACCGGTTTTCTGTGAGGAAATGCTATCACTCCAGTCGAGCTGGCCCATTCGTGCCGAAGTATGGCTCTCACGGTAAAAGTCAGACGCATGCCCCTGACACGAATGATTTAAAGTTTTCAAAAATATTTATTTATCACCTATCTATAGAACGGTGCGACCTGCGTGGACGGGCTGGACGAGTACCGGTGCGCGTGCGCGGGCGGGTACGCGGGGCGCTACTGCGAGGCGGCGCCGCACGCCGCGCTGGGCACGTCGCCGTGCGCGCACCACGACTGCGTGCACGGCGTCTGCTACCTGCCGCAGGCGCGGAGGGCGCTACAGGTCCCACACAAGCATTCCACTACTTCCTCATCAGATAATCTATAGCTTCACTGAAATCTATACAAATAAATAAAATTGGAGTGTCTATTTGTAATATTAAATTAACCGCTTTTTACTAAATGCATATGTATGTTTACAAGGTACATATGCCAAAATAACATTTTTTACAATTTTTGTCTGTCTGTCTGTCTGTCTGTTTGTTCCGGGTAACTCGTAACGGGTCTTTCACTGGCAGATAGCTGATGACATAAGGAGTAACTTAGGCTACTCTTTTTAGACTAGCTTCGCCCCGCGGTGTTGCCCGCGTTTGTTGTTATAACCGCGGGCAACGCCGCGGGGCGAAGCTAGTAATTACTAAAAGTGCTATTTACAAAGTCTTGGGCAAGCATTCGTGTTTATGGTACGCTATAGTTCTGGTATTTTAACTTCAGATATATTTTTTTTGTATAAAAGTCGTAATTATGTTAAGTGTCTTAGTATTAATGTAGTATAAAATATTATTGTTAGCATGAAGTGCTTACCTTTTATTTTATTTTTTTCCGTGCGGAAATCCCCTCGGATACCACCTATTGGTGGCATGTCGGACTCGAACCGACTAAAACCGCACGCCGTCTCAGGTACTAATAGCCGGGGAACCAGGTATACCCTAAAAAGAAAGTCCCTGGTGCCATGACATACCTCGGGCCATCTACAACAAGTAGACGACCCCCCCTTGCTTACCTATATTTTTTACACTATAAGTCATAAGTCTATTGAATGCATCTGATATCAGTGTATACAAATTTTGGTGAGCCAAATAAAAGAAAAAAGTGTAGTATGCGTAAAAATATGGAATCAAAAACTGTCTTTAATATTTTGTTATCTTTTCAGGATGATATAATAATGGAACGACCTCTCCTCAGCACAGCAAACGATTATCTTTGTAAATGTGCACCGGGATACTCAGGTAGATAAAATATTTATTACGTTAATAACACTAAACGGTAATCATTTCACTTACAAAGAAAGGACACAAATAAATAAACTTTAAAGGCATTAAAAACATAAAAATTCGCCAATAGAATATCTAAATTTGTCTGGAAATATACGTTGGTTTGTTAACTGCACGGTTGCCGTAATGGCTTAAGCGTTCGCCACGCCGCTTACTACTACGCTGAGTGTTGTGGGTCCGATCCCCACATGGGACGACACTTTGTGTGATCCGCAAATTGTTGTTCTGAGTCTGGGTGTTCTTTGTGTCCGTTTCATGTATGTTTGTAAAGTCGCCCGCGACACAGGATTTATTCCTAGTGCGGGAGTTTATGAAAATGTTAATACAAACAAATTGCAATCAATCCGTTTAACTAATGTACCGAGATAAAATAAAAATGAATGGTTGAAACTAATGCATATTATGAAAGTAGTAAACTAAAATTTCTCCTTTCATTCGCAGGTCGACTCTGTGAATATTTGACTTCGCTAACGTTCAGTCACAACGATTCTTTGGTTGAATTGGAACCTCTGAGAACTGCTCCGCAAGCCAATGTCACTCTAGGTAAGACACTTGACCACGGTTTTAGGTTTCTCAATAGTAATTGAGACAGAACAAGCCCAGGTTGGATAGCATTCAATGAAGAGCGACTTGAATCCTCGATTACGAAGATATTTCCGATCGGCTTGACCCCTGGTGTTGCGTAGAGTTACAGCTTCATTCTGCATTCTCTATCTCTTATAGTAAGTCATAGGGGAAAGTAAGAGAATGTTCCGAGGAATTGATCGGACTTATTTTGGCCTTAGCTTTTAGTTTAAGGATAAAAGAGGAAATTCGTATTATAAATGGCAGATGTCTCTGCCCCTTTCAAAAGAACGAAAAGGCGTTTCTGTTTCAATCAAGACCCATACTGCGATTCATTGCGATTTATAAGCCTTGCCCAGTCTTGCCCTTTCAGTCCTTTTCCTCTTTTTTTTACATTCCAGTTCCGGAATTACAAAATGTTTGTTTTCTACAACCTGTTTAAACAGGTCGTACTAAATAATTTGAATTTAGTTATCTTATTTATTAAGATTTTAAAATAAATCTATTTATTTTTTATCAGTATTCAGTACGACACAACTTCACGGCGTTCTTATGTACTTCGGAGAGAATGAACATCTAGCTGTGGAGTTGTTCAACGGTAGAATCAGAATTAGTTACGATATTGGAAACCATCCGACGTCTACCATGTACAGGTAAGTTTTCATTTGTATATATTCCTTACAACTTACTGTCCAGTTGGTATCGGGGTGGATTAGGAAGATTAAGAATAAGAAGTGTCACCACCCCTACTTATCCCCTGGGTGTCGTAAGTGCTTACTAAGGGAGTAAACTAAGCAGGATCACAGTACTGCAAAAAGAAAGAAATCTTGAAACAAACCCTATATCAAAACCGGCTAGTCAGCGTGGTATCATAATCATATCAGCTGAAAGACGTCCACTGCTGAACTTTGATATCCCCCAAGGTTCACCACAACAACTGGTCCTGTACTGCCCGGAACCAACGGCTTCCCGCGACCTACATAGGGTGGTATAGTCGGCCATAACCTCCTGCCTAAATAGAGGTCTATGTCTACCAGCGGACTATTAAAGGTTGTTGATGATGATGATCAAATCATATTACGACTATTGGAAGCGGAGCAGTAACCATAAAAGCATGTGAAACTGTAAGAAATGCAGTATATATTACAGAATTGAAAATAATAATAGGTCTTATATTCAACTTATCAGTTTTAACTGCTTTCCTCTTTAGCTTCGAGATGGTGTCCGATGGTAACTACCACAAGGCGGAGCTGATTGCCATCAAAAAGAACTTTACCTTGAAGGTGGATGATGGTCCAGCCAGGTCTATCATCAATGAAGGTAAGATTATCACCAAGAAATGTTTTAAGCGAATACTGAAAGGTATAGAAGCTGTTACAGAAAGCTGTGCTCTTGTGAATAATTTAAAATATTTACTAAAATTTACTTTACTATTTACGAAAATCCCTATTTTTAATACAGCAAACTTATTTTAATACAGTGTCAAAGATCAAAATAGATTTGACTGCTCGGATGGCGTAGTGGTTTAAGCGGTCGCTACGCCGCTTCATACTACGCCGAGTGTTGTAGGTTCAAACCCCACATGGAACACTTGTGTGATCCACAAATTGTTGTTCTGAGTCTGGGTGTTCTTTGTGTCCGTGTATGTTTGTAAAGTCCCCCGCGACACAGGATATATTCCTAATGCGGGCAAAACAGAGATTCGATAAATGACCGATAAACTATATCAATGTAAAAAAAAACGTGTGTTCTTTAAAGCCTGCACCGAAAAACTGTTAAAGCTAGAAAACAAGTCACTATTTTTGCTTTTTGAAGCCAATGTAACAAGCAATTGGCTACATGTTGCGATACAAAATATAATCTCACCTTTCTGCTTGTCAATATACTTACTTTGATAATATAATATTTGAATAGAAAAGTTAATTATCATTATTATCCATTTAAAAGTTCATTTTGAATGGATGATGTAGTAATAGCCGCAAGGTCCAAGTTCTTGGCGAAGCGAGAAATTGAACAAGCAAATTGCATCGATATACTATTTGGATTTTACACCCATCATGTATTGTTAACTTTCCTTTTCCAAAGATATCTTGCATAACTATATTACACGATATTCAAAGAAGATATTTTCGTAATGCTCGCTTCGATAGCTCTAAGCATCTACCATCACCATACTTTAAACCCGTGTAAACTAAAAATTAACATATATCAGGTACTAAGGAATATCTTCGGCTCGAAAGACCAATGTATCTTGGTGGGGTACCTGAAGATATCGCCAAAGAAGCGTTCAGCAAATGGCATCTAAGAAATATAACTAGTTTCAAAGGTATGGTTGTTTTATTCTCTCTCACGCATGTAACTTTAAATTGGTACAAGGAGGTAGTAAACATTTTGCAAAATTGCAATTTGTTTCCATTCAGTTTATAGCTGAATAAGGTTACAAGACATAAATTTGTTTAAACTTTAATGGGATACAAAATAATAATAATAAAGAAAACAATATCCTAGAAAAACAGAGATTGGATGACCCTGATGGCCTAAGTAATGGTCATAAGATTGACATAAGTACATTTAAATATGAACTGGACAACAGCACTGCAAGGAGAAGCAAAACTTGAAACAAATCTACACCAACCCGTCAGCCGCCAGCGTGGTATAGTAGGCCAAAACCTTCTTCCTGAGGGGAGGCCTATGACCAGCAGTGGACTGTCGATAACGTTGTTTTTTTTTTGCAAAATACATTGACCAAAATTTATAAATGAAATATTTGTCAAATAGCATAAGGATCTTCGTTCCTATTGAGTATCCCACGATACCAAACTGCTTTTTTACTATTGATTTTAATACACTAGAAAATATTAATTTGAACCCTGTTGCTATTATGTCAAACCCTTTATAATAAAATTATTTACTTTATTTACATTAAATCAACAAACTAACTGACAAAAAGTTATCTCAGAAAACCTAAACTATAGTGAATCGGTACTAACATACAAGTCTTCCTACAGGGTGCTTGAAAGAAGCATGGATAAACCACAAGAGAGTGGATTACGTGAATGCAGTAAGAGTACAAAGAACTTCAGCTGGCTGCGGAGAAGATGAACCTACGACATCTTCAGTAGCCACTGTATTCATACAAGAAGACGCTGGAAGACATAATCAGGTTTGTTACTGACAGTGCTGCCATCTTTAAACTGTCAAACTGTTATAATTCCATTCATTCCATTTTGGGGATATCATTAAATCCTGGATTCGACGTAAAATTAAGAATTACTGTTGCTTTTGCGATGGTAAAACCATTTTATTTCAGAATCTTTAATTTCTTTTCTGGATAATAAGAAAAATGAGTCTTTCTTTTTATAACTTGTAATTCTTTTGGCCCTAGGATCCCTGTGTACCGAACCCATGCGCACGCGGAGGACGATGTGTGAGAGAAGAAGGTTCACCATCAGATTACACCTGCAGATGTCGCGCTGGTACAGCTGGTCCTCAGTGTGAGCTTCGGGCTTCTATAGGTAAGTGTGGTATCATACTTAGGATATGGGTATATCCCATAAGTTGCCGTTGGCCGTTGGCAAATTAAAATGCAGAAATAGCCTGGGGCATCTATAAATATATTAGTGTGGATTCTTAAAACAAACTCTTTCAGAAGTCAAATAAAGTATTAAAGTACCACTGGCTGGTGGTCTCTGGATTTAGTTCCTGGACACGACACCGTGAGCCATGCATATTTCTCTGAATCTTCAAAAGCCTGTGAGCTGTGAAATGATCTTTAACCTGCATTACCAACATCACAGACATACACGTCAACAGCCTTTATTAGTCCACTGCTGGACATAGGCCTCTTCTTAGAAAGGAGGTTTTGGCCTACTATACCACGATGGTCAGACGGGTTGGTGTAGGGTTTTTTCAAGTTTTCCTTCTCATTGCAGTGCTGTTGTCCTGCGTAGTTTGCTCCCTTAGTCGTGTCTTACGACACCTACTGGATGTATAGGGGTGGTGACCCTCCGTATTCTTAATCCGTCACCACACGGATATATTAGCAACCGTCTAGTATAATCAGACGTGGCAATGTGACGCTGGAGATACTAGATTTCCTATGGGTATTAAGTTATGCTCCTATTCTGCAGTTTCCGGGAGGCTTAAAAAATGATAACTTTTTTATTTATTTACCATTTCCAAGCAATTTTTCAATTAATTCCATCTTCAGTTCCATTTATTAGAACTTTAAAATCCCTTTGATTGTAGGAGGAGCTCCAGTGATCACCCAAGGCAACAAACAGCCTCCTCGAAAGCAGGCCATCAGCAATGTGCAAGCTTCTCCAGGTAAACTAATATTTTGAATCTGAAATTTGTTTGGTTGAACGCGCTAATCTCAGGAAATACTGGTTCGAATTGTTGAATCTGTATATAGATAGAGAGGTACTCTTTATTGGACACCATCATTAGGATCCATACGATGATACATACAAAAATACTATCATCATCATTCATCATCAACAGCCTATAATAGTCCAGTGCTGGACATAGGCCTCTCCTTAAGAAGGAGGAGAGGAGGAGAAAGGAGGAAAAATACTATAGCCTATACTAATATTATAAATTCGAAAGTGTGTTTGTCTGTCTGTTACCTTAAACCGCTGAACTGATTTAGATAAAATTTGGTACAGAAATCATAGGGTACTTTTTATCCCAGAAATCATCCTTTAAAGGAGTGAAAAGGGGGTCGAATTTTGTATGGGAAATGAATAAGCTGCTATGGCTGCCTCAGTGGCGCAGTGGTAGCGTATGTGACTGATGTTCTGAGGTTTCGGGTTCGATTCCCGGGTCGGACCAAATGTTTGTATGCTCTGCAAATATTTGTTTCGGGTGTTTTCTATCTATAATATGTCTGTACTTACAAAAAAAAAGTACATAAGTATTCTATCGGTCAATCTAGCTTTCATAGTACAAGCTCTGCTTAGTTTAAAACTAGATGGAGTTTTGTGTAAGATGTCCGAAATATTATATTATAATAAGCGATGAACCTATTTAGATGATATTTGGTATGAAGATACTTTGATTCTTGAGGAAAGGCATAGGATTTTTACCGCGATAAACGACATTCACGCGGGCGGAGCTATGAGCAAAAGCTAAAAGATCATAGATCAAAGACTAGACTACTATAACATCACACTACGACCAATAGGAACCGATAATCAATGGAAAGTTTAAAAGGGGAAAATCTATTGCTTTTAAAAGACGCAGACAAAGTTGCGTGGGTCAGCTAGTTAATAAAATATTCAATGAAACGCCTTATGGACCAGCCTTAGCTTGATTTAAGAGGCAATTATTAAAACATAAATAACATTTTTGTTAATAGAGTTTTGTAATAAAAACATTTTATTTTCAGCTGCACCCTCCCACAAACAACAAATGCCATCAGAACATACACCATCACAACCAACATCTGCTACTGGTGCTTGCAGAAAGGTATCCATTTCTATTAACTATTGTTTTTTATGGTATAGGGGGGAAAACGAGGAGACTGGTCACCTGATGGTAAGTGACTACCGCCGCCCATGGACAAGAGTCACAAGTGCATTGCCGCTATTTGAGTTCTCCTCCCCCCTCCCCCCAACCTAAATCAGTGGAGAAGCTTGGACGATAGATACGAAGATAACCACGCTCACTCGATAAATAGCAATGAATAAAGACCGAAACAGTCGCCAGGTTACATTAAATGTTTTCAAAAAAGACTTTTTTTTAAATTGTTATATCAGCAATTTGAATCCTGATATTCCGGTAACAAAATTTGAGTTGTAGGTAATTATGATATTTGGAGGTGTGAAAGATATTTGAAGAATGATATAGGATTAAATGGTTAATATTCTTGCTTGTCTGAAACGGACTATCGAATACTAGGGATCTTTCTAGTAAATTCGATAGCGCTATAAAAGCGGAGCGTGTTGGCCATACGGGGGACAGTATCGTTTTACGACACAGCGAATCAACATCAAAGTGAATTTCTAGTGCGACTAACGAGATATATAGTGATTTCTAGTTTATTATAGTGAGTGTTTGTAAATACAGTGCAATAAAGTAATTAACCGACAACTTTTATTTATTATATACCCCAGTAACAATATATATTTGAAGTGTTGATAAGTAATTTAGATTTTGTTACTTATGAATGAAATTTTATTTTTAATGTATCTCATGAATATTTTAACGTGTAGGAAGCAACCCGAGAAGTGATCACAGAAGGATCGTGTCGCAGCAGAAGGGCGGTGCGAGGAGCTCGCTGCATATGGCGAGGATCCCGCCCATCCTGCCCTAATGGACATTGCTGTGCACCTAGGAAGACTAAAAAGAGAAAGGTATGTAAAATTATCCGGATAGGAAGGTAAGTTGCCCTTCTAGGCTGGGTTCATATGTCTTAATAACAGCAGTTCCCGAATCCCTCCTATATCATTGCCCTTCTAGAAGGGTGTCATATGTCTTAATAACAGCAGTTCCCGAATCCATCCTATATGAAGCGCAGAGTGTCACACTGTGTGAGTTTAGTCGGTTCGATGCCCACACCGCCCCGCCGCAATCTCCGTAGGGGTGACGGCCAAAGGAGGTTTCCACACGTTAAAAAGGGTAGTTGCCATATAAAAGCTGGTGGAATCCTTGGTATTTGATACTTAATCTTTCATTCGTATAAATAAAAATACCAGCTTTAACCTTCAATTATTATTATGTTTAATTTGTCACTTTCAAAAGAAGATCTTTATGTAAAACCACGAATATAACTCATCAACATCGTCATCATCAACAGCCTATAAAAGTCCACTGCTGGACATAGGCCTCTCCTTAGAAAGGAGGTTTTGGCCTTTTATACCACGCTGGCCAGACGGGTTGGTATAGGGTTTGTGTCAAGTTTTCCTTCTCTATGCAGTGCTGTTGTTCTCCGTAGTTTTTTCCCTTAGTCGGCTCTTACGAGACCCACGGGATGAATACCGTCACCACACGGACACCACACGAATATAACTAAAAATGTTTTATACTTTATTTAATACGTTATTTAATAGGTGACAGTGAGGTGTGATGACATAACCTGTCTGCTAACCCAGATGTCGTGGGTTCGATTCCTACTCAGAACTGATAATTGTGTAATGACTTATCATATTATCTGTGTCTGTGTGTAATTTATTTAATATATGTATGTATTTAGAAATATATAAGTATGTTTATCAGCAGTCTGGTTACCATAGTACAGCCTCTGCCTAGTTTGGAACCAGACAGCCGTGTGTGAGAAGTGTTAAGTTATTACTATAGTATAAGACCCTTCAACGTGCCTACATATTTGTAAGATCCTGTATAATCTTTTTAAATTTACGTTTCAGATAAGATTGGTATGCACCGACGGCACAAGATACACCAAAGATATCGAGATAGTCAGGAAATGTGCTTGCGGCAAAAAATGTCCACGAAACTCCCCGTTCCACTAAACCAAGACTGACTCAACCCTGAAATGCCTCAAATATCATAAAAGTCCCAAATATCATAACATCTCTCAAATATCAAGATTCAAATATCATGATTGTACCAACTATCGTGAATACCATATACCTTAAATATCTATCAATCTAGGTTTTATTCAGCTTATCTCTTTACCACTTTACATTAGGAAAGGGATATACCTTTACGATATGTATAATAATAGTAATGTAACTCTTATTATTACCATTACGAAACAAAAAACTCATGTATTTTCAAAGTCAAGGGCGTCCATTTAAGTTCAAGGTTATTCATTAGTTAAATGTCAAATGTTTTCTTTCAAATATATCTTAAACGAGTATCGAGCTATAACCCGGTAATAGACAATAATTAAAGCATTTTATTAATATACAATACATCATTGTAATTTAAAAAAATACGAATTTATCCTCCCCTTTTTTCATAACAGTAGAAAAGACGAGTGTTTTGGGTTATTACTAACATTTTTGGCCTACGACGAACAAATTGACGCAATGACACATAAAAAAAATTTAAGCGGACTAGACTACATTTAAGTCTGGTCCGCTAAGTCCTCGCTACTTATTCATACACGTGGCCAATGGCTGAAAACAACATAAGTTAATAATTAAGTAAATATACTTAAAATGATAATAAATTTGCCTTCGTAGGCCAATTTTGTAGGTTTTAACTTATGTGATTAGTGACCTCGATGAAAGTAGACACGGCCTAAGTACGTAGTGTTAGAAGTTTTATAATCTATATCGATATGTAAACTAGCGCCATTAACTGTCATAAACTGTCAATTTCAATTTTTTTTCCATTCGAATCCTTCGGAAACTCCATATTAAGATTTACGAAATTAATGAAAATTAAAAAAACCGTTCTCACACATAAAATTGTTTAATAATGACGACATTTTTCATATTTTTGAATTATTTTTATTATCTTAAAAACAATAATTGTACCCTGTGTATTGTATTGACAGTTTATTGCTCGCAAAATAACCTCAAACCCATAAAAATACACAAATTATTACATTTGACACAATAAAATATACATTTTTACTTGTTAGTATCTATAGGCTTATACCCACATATTTAATTAAAATAATTAGTAATTATTAATAATTATAAAATAAACTAGAGCTCTCAAGTAGATCTAAATAACATAAACAAGTACCTACATATTATTATACACATGTATAAAATTATCAATTTGATATTACTTGTAAAAATATTAGGTAGTTACTCATACATCTCTCAAGACATAGAGTTTTATAGAAAAAAATCTTAAAAGGCCGGTTTACCAAACTACAAGCCATCAGAGGCAATTATTGAAAAAAAAAAACAACTTTAAAAAAGTGATTTGTCGACTATTACGAATAACTAAAGCAGCAAACAGGTTACTTAATAAGTTAAAAAAATAATGCCATGCAGACTGAATGCCCAGAAGAAAAGATTGGAGTATTGTGTTGGATTTAAAATACTTAAAACTAAAAAAAAACATACAATCTTCTACAAATGCTTAATATTATTTTGAATATACCTACTGTGTGTGAACAGTATAATGGATTCTTTAAACGTAATGACTGATTTATTTGTTACAAAGATGGTTAAAATTATTTTAGCTGCGGCATTATTGCACATTTGTGACCAGTCCTCTCTGATCACAGGGAGAACTTTTGTGTGCGCGATTTGGACTCCACGAGCTAATCCAGGCTTAGTTCATTTTCCTATCCTAGTTCCTTTGACCTATCCGTTGTTCCTTAGTTTTTCTCTCTTTGTCGAGGCTCAAAACGATTAAGTACCTACTTAAAAAAAAAAGAATTAACCACAGCTATAAAATAACACAATGCTCCGATCCCAAAGAAAATTAGTAAAAATGATGACAAATATAATATTTTATATGTTTCTAATATTTAATTTGCTTGCTAAGCCGTATGGTATATTCAAACTAGTATATACATATTTTTATATTTTTACACAGTGGTGTAGCTAGGTGTGGGCGAAGTGGGCAATCGCCCACGGCCTCGCAATTAAAGGGGTCTCGCGAGGCTACGTCAAATGCTATACTCCCAAACTTCAATACAGATGACTAATAAATTTGATCCCTTCGAGAGTATGAGGTTACAACAGAGCTGCTGTAGTTAACCCCGTACTGAGGGAGCTTTTTTTTCAACTCGATCCTGTTTGAAGGCTGGCTTCCTCGGCTCCCTTCCTTTTTTCACTATTATAAGTAGATATGTCGTGTCAAAACGTGTTCGGTAGAAAAGATTTATTGGGTAACGAAAGAAAAGAGGCATCACTGGTGGGACTTCGCCCACATATATATTTGTCCACGCTACGCCTCTGTTTTTGTAGTTCAGAATGGCTATTCTAAGTTAAAATTAGTAACCGAAAAGTCGACTTTTTTTTTAATTTCCAATAAAAGTAAAAAAAAAAACAATGTGTTCATTTTCAATGTAATTAAAGTATTTATTGATATTATTATTTTGTATGTTGTTTATTTTTTATTATTATTTAAGTTAGTTCTTAAGTATTGTGTATTAAATTATTAGTATTGCCGTTTATTAAAAATAATTTTAATAAATTATTGATTAGTAGAAATTTTAATTCTAAAATAATTATAAAGTTGTAATTATGCCATATATTAATTTAATTTTTATAATTAATAATAAAGATTATATTTTGGTGTAATTGAAAGTTAAATTACGTAACTTAACAGTAGCAGCTTTAAGGTCTGTAAAAGGCTTTAATTTTCAATGGGTTTAACACCACTAACTAACTATATTTAATTATTTAAACTTACTATTTAATTTAATCATATATTACATAACATATCAATGAATTAACTTTCATATCTGTTTATTTCTTTAAATCTGATTTTAATACAAAACGTTGCGTAAAGTGAAATATAAAAAAATATATTTGAATAGTATGATATCAATTCTTTGGATTTCTGTATCCATTTTTTTTTAAATACAGACTTGCCATTTAAATAAATATCAAACTTACTAATTGTAGCTTTTAGATTAAAGCTAAGGGAGTAGGGACAATGGGTTCATACAAAACTTACCCAAATAAAAATGACAGCTCTCTCAAGAATTTTTTTTTTCTTTATTTAACCTCAAAGTGGTATGATCTACAAAGTATGGGTGTCTACCAATAAGAACGTCCTGGTTTAAAAATTGAATAAAACACACAATTTTTATGAAAAATGCATCCGATTGATTTATTTGATAGATAATTTTATGAAATTTATGTTTTAAATAATATATCGGCCAAATGACCACCGCGGCTCTTTTTGCAGACGGTCACCCGCTCACGGGGATTTTCGATGACGCGGTGCACCATTTCGGTCGGTATATCGGCTATGGCTCGTCGAATGTTGGTTTTTAGGTCACGAATTGTAGCTGGATTATTGCTGTACACTTTCGATTTAACGTAACCCCAAAGAAAATAGTCTAAAGGGGTTAAATCACATGATCTAGGTGGCCATTTCTCGAAATTAACGACTCACCAAACTTTCCACGCAATAATTCCATGTTCACTCGAGTAGTGTGAGGTGGTGCACCGTCTTGTTGAAAATAAAGGTCGTCTGCATCAATATCATCAAATTCCGAAAAGAAATATTCGGTTAACATCGAGTTATAGCGATAGCGATATTCAAAGAAGTTCTGGACAATTTCCAAGCGTATGCTTAAAGTGAAATGTGACATGATAAAATAGCAAACCTTACTGAACACAAATGTCAAGAGAAGTCAAAGATCCATCATCAAACATGGCCGCTATGAGCTGTCAAAACTAGATCATCCCTATTGGTAGACCCAGTACTTTGAAATAACAATTTGTGACGTCATATTTCCCTATTGTCAAATAATTTACTTTTAATATCATGATTTAAAATTATAAACTTGACAATAATTATAAATTCATTTTTTTTTTATTTTGACTATATCACAAGTATACTCAGTAGGCCTTATGGATTAACATTTGTCCCTTTGTCTTTAGATTAAAGCCTCATATCTATTAATTATACAATTTTCTTGTAAAATAATATTTATGGATTTTGTTGCTAAGTCAGCTTGTAAAGTTTAAATTAAAGATTTTTGATATCATACAGTGTGCTGTTCTTTCTCTATTAAAAAAAACTACTGCGGGTTGAAAAGTTCAAAAAAGGTTATATTATTTTAAAACATCATTAATAATGACAACACACTGTATTATGTCATATGTAGATATAAGAAAATGTAATTTAAAGCATTCCCTATTTATTTACTACCATAATGGTAGGAATTATTAAATGGTAACACTTATCAACGCATTTACGACCTAATTATTATCATCAGTATTATAATAACAAAATAATGTTAGGAGTAAGAAATACTACCAAGAAATTTTATACAGTGTGTAGTTGTGTACGCATTTTCTACCATTTACATTCTGCGGATTTGTTGGTAGGCTTTCGTAGGAACATTGATAAAGTTTCTTGGTAGTTTTTTTATAGGCTAAGAATAATGTACCTATTACCATGTGTTGCTTAATGGAACGCTAGAGGGCGTCGCATGCGCTTCTTATTAAATATTAACATATATTGTCTATACACTTTATAAGTTATTTGTCGTAATAAAAGATGTTAGAAATATTTATTGTTTTATTCTGACATTACTTGACAACTGAAAAAAATCTGTATGTGTATTTTTGTGTCATAAAAGAATCACTTATAATTATTCCTAAAGCACCTAATTTTTTGAAAACCGTGACAGGTTCGACCGGAGTGATACCACGGCCTCACAGAAAACCAGTGCTAAGCAATTCTACCGTTGCTTTTTACTGAGTAGCCAAAACTTACCCAGATTCTGGAGGTGGGGCGTTGGACTTTGAAGAGGGCAACACACTTTTTGACTTGACTCTCGAGTTATAGGTGTCCGTGAGCGGCGTTAGGTGACACGTTTGCTCATTTGACCGTATACTCCAGGGATATCATCACCTTAGCGTTGAGGGTGAAGATATATATATGTAAAAAAACTAAAGAATCTATAACTATAACAAGTGGGTCTATTGCAGGGGGGCCATACTCACAATTTTTAAGAATTTTCCGTAGTCAATGGATTCTTAGTATTCTAAGTCAATTTACAAAATATAAACATAATGTATCATTAAAGCTACCAAGGTTTTCTTGATTCATTCATCTTGTCTATTCCGTCTCACATAAATAGCATATAATAGTACACTGCTGGACATGGGCCACTCCTGAAATAGGTGAAATAGGAGGTTTTGTACCACGCTGGCTCGACGGATTGGTATAGGATTTGTTTCAAGTTTTCCTTCTCTTTGCAGTGCTGTTGTCCTGCATAGTTTGTTCCCTTAGTCAGCTCTTATGACACCCACGGGGTGAATAGGGGTGGCGTAACTCTGTATTATGAATCCGACACCACACCATTACGTGTAAATAAATTAAATGGCGAGTTCTAGTGCCGTCTCCAGAGATAGTATGGTATAGTAGTTACGCGTAGAGCCTCTTCAAGTTACTACACTCTAGGTTTCGTTTCCCATCAGACACTTAGCATTATCCCATACCATAGCTCACCAGTTCAATCCTTTTTTCTCACTCTAAATTTGTATTCTTGCGGCTTGTTCTTCTTCTTCTTAAAAATGATTACATAATCTACCAAGATTATCGATGGGCAGGGTATAAAATAAACAACTTAAAAGTGTGCATATTGCCTTAAAATTTATAAAATTCAGTGTGATGGTGATGATGATGATGATGAGCTCTAAATAAAACAAATTTTGCAATAAAATATAACTGTATTTTGTTTTAATAAAATATAAACATTAATATGTTCAACAGAATTCTGAGAACTAACGAATATATCATCCATGTAAATAAACTGCAACAATGAAATAACCATATTGATCACAAAGACAAAATATAACTATTTATTAATGTTATGATAAGCCGATCATAGCTTTTAGTAGTGAAAGACTTGTACAACAAAAACGAGCGAAACTTTCAGTAGCCGCACATTATTATGTTGTGTTATATCTGACACCTCAGCTACCAAGTGCCAAACCTAGAAATGTGCGAACTAGTTTGCGTTTATTTCACATCTACTTGATCGTCTTGGTGACTCTGTCTGTACTTCACCACGCTGGCCAGACGGGTTGGTATAGGGCCTGTGCCAAGTTCTCTTTGCAGTGCTCTTGTTCTGCGTGTTCTCGTGTCACTTAGTCGACTCTTGCGACACAAACGGGATGAATAGGGGTGGTGACAATCCGTATTCTTAATCCGTCACCACACAGACGACTGTCTGTACCTAACTCTTCACTAATCGCAACCCCGAACACGGTCACGCTGACTATCAAGTTGATTTGAAATAAACGGCTACTCGTCCCTTAGAGTATACGCTTCCCTGGCTTATTACTAGACATATATTCTTGTAATGCAGAAAAGCGAGACTAAATTAATATTAAACACATCAAAAACTGTTTGTTTTAACTATGTAACATCTTTCCACGATATCCAATGTTGAATAAAAACAACAAATCGTAATATGGAGACAAGTTTGGATATATTCCATTGAAGATACATTTCTGAAATGAAGTAAAGTATAATCAAAGAATATTTTTTCTGTCATTTATTATCCATCTATAGAAGAAAAATAACAAGAAATAACTAAGTAGTTATAAATAACACTTTATATCCAAAATCCTACAAGATAAAATTACAATATTTTGGTCTATCGTTAGGTATACATACATATAATTCTTTTATATTAAAATAACGATAGTAATATTTTAGAAATGTCTTCATAAGTTTCTCTTTAATAACTATTCTTTATTATATCTATTGATTATTTAATACCTCTTATATATTATGATTCTAATTTGCAAGTAGGGTCACAAAACTTTTGTAAAATATTTGTATATCATAATTTGGATTTAAAAATATTACACATAAGGATTTAATATGTTTTCACTTTCATAAGCTAGACTTTTCTAGTCATAGATAGACACTTTCATGAGATATGTTTGAGGAGATATTAAGTTCTGAAATTAGCAGTCACTTATAACATTAGAAGTCCTTGAAAAGGGAAGAAAAAGGTACAGATATGACAGTATAATCTATCTTATGAACGAGAAAACACAGTAAGTATAAAATGATATATTTATTTGTTTGCAATATAAATTCAATGTCTGATATACATAGCTTAAGTTTAAATACAGTATTAGAGCAGTTTTCATCGGAATCAACCATAGAACAAACCATTATAATGCTTTTAAAATCGTGTAAGGAACTTACAACATCATCTATGTATGTAAATATTTTTTTATTTTTAAAGGAATCCTTTTAAAGATTCCAACTTAAGTAGTAAAATGAGATGTTTGAAATTAAAATCATCAATCATCAACAGCCTATAATAGTCCACTGCTGGACATAGGCCTCTCCTTAGAAAGGAGGTTTTGGCCTACTATAGCACGCTGGCCAGACGGGTTGGTATAGGCTTTGTTTCAAGTTTTCCTTCTCTTTGCAGTGCTGTTGTCCTGCGTAGTTTGTTCCCTTAGTCGGCTCTTACTACACCCACGGGATTGAAATGGATGAAAATTAAAAATACCTATACATATCAAAAAGTAAAGTTAAAGTAAATTTGGATTTCTAGGATGAAGGAGAAAATGAATATATTTAAAAAGATGGGATAGTAAAAATACAAGTGACTTATAATTCTATTATTGATTCCAATAGCCAATTATTGACATAGAATGCTCCATTCATTTATGTTTTAAATAGTTTTGATTTTTTTGTTGCTGTATAAAAGTCTAAATTTAAAGGCACATGAAAAGAAATAGGTTACGTTTTTAGAGAAATTATACATTTATAGTGATTATAGAAAGTTGCTGGATAAAGTTGGCATAACTATTTAAATTATAAATGTATGAACATTATAATTACAACTATTAAAACTTATTTATAATTATTTTAGTAATTACAGAACCAATATATAAAATCTCACTATTTTGTTGCGTATCACTAAAAGTGATAGACATCATGTTGATAAATATTTTAGAAATTCCTTTGAAAAGGTTAAAAAGAATGTATTTGGTTTAGCATTGTTCAATTGCAATTCCTCATTAGACTGGAGGTTCAAGAACTCCATCAATTATTCGTCTCTAGGAGAGAAATAGCCCAAATTCTGCTGTAGTCTACATTCAACAGTTCATTATTTATTTTTCAAGTAAAATAAGTCAATATTTTACGTTTGCTCTTTTTCTTTGACATTTAGTACTTTACTAGATAGTACAACATTTAAATAAAAGTATCTTTAAGGATTTCTTTCTTAATATCTGAAGTTGTACTACTCTTGGTCATTTTAAGTATGTTGACTTGATGTACTATTTTTTCTTCCTTCTCTTTATCATGCTTGTCAATTTCAGTATCCATTTCTTCAGACTCTGTTACATTTTTGCTAGTTTCTGGACTTAATGTTACTTTCAAATGATCTTTATCATCTTCTACTTGTAAATTATCAAATTTATTGGATACTTTCAATTCCACTTCACTATCAAAATCTCCACGTATCATTTCAATATCGGTACTCAGATCTTCTTCAATTTCATCTTTTCTTGAATTCTTATCAAAAGTTTTAGTTTCTCCACAAATCAATTTCAACTTTTTACATTCTTCAACGCTGTCTTGGCTGCTATATTGGCTGCTATATTTTCTTAAATCTTCATTGCCACACCCTTTATCAATCCCTATTTTATCATCATCATCTTGTAAATCTTCAACATCATCTAAACTTGCTTGTCCAGCTTTGTAATCAGTCGCATTACTCTGAGAATCCGAACTTAATAAATCTTGCTTAGGGCTTTTAATTTTTTCAATATTCTCCTCGTTTTCGTCAATAATTTCTAGTCTGGATCGTGAAAAAAATTTTTGAATAGACTCCAATTTTTCTAACACTCTTTCACTTCTGTCCGAGCTGCTTGTGAGAGTTGTGTCTTCTGTCATGCAAGCAGAGTCTATTCTTTTCGATAAATCTGATAAAGAATCAGAAATTTCTGTTGTAGACGTTGATTTGTCAACTCTGATGACTCTTGGTTTGATTATCATACTAGGAGGTAAATCAGGAATGTTTCTTAAATCAATTAAACTTATCGAAGAACGTTTCAAACTTGAACTTATATCAAATTCATCATCCGAGTCGTCTTCAAAATGTTTTGATACCCTGTCTTCTATGTAGCTTACTAAATCTTCTGCAGTTTGTCTTATATGTGAGATGCGATCGTCTGAATGATTTCTTTCTATATCTCTAGAAGAAGGTTCATCTTCTTCAATAATATCTGATAATTCAACACTATAGGGCATAGAGTAAGCAAACAATGGTGGTTTTGTATATGATTCATAGTTTTCCATATCTTCTTGTTCAGACATTGTATCTGCTTCTGATTTTTTCATGGCACATATTTTTTCGATTGCTTCATCAAATATGCTTTCTAAATCATTCTTTACATTACTCAAATCAATAACAGTTTCTGAAATACGTCTTTCTGTTATTGTATCGTCACACCGTTCTATAACGGTGTCCTGAGTATGTGTTAATGTAGAATCTGATTTAGTTTTGCTTATATCGCTAAAGGTTTCTAATTTACTAATGGTGATATCGGACTTAGATTTCTCAGACAGCGAAGGAGTCAAAGATTTAGAATGTAATTTATCCCGTGCTGAATAGTTTTCCATGTATTTCATTAACATTTCGACTAAAGTCTCGGCTTCTTCCTCCGGCGTGTCATCGATATAAGAAAGATCTCTCACATTTATATTTGATTCCGTCAGACTAGTGTCAGCAGCAACTACTCTTATACTAGGACGAATATCTTCAGGGCCAAATAAGAACTCCATTAAAGTAATTTTATTGTCACCTTTATCGTTTTCTTTTTCCATACATCCTGTAGAGGCCAAAAATTCCATAAGAGTTTCCATTTTAGCTTCCAATTCTGTGTTAGCTTTACTTGTAATAAATGGTTTGGCTTCTTCAGGAGTGACTTCACTTTTAAAACAACTGCCAATGCTGCCTTTTCTCTCACCTCTTTGACTTTTCACTATTGTAAAGAAAAAATCAATCAAATTAGCTATTCTTCTTTCGGTTCCTTCTTCTACATCTGAACTTAAATCAGACTCTTCCTTAACTAAAGGGCATCGTTTTGGGGTTTCTTCGAATTTCTTTGAAAATACAGTTTCTTGAACAACTTGTAACAGATCCCTGGCTAACCTTACTGGTGACCTGGACTCTGGATGGATCGGTTCATAACCAGTTGGTGCTGCAGGAGCAGAACGCCTGCGGTCTCTATCTATCCTGATGAAATCCCACAAGGAGCCCAAGTCTGAGGATAGTGACGCCCTGTGGTTGGCCAAGCTGTTGCCTAGCCGACGGAATACCTGTGAATGCCAAAAAGTTCTATAAATAATTATAATTAGTCAGTACTATTCTTTTTTGTTTAATTATTTTCTTTTTCTAACCTTTTTTCTTTTATTATACAAGCTCTGCTTAGTTTGAAAGTAGATGGAGTTGGCACAAAAGTCTATGGATTCATAAGAATAGATAAGGATGAAAAAAAAAAAACGTTAAAGCGTGCAAAATCTAGTTATAGATTAATTGCACCCAGACATCTGTATCTGGGTGTAATTGTAAAGTAAGCACAATCATTTATTCTGACAAATGATCGTGCTCATCACGCATTTATTTGTACTGAGTGGGAACAGAACCCGCGACCTCTGGCCTAACAGTCAGGATCACTAACCACTAGATCTGGGATGGCATAGTGGTTTAAGCGGTTGCCACGCCGCTTACTAATGTGCTGAGTGTTGTGGGTTAGATCCCCACGTGGGACGACACTTTGTGTGATCCACAAATTGTTGTTCTGAGTCTGGGTGCTCTTTGTCTCCGTTTCATGTATGTTTGTAAAGTCTCCCGCGACAGAGGATATATTCCTAATTCGTGGGTTGTCATTTAAAAAAAAATAACAGCAACAGCATAGTCATGATAGGCAGTCAGACATGCCCCAGGAATTGACCCAGAAAATTAATTTAAGTCTATCAAAACTTTTTGGAGCATAATAAGTCTAGAAGAAGAGTAACCTGTAACACTCAGGAACGCCAAGCCCTGAGTTTCCGTAACGATAGTCTCTTGAATCGTGCTACTTGTGCTGCCAATGCCTCAGTTCCAGTTGACATCCCTGGAGAGTTGGTTTCACCTTCAGAATGGACCTGGACAGTGTCAGTTAGGATTAGTATAACATATATCTATTTTATTTTACCATGGAATAGGGGGGGCAAACGAGCAAACATGTCACCCGATTTTAAATTTGTAGTTACGTTATCCATGGACATCTGCAACTCAAGAGTCACAAGAGCGTTACCTCCCTTTAACCTGCCCCCCCTCCCCTCCAAGCCAGGGCAGAAGGGATTTTGGTTTTGATTTTTGGTTTTGGTTTTGATTCACTCAGTGAAAAATAATGAGGGTTATTACTACGGGCAAGTCTTGGCCAGTTTGTGCAGAAACATGGCTCTTTCACGATTTTTTTTTGGCCATGTACTGGCCAAGTAAGAAAACTGTGGAAATATATATTTTAAGTTGGAGTTCACTTTACCTCACGAGTATTTGTCCGTTTCTGCATGTAACTCCTCATATCTTTGTCTGAATGTCCTTTTGCCCGTCCAATTCCTTTGCCAAGAGGCGCTGATGATACTCTCCTGGAAATAAATAAAACGGAAAATGGTAATGAATGTTTCGCTTAAGCATTACCTTCTGCTCCAAATTGGTGATCGTAAACTCAGAGGAACGGATCTCCAAGGCACGAAGGGATCTTAACGCATTCTTTTTAGGGTACACTGGTACCCGAGACGGCGTGCGGTTTTTAGTCGGTTCGAGTCCGGCATTGCCACACAAGAAAAAAAACCGGCACTCAATGTGTGTGTTCATCCATCCATGGGCTGACCTGGCTAGGATTGACTTAACTTTGCAACTATCCTACTCGGACTCGGTTACCACACCGGTTAGCCACAAGCAATTTAACATATTATAATGTATTTCAATAATGATATATGCAAAATGTTAAGCTTCAAGGGAAAAACAAACTAATATCTAATATGCATACAGACGTAAATGCTTTTCAAAGGGATAACAAGCTTTTTGATCGAAATTATAATTTGTTACTTTGTGAGCCTTGCCTGCCAAAACATTGCCGACCTCTGCTTTAGAGAATGGGCTGAATATTGCAAATTGCTATTACTCAAACACAAATTTGGGATAAGACTGAAGTTAGAAATATCGCAATATTTTGGGCAAATCACTGCAGAAGTTATGGAAGTAAAAGATTCTGTTTTTAAAAATAAAGTAATTAAAAATAATTAAATTATTTTTAGATATTTTAAAGTAAAAAAGAAAAGTAAGCATTTTTTAAGCTACATATTTTATTTCATTTCATCATCATGATCATCAACAACCATAAAAAATAGGCCTTTACTAGCCCACTGCTGGACATAGGCCTCTCCTTAGAAAGGAGGTTTTTGCCTACTATGCCACGCTGGCCAGGCGGGTTGGTATAGGGTTTGTTTCAAGTTTTCCTTCTCTTTGCAGTGCAGTTATCCTGCGTACCTAATTTGCTCCCTTAGACGGCTCTTATGACACTCACGCGAAGAACAAAAGTGGTGACACTCTGTATTCTTAATCCGTCACCACACGGACTAAACTGTATATTTTGATATTCTCGAACGCTATTTTATAAAAAAAAACACTCGGAAATATAAGAACACTGCTAAGTCTCATCAGTGTGGGTCATATCAGTGTGGGTCATATCAGTGTGGGTTAAATTACCTGCAGCTGGAAGGATCACTGTAAGGTGGCTGCACCGGCGTCCTTGCCTCCGCTATAGTTTCTGCTGTGCTGAAACTACCCAATGGAAAGCCTGTATTTCCTGAAAACAAGACAAGTGTTGTTATGGAAACAGAATTTGAAGACAATAAAATGAAATGTTCGGGAGACGTCGGGCGAGTCGGGTGAAATATTATAGCACTGTTTGATATCTTCTATAAAAATAAACGACCGCAGCTCAGTTCGTTACAGTGATTGTTGCTTACGTACGAAGGTTGGTCGTTGGAAAAGCGTTATGGCAAATTGGGGCTACATCTACCAATCGCAAACGCGCTGTAAATGTGGCGCTCCATTGCAAATGCCACATTCGCTTTCTTGTCCGCTATCCCCCTCCAACTGCACTGTAGAGAAGCGGTGGCTGTGGCGGAATTCCGGGGGGATAAAATTCAGAGGTCAGAAACCATAACGCAGCGAGAACCAACTTGATACAGTCGCTGCAAGGAGAAGGACTGAAAGTTACACATATAGTGAAGGTGTTTTGTTGAGCCTGTATAAATTAGTTTACTGCACCCTTCCACTCTACATTCATGACATTATCCCTGAAGGGGTAACAGAGGTGTATTAAACGCACATTTGTGTGACTATAATTTTAGTCCCACTCAGGGGCAAGTCTGCATGGATGGCGTAGTGATTTAAGCGGTCACTTTGCCGTTTCCTACTGCGCTAAGTGTTGTGGGTTCGATCCCCACATGGGACAATACTTTGTGTGATCCACAAATTGTTGTTCTGAGTCTGGGTGTCCTTTGTGTCCGTTTCATGTATGTTTGTAAAGTCCCTCGCGACACAGGATTTATTCCTAGTGTGTGAATTGTCTTTTTATAAAAAAGAAAAAAAAAATCTATTCCCTGGGGCATATATATTTCTAAATAAACATTTTTACTTATATTATAAATGTGTAAGTGAGTGTGTTTGTTTGAAACGCTTTCACTCCTAAACCGCTAAACTGAGCTATTGCATAGCATTTTTTATCAACTTATGCAATTATAGTTATTTATTTATTTTATTTATGCAGTATTTTTTTTCCTTTGTTTTTTTTTCTTTGATATTAATTCAAGTTACACTTTTTGAGCGTGGTGACCGATAAGAAAACCAATGTTTTTCTTTTATTAAATAAATAAGAAGTTAATATTGTTCAAAATATTTTTATTATCTTACAATACATGTAGGTTATTCAGGAATATTTATAATTGAAACTATAGGTTTATGGTAACTGAAATAAGAAACATAAGTTTGAGACTTGATATCTTCTAAATATCTGAAAAATACCGCGTCACAACCAATGCCACCTAGAGGCGAGTTGCTGAACTAAAGAGATAATCGTGATATTTCAAAAAAGTCATTAAAAGTGCTGCTATTCATCGATAGATGGCAATACTAAAAAGTATCACCGCTGTGCCGGTCGGAATGGCGGGTGTTAGGTTATTTTCGTTACGGAATTTCTGGATTCGGTCTCCATGCTCAAGGCCCGCGATAGAAGCTATGCAATAGCTTAATAATTTAATAAGTGACGAAAATCATGTTTGCCCTTGATAATAAGATGCTCGATTTATTATTCAATGACATCACATCACCTCATCAAATCTGGCCTGGTGGTCTAGTGGTTAGTGACCCCGACTGCTACGCAAGAGGTCATAGATTCAATTCCCACCCAGGACAAAATAATTGTGTGATGAGCACGGTCATTTGTTCTGTGTGTACTTTACTATAATATGTATGTATTTAGAAATATATAAGTAAATTTATCAGCAGTCTGGTTCCTATACTACAGGCTCTGCCTAGTTTGGGATCAGACGGCTGTGTTTGAGATGTTTGAAAATATTACATTATTATTAAATCTCTAACAAGATAACAGAAATCCAAAATGTCAATTATTTCCCCAATTCGGAGCTACTCGTAGTGGGTGACAGTCGCATAAGAGCAAGAACAATTAAACCCTAGGTACTGTTAATTTATATTAATTAAGATAGTACTAACTTTTAAACTTTCGCGTTCCATGATAATTAATATTATTTAACGGGAATTAACGCGATCTCTTATTTAGGGTATTACATACCTCTGGTTTGCCTGACGTTTCGACCAGGTTGCACCGGCCGTGGTCACAGGCTAATACCCTAAATAAGAGATCGCGTTAATTCCCGTTAAATAATATTAATTAAGATAGTAGTAAAGAAAATAGGTGTTAAGCAATTCTTTTGTTGCCTTTCACTGAGTGAGTGAGGTTACCGGAGCCCAAATTCCCCTCCCGCTGACTCGAGCGGGAGGGACTCTAAGGACAGCAACGCACTTGTGACTTTTGAGTTGCAGGTGTCCATGGGCGGCGGTAGTTGCTTACCGTCAGGTGACCCGTCTGCTCGTTTGCCCTCTTATACCATAAAAAAAAACAACAAACATACAATGGAACCTGGGAACACAGAACCATGAAAGTTCTTCTACTAAAATAACCTTTAAATTAGGAGATCTTGCAAATTTGTATGATTTTGGGTTCCAAGGCTTTGTTGGCATTTGTCAAGGTATTCACCACCTTAAAATAAGAAAATTTACCTGTAATAGCGCCTCTGGTCATGCTCAATCCTCGTTGGATCCTGGCAAAAGCTGCTTTATGACGAGGCACAGGTGCGGTGTTCCCTTTTTCTTGCAATACAAATCGTCCCAAGGTCTTCCAACCGGCCTGCATCATAAATGAGATCTTGAAAACGAACTTTTTGATTTTAAGGAGCTGAAAGTTGGGTTTAATATTTCATCATGAGGGTATTGTAAGAGCCGTCTAAAGGAGCAAACTACGCATTACAACCGCATTGCGAAGAGCTGGGAAACTAGAAATAAACCCTATACCAACCTTGAGCCAGCGTGGTATAGTGGGCCAAAACCTTTTTTCTAAGGAGAGGCCTATGTCCAGCAGTGGACTACTAAAAGCTACTACTGTTGATCATGATAATGATGAATCTTGGATTTCAACTTTTCTAATTGTTTTTTATCTGAAACCTTACTTACCTGAGCCGAGTACACTACTTCATCATCAGATAATGCTCTCTGTTGAGGACCTGTACCAGCTCTGCCACCCCATTCTAACTCTTCCACCAGGACGAACCTGAAAGGATATATTTTTAAATTGAAATAAATCAATTTTCAATTAAAAAAATGTTTTGTTGTATTAATCATTTGAATAGTTATTATGTAAAATTGCATCTCCCAATAGTAGTAGTACCTATCCCAATTCATATACCTATTGTACATAAGTTGGGATAGGCTGAGTAAAATAAAATAGTAATTGAAACGACACTAAGTTGAGAGCAATAATATATAGTAATAATATATCTCACACATCTGACACACGGCGGCAGAGCATCTGTACTATGGTAACCAGACTGCTGATAAACATACTTATATATTTCTAAATACATACATATTATAGATAAATTACACCCAGACACAGAACAAATGACCGTGCTCATCACACAATATTTTTCCTGGGTGGGAATCGAACCCATGACCTCCGGTTTAGCAGTCAGGATCACTAAAGAGTAGAAAAACAGGCCCGTCAAAATTGCGAGGTTAGGACAGCTGCTATTTATATTAATAATAATATTTCAGACATCTGACATACAATGCCATCTAGTTTCAAACTAAGCAGAGCTTGAACTATGAAAGCTAGGTTGACTGATAGAATACTTATATGCTTTTTTTTGTAAATACATACATATTATACATAGAAAACACACAAACTCCGAAACAAATATTTGTAGATAATACAAAAATTTGGTCCGAATCGAGACCTCAGTGCACCACCGACGCAGTAAAAATTTTAAAATTTTGTCTTCGGTATTATTCGCACTAACGCTGTTACAGTGTTAATTGCATTAGTGCAAGTTAGATCAAACTTTATTGCGTGTAAAGAAATGCTGAATACATGGTATTAGGAAAACGCTCCGAAAAGGAAGGCAGACAATAGAAAATCGAACATGATGAAAAAAAAAAACCTTTTTAAAACGTTTTATTATCATTTTTATGCTCTATCAGCTTCCCGATCAGCTGTTTTGATTTCGGTTTCGTTGCGTTTTCTTTATTGGCTTGACAATAAATGTATAGCTATTTATTTGATACGCTCTGTAGCGTAAACGGCTTGAAAATTTTTGGCTTTTATTGTGTCGTTAGATTCGTCTTCATTGTGAGAGATTATCCGTGTGGTGACGGATTAAGAATACGTAATATCACCACCCCTATTCATCAAGTGGGTGTCGTAAAAGTCGACTAAGGGAGAAAACAACGCAAGACAACAGCACTGCAAACAGAAGGAAAACTTGAAACAAACCCTATACCAACCCGTCTGGCCAGCGTGGTATAGTAGGCCAAAACCTCCTTTCTAAGGAGAGGCCTATGTCCAGCAGTGGACTATCATAGGCTGTTGATGATGACGTCGGTTTGTACATTTTAAGTACATCTTTTTTTTCAATAATTACTTTGTTTCTTTGATATTAACGCGGTTCAGAATTCTTTATCTGTCTCACCTTTTAGGATCATCATGGCATCTGGCTTTCGTCAAAGCCTGGTAGACCACGTACGATGCTGTGGCATTCAAAGGCACCTGTGAATATTTGTTTTTATTAATTGAAGCCAAAAAGTCAACAAGCCATTGGCAGTCGAAGATCTTGGGATCTTAAATCAAAGGCTATATTTCCTGAGGAATAGTGTCATTATAACCGTGTTTTAGGGGGACTTCCTTTTTCACCAGGGACTTCCTTTCTAGGGTATACCTGGTTCCCCGGCTATTAGTACCCGAGACGGCGTGCGGTTTTAGTCGGTTCGTGTCCGACATACCACCGATAGGTGGTATCCGAGGGGATTTCCGCACGGAAAAAAAAAAAAAGGTATTGAGTTGACGGTGTTATCTTTAAAAATTGCCACGGATTTCAGTACATCTAAATTATAATTAAAGATTCTTTCACACTTTCATTTTTTAACCCAAGAGATGAAATATTTTGTTCCGCCAATCATGACGTTCACTGAATCTTCTAAAGACCAACTTGTTAAAAAATGTCGTGCGCCACTGAGTTCGCCTCGTGCAATAAAAACGCAGGAAATTTTAAAAAATAAGACCATACCACACACATACATAAAAAAATACCACTTATTCGCATAAAAAACGGAAAATTAAGGTCGATTCACAAGTTCACACACAAGGAAACATAAAAAATCGTCTTCAAGAAATTGGTTAAAAAGCAGTATTAATCTACCTTGAGTATGGCATACGGTATTTCGTGGGAGACATTATGGACGCAGACGAGAAAGCTGTCTGGTCTTCTTGGCTCCTCATCTTGCGTGCTAGAGTCTTCATCTGAAGGCACGGAGCGATCACGGTTACGGTCTGTTGATCTGTAACCAGAAGATAATGTGAAGAAATGATGTGATGATGTGAGATTTCTTTTTAACATTTCTTCTTAAAAGGAAGTATTATCAATACAGTTTTACTAGAATGAAAACTGTCTTAGAGGACGGTTTTCCAAAATAGATTAATAATTAATCGATTCCTTCATCACACCAATAGTCCACTGCTGGACATAGGACCCTCATTAGAAAGGATGTTTCCATTCTCCCATTCATAACTATTATCGCTGGCGTGTTAGTCTAGTAATTATCTTTCCTGACTGCTAAGCCAGAGGTCGTGGGTTCGATTCCCACCCAGAACATATAATTGAGTGATGAGCACAATCATTTCGATCTATTTAGAAATATATAGCTATGTTTATCAGCAGTTTGATTACCATAGCACAGATGCTCTGCCGGAATCAAATGGCCGTGTAAGAGATGTTTTGAGTTTTTATTATTATTATTAGGTATAACTTGTCACATTTCACATAAAACTGCAGGATTCTAAACTAGTCAGAACCAGAGACCCTAGTGTGTGTTTATTTCACACCTACTCGATCGTCACGGTGACACTCTCACTGTGAACTCTTCACCAATTACAACGACAAACGCGCTGGCCGTCGAGAGCGAGGTCATGTGATATAAATATAAACTCTAGGCCCTCTGTATTATGGTAATCAGACTGCTGTTAAACATATTTATATTTCACGCACTACAAATGAACGTGTGCTCATCACACAACGTTTATGTCCTAGGTGGGGAAGTCACGGCTAAAATCTAGTACTAGAGAATCTTACCTGATGCTAGTCAACCAAGCCCGGCTACTAGGGTCATCTCCAACTCTTTTCAATAGCAGCCTAGCACCAGGTCTTGCTGAAGCAGTTCTCAAAACTCTCTCTCGCGGCGCCAGCACTCGTTGCGTTGGAGTCCTCGAAGGTACTTCTTCTACTAGGACGTAACTACCTCGAGCTGATCTGCATACTCCAGCTTTGGTGAGACATTGAGCTATGGCCTGGAACATATCAGGAATTTGTTTATTTTATGGAAGTAACAATTGCGTTGCCGCTGTGACGACTCCCACGTACCAAAAAACATACTACAGCGCCATCTAACGAAGACACAATGAACTACGAAGTAACTCCTAAATGAGAATTGCTGATCCGGTATCGCGATATGAAGAATTCATATACACAATTTCTCAACATCAACCTTTAGGCCGCCTTAACCTTTAAGCTTTGGACTCATACGAGTACGTATGTTTTTGTATAGCCAGATAATAGGTTCAAATTCTTAATACTAAATAAAAAACTAATAAAGGGCGGGTATTGGGTATTCAGAGTGTATTTATTTAATATGCACGGAAACTGCACGGATGGCGAAGTGGTTTAAGCGGTCGCCACGCGGCTTCCTACTAAGCCGAGTGTTGTGGGTTCAAACCCCACATGGGACAACACTTTGTGTGATCCAGAAATTGTTGTTCTGAGTCTGGGTGTTCTTTGTGTCCGTTTCATGTATGTTTGTAAAGTCCCCGGCGACACAGGATATATTCCTAATGCCGGAGTTGTCTTCTTAAATAAAAATGTGCGGGTGAACAAATGTATAATGTACCAGGAAGTGGATGGAACTCTGTTGCCATTTATTTCTGAATACGATTATTAATCTTGGTACTCTTATTGTTTCTGCAGTAATACATACCTCCGTGGCAGTAGTATCTTGAGTCACCTTCAGAATAGAATACGCTTCGTGTCTTGCCACAGCATACACCACTAGAAAGTGAATCTTCCTTCGTTCGTGAGGAGAAGTAGGTTCTACATCTCCTCTGCAGCTCTCGCCAGCTTGCTCCTCAGTACATCGGGAGAAGATAAGTAGGGATGCCATGTTCAGTGCTTGGTTTGTTGGTGAGCTGGAGGTTTAAAAATATGATTAAATAAGCTTGTTAATCCAGATAATTAAGGCGTAGTTCGGTGGTAAACGGTTACGGTTACGGTACCAATACATTTCTACTAAGCATATTTGCTTAAAATATTATTTAAAAAAATAATGCTATGGGGTATGAATTCTTTCATAGAAAAAAAAGAATTTAGGACAGTTTCTACAGCAAAATTTTTTTCGACAAAAATAAAAAGAAAAATTATTTATTTATTTATACTTCCTGCAAATACATTGGATAATAATTTACTAATATGTATGTGTGTAATTTAACATATTTATGTATTTTTTTAACAAACTTTTCAATTATTTTTTTCTTTTTACAGTGTACCTAGTCACACATTTCTGCACCACTCTAAAATAGACTCGGAAAAAATGACTGTAGCATTAAGTCCGCCATTGTATAATTTTCACACACTAAATCAACAGCCTTTAACCCTCCACTGCTGCACATAGGCCTCTCCTTAGAAATAAAATAAAATGTATAATGTATTTAAAACTTGGCAAAGACAATTATGTGGACATCACTAACAAGATCCAAGTTCCAGATAAGTTAGTCCATTTCTAATCTGTCCGGATGGACACGGATTAAGAATATGGAGTATCACCACCCCTAGTCATCCCATGGGTGTCGTAAGAACCGATTGAAGAGAGCAAACTACGCAAGACAACAGAACTGTAAAGAGACGGAATTTCAATTTTTCCTTCTCTTTGTTGATATAAACCAACCCGTCTGGCCAGTGTGATATAGTGGGCCAAAACCTCCTTTCAATGCAGAGGCCTATGTCCGGCAGTGGACTACTACGAGTAGAGGTTGTTAATCATGAAAAATTCTAATCTATTACAAGTAGTTGCATTTGGTTGTTTCAACTTACGAGTATAAGAAGGAAGTTAATCGATGTTAATTGACTTCCAGTCTACCAATCTGGTCTGAAAGGCAAACTTACCGTAATCTCACATGTCTGTATCCAGGTCTGAGACAGTGCAGCGGGATGACTCGTTGGGACAACATGTAATTGGTGTCAGCATCGTAGATGTCGAAACGAATGAAAGCCAATTCGGGAAAGTTAATCTGACAAAGAATGATAAAGAGTTAATCTATTTTATTACAACTAATATTCATTATTAGACACCTAGGGTTAATATTAACGATAATTATAACTAGTAAAATGAAACATATTATATACGGCCGTCTGATCTTAAACTAGACAGAACCTGTACTATGGTAACCAGACCGCTGATAAACATACTTATATAAATTATACCCAGAAATAAAACAAACAATCATGCTCATCACACGATTATTTGTTCTGTGGATTCGAACCCTAAATCTCTGGCATAGAAGTCAAAATCAGTAACCACTTGACCAACGATTTAAAACCGTGTTTCCGTCGATGATAATTCTCATAAACTCACCCTAAAAGTAAAAGTTTCATTCCAGATCGGATTCAACGCGTTCTTTCTTGCTACTTTGGTCCTTATCTTCTTGCAATCGGCTGGAACACCAAGGATCTCGACTTCCACGAAAGCATTGTAGAAAGAGTATACATTTTCGGCTACGTACTGTCCAGAGATGACAGCTAGAGTTAGATGAGCCGCATGGATCCCATCGAATTCTTTGTCCATGGGGTTGAATCTAGGGAAGAAACGATAGACTCTTATGATTTTGCTATGACTAACAACCGATTTTAGGATGAGGTAGACGAAATGGAATAGATCAAGAGTAAGAGAAGTATTTTCACATCAGCAGCAGCATGTATACTGCCAGGTACTTCCCGGCACTGTCACGTCTCCTCACTAGGCGGACTAAGGGTCTCCTCGTAGATGCAGTACTATTAAGAAAACAGTAAATTCTTGGTATAATGACGGTAATCTCTGAGGAAGGATTATTAGATTCTGGAACTTAATTTTATTATTTTAATATCATGACAATTTGACTTACATTATTATTATCTGCCAGCAGAGGCTACCACGTGGTTTTGGACTGTGCTCGTCTTTCGAAAGTAGTTAAAATTTCTTTTGTAATTACCTTTATCACTAAACTTTAGTCTTTTGATCCTATCATTTTAAAATTTTCAGTTGAATTTGAAAGTTCCAGCAGCTTTTTACCTTCTATAAGCGATATGGCCAGGATCCCACATGACCGGTGGTTTCCTGACGTACCCAGCGGAGCCATTGCTCTCGAACATAGCAGCATTCACCGCCATCGCTGCATCTTCTGTCTGGTAGTTCAGCGCTACCAGCTGCACACCGCAACCCCAAAAGGTCACAGGATCGAAATTTGATGAGTCTATTCTTAGGCTGGAAAATGAAAAGAAAAATAATAATTAACTAATTTTAGAATTTTCCAGAAAATTCAGGGATTTACAGCATCTTCATTAAATATCTTTTTACAGATAGAATTACGCGTTTGCTATTTTCAAGCAGTATATATATGGCAGAGGCTACAAGGGTAGTATACCTGCATAACGACATCGGTAGTGGTATCTTCTTTTACTAAATAGAGTTATAAAGATCAAGCCTTTTAGTGACGGATTAAGAAAACAGAGTGTCACCACCCCCATTCATCCCGTGAGTGTCGTAAGAGCTGACTAAGGTAGCAAACTACGCAGGACAACAGCACCGCAAAGAGAAGGAAAACTTGAAACAAACCCTATACAAACCCGTTTGGTCAGCGTGGTATAGAAGGCCAAAACCACCTTTGTAAGAAGAGGACTGTGTCCAACAGTGGACGGAAAATCTTTCGATTTTTACTTGATGTTTACGTGTTCGGCGAAGAATCTTATAGTGGGTACTTATTACGGGCCCGACATAGAGCGTTTAGTAAACGATTAGCGCTTTTAAGTGTAGAAGAGCTATGCTTCGGCACAAATGCTTCAACTCGACTGGAGTGATAATGCGGAAACACTGAAAACCGGTGTTCAGCAATACTTAATACCCAAACCTTCCTCTGATTGTGATTGCCTTTTGAGTGAATCCCAACCTAAAAGGCGGCAAGTTGCAGGTTTCGAGGGACTCGTCTGTTAATTCTCTGCCATAAAAAGGGAACAGGGATAAAAAGGGAACAGGGATCTATCACGTGATCTGTCGCTGCTAATAACAACTATTGGTGAAAATTCATCAAAAATATCATTTCACTCACCCTGCAGGATAAGTTCTGACCAACTGTGTCTCGGTATGGGCTATTAAGGCCAGGGGATGCTTCCTACAGATCTTCTTCCCGATGGCTTCATTTACTGATGAACATCGGTAGCAAGGGTGGTGAACCGCTGGGGCGTTTAAGCAACGAGGGCGAGGCTGCTGGGCTATTTGCTGCAAAAAAGATCCTTAATGAAATCCAGGACTTGCATTGTAACTTTTCAGTTCTGTTCATCCAGAGCATGTCATTTTTTCGCGTTTAGCTCTGTAATGATTGGAGCTGGTATACAAAGGCTTCGTGAATACGCCTTGGCAAGAGCTTGCCGGGGCCTAAGTTGTCAAAAAAATATTTTAATTTTGGTATGCGATTTTACATTTCAAGTTATTTTGAACTTAATAGTTTAGTATGTAGGGTATATTTTTTTTTTATATGTTCATGTTCAATCATAATTTCGTGTTAGAAGAATTTTAACAGACAGGGACTCTTATAATTAAGTATACTTACTGTGCCAGTACTGTCACTACTTTCCGAGGACTCGAAGCTGCTGCATGGAGCACTCTCCTTGGCTACACTGCTGGGCTGTTTCATTGAACTACGTGGTGATAACGGGCTTAGCCCCCGAAACTTGATCGCCTGTAATAAGTTTATTTTATTAAATTATTTAGTTTATTTTACTATTGCGACTTTCATATACAATAGAAAACCTACAAAATCATTGTCATCTAAAGAATACTCAAATAGCTATTTAGTAAGTACTACACCTGCATCGCGCATTCAATATTTAGAAATTTTTTTTTAACTTAACCCTCTGGCCGCTGTCCACCAAGCATGATCACCTCGCCTGGGCGACACATACTCTATGTATATAGGAGTGGCATAACACTCGTACCTCTACAGTACTTCGGTGACTGATAAAGACCCAGATCACCCAATTTAATGGCAGCCAAAATCGATTCAGCTATTTAATACAGACTAGGTTAGGGTTAGTTTTCAGTCTGCTATGACACGACTGAACTTCAATTTTTACGTGTAACGCTTACCATCAGACTTCCACAATCTAAGTAGTATAGCCGTTTAATAAATTCCGAGGAAATATAAGGTCGGAGACAGATGCCATATACAGAGCACAAAAAATTCTACATTAGGACGATTAAGATAAGGGAACAATTATTGTAATACCACACCTGCACGTATATGACCATGTCACTTAGTTCTCTAGCGATCTGATTACTTCTCTTCCTTGTAGTCGTCTGTTTGACGCTGCCAGAAGTAGTCTCGGTGTCTCCTTCACTCCTTATGAAGCTCTGATAGAGTGACAGAGATGCCCGACCACACTTGTCTTCCAATGAATTTATGAGCTTATGAAGTTCTTTTTCTGAAAAGGAGTCAACGATATTCTAGAAGATTTTTTATTTCAGAAAGAAGATTAGATCAAGATCTAGTTCTTAGAATCTTTTGTTTGAAATCACACAAAGTAAGTGAAACTCAAGGTTAAAAAAATAAATTATTCCAGTCAGGAATCAGGATTTCAATACCAGTGTTATCAGGGCATGATTAAAGGGGAGGGGAGGGGGGTTTATTTCTTGATCCAAGAAAGACTTACTGATTTAAGTCGGGTATGGAGCATCTGAAAATTTGTTAATACCACCAGGGTATTTTGTGTATTAGCTACGGCATCAAACCTTTTCATACCCTTTTTAAAGAAGAATATTTAATCACCAATGTAGTTCATAGTCTGAAGGTCTTACCATCAAGTTCTTCATCGTCCTCATCGTAGTCTTCATCACTAAAGTATTCCGTCAGAGAACTGCCTGCTGACTGGTTGGACATGATCGAACTGGTCCTGTTGCTCTGTTCCGGCAAAGATGTACTGGTGTTACGGTTCCCATTGGACCTGGAGTAAAAACATCTGTATAACATATTAGCTGTGGCATTTGTATCTTGTGGCTTCGTTGTTCCGTCTGCCATGCAATTTAAATTTCCTAGTTGCTACTAAGATTTCCAATTTTGATTATCAATTAAGATTATCAATTTGCCTACTCCAAGAGTATCCGGATCGTTAATTGTTTTATGTTAAATATGTTAAATAGGGAACAAACTACGCAGGACAACAGCACTGCAAAAAGAAGGAAAACTTGAAACAAACCCTACACCAACCCGTCTGGCCAGCGTGGTATAGTATGCCAATACCTCTTTTCTAAAGAGAGGCCTAAATCCAGCAGTGGACTATTGAAGGCTGTTGATGTGATGTGAAATAGTGGGCATATAGGTCACCTGATGGTAATTAAGACTACCTTTGAATGCCTCTTTACCAGAATTAAGGTAAGGTAGGAAGTTTTTGGGACTCCAGTTATCTTACTTCTTCAATGAAAAGCAAAAAAAAAATGGCAACATCGGTTTTCTGTGAGACCATGATATCGATCCGGTTGAGCGGGTCCATACATATTGAAACATGGCTCTCATACCATGTGATTCGAGTTAGCTGGTTCCTCAAAATAAGTCATCATCAGCAGCCTTTAATAGTCCACTGCTGGATAAAGGCCTCTCCTTAAAAAGGAGGTTTTGGCGTACTATACCACGCTAGCCAGACGGGTTGGTATAGGGTTTTTTTCAAGTTTCCCTTCTCTTTTTAGTCCTGCGTAGTTTGTTCCCTTAGTCGGTTCTTACAATACCCACAGGATGAACAGGGTTGGTGACACTACGTATTCTTAATCCGTCACCACACGGATATAATCACCAAATTATGTCAGGCTTCTTTAATACACGTTCGAAGACCTTATATATCTTCGTCTTTTTATACAATCTACCTGAATGCAGTTGACAGAACTCCGCCATATCCTTGTGCAGAACTGGCTCCTGTCAGGCCAATGGTGGGACTTGATTCTATTGGAAGCAGTTTCTTATTCTTGATTAACACCTGCAAATATAAAAACAATGAATCCTACTATATTATAAGTTAATAGTCTGGCTAAAAGGACCTGTAGCGTGGTATAGGGGGAGGAAGATATTTTCGATTGCATTGATTGATTCTCCTATCGATCTTTAATAGCACTACTTCCATCTAGAAGAAGACCTAGATCTTCTGTGGAGTAGACACATAGTACGTTGGGTTTCTTCAACTCTAACAAAATCTGCAAACTACATTCCCTTCTTCTAAGAAGTCAATTTACCTTATACTTGAGCTGTTCAGGACTGGGCAGCCTCGGTTCGTCAGTGTAGTCAATTTCAAACAGGAATGACGTCACCAACTTGTCTCCAAACACTGCCTGGATGAAGACAACATCAATAGAGGACCAGCTACTTTGAAAGATCAGACCATAATGTAGAAAGATATTGGTCACCGGGTTTTATGCTAAGCATTTGCCAAGTTGTAGGGATCGTAGTGTTAAGTTATTTTTGAAAAAAATCATAATATAATACGATAATTAAACCTAATGTAATTAGAAACACTTTACTGTTACTGAAATTCTTACTATATTAGTATGTGTGTGGTAGATTCAAAATAAGAATCGCTTCTTATTTCCAGAAAAAATTACCGTTTTGTAGATAATTAAGTAAATTAATAGTATTTTGTGACATGGTTTGGTTAGGAATAAATTTCTGGCTCTTAAAAATCTCGGGATTTAAATTCTGAAGTACACATCACATTTTATAAGTATTTTTTAAATCTTAAAATCAGCAATCCACTTTAAATGACGAAAATTTAAAGAAATTCAAATCTTGAACAAATTAGCAGATAGCTCATCGGATGGTAACTACTGCTACCGATGAAGATCTTCAACTCAAGAGTGACAAGTGCGTGGATGACCTTTAAGGTGAGAGGTATACACTTAAAACAATAGATATTTTATTTAATAATAATAAAAGTTGGCAGCATTTTAATGCCTACTGATAAAATGAGGTTTTACACAGTCTTCAGAATTTTTTCTACAATATTAAAGAATCCAAATATAACTGACCTCAAACGTACTGGCAATGACTTGCTGTTGAGGTAAGCTGCAGTGGTTCTCGATGCTCAGGATCAGGGGGTAAGGAGACGCGACGAAAGCACTCCTGTTGGTTACACATACATCATAAAACTCTGTACGTACTAATATCATGAGTGCAAAAGTATCTCACTGTCTCTTTGTTTTCGTGCCTAAACTGCTGAAATATTTTTGATTAAAAAAAATGTGACAATTTTTTTTCCTTTGTTGATTTGTTTTAATGGTAGGATTCCACCAAGAAGACTATCTATCTAGACTATTTATTTAGATTATCGATGCACCTTATTTGCAGTACCCTTAATGCCCTAGAACAGTTATTTGCATCATCATCATCATCAACAGCCTATAACAGTCCACTGCTGGACATAGGCCTCTCCTTAGAAAGGAGGTTTTAGCCTATTATACCACGCTGGCCAGACGGGTTGGTAAAGAGTTTGTGTCAAGTTTTTCTTCTCTTTCCAGTGCTGTTGTTTTGCGTAGTTAGCTCCCTTAGTCGGCTTAACAGTTACTTTACTGAGGTATATTTATTGAGAGGTTGAAATAACCTACCTTGGTTAAAGTAAACAACAAATATTCCAGACTTCAAACTTGAGACCTCTGCATGTGGGAGTCAGTTTGATTACAGACCTATGCTCATATTAAATTAAAATTATCAATCCGTGTATACGTGTGGTGACGGATTAAGAATACGGAGTGTCACCACCCCTATTCATCCCATGGGTGTCGTAAGAGCCGACTAAGGGAGCAAACTATGAAAGACAACAGCACTGTAAAAAGAAGGAAAACTTGAAACATACCCTATACATAAACGTCTGGCCAGCGTGGAATAGTAGGCCAAAACCTCCTTCTTAAGGAGGCCTATGTCCAGCAGTGGACTGTCATAGGCTGTTGATGAGGAGATTATGCAGGCAACCATGTAATTTATGTATAAAATAATGAAGACACAAAAAAATGCGAACCTTGCAATGGTTTCCACGACTCTTCGAAAAGGTATTTTGGTGGTGAACGTATGGCCATGGTATATGACAGGACTCCCATCATCACCATCCCAACAGTCCAGCTCCACACAGCGGCACCCAGTTAGGAGGACCTGCAAAAATAAACAAGACAGTTTTTGTTTACATTTTGATTTCAGTATAAAAAAGGTAGGTATTTGGGCTAACTAACAGTTTGATTGTTTAAATGAAACGTAATGAAACAATTTGTTTATGTAAATGTAGTTTACAAAGATGTTATATTGTGTAAGTTCCTATCATTACATTTCGTAGTCCTGTTTTTAAATAACATTAAATAAAAACCCACATGGACGGGCCTAATTGGGTTAGTCGTTGGCGACCCTAACTGCAAACCCAAATGATCAATAATTCCTCTTACATGCGCAAAGTGGCACACCGTGTGGTTTTAGTCGGACCGATTCCGACACATCACTCCGCCGTAAACCCCGGGCGAATGACGGCCCGAGGGAGTTTCCACACGTAACAAAGTAAACTCAATTCTTAGTACGACTTTATTGAATGGCATTGAATGATTTTGTTCACACAATTCGTACTTCCATACGTATATTATAAATGTGAAAGATTGTTTGTTTGTTAACCTTCTGCGCCTAAACCACTAAACGGCTTTTCGAAAAATTCTTTCACCAAGAGAAAGTTACATTAGAAGAGTAACATAGGCTAGTTTTTTCAACGAAAACCGACAACACGCGGGAGGAGCCGAAGGCAAAAGCAGTACCTACATTTTATTGTGCGATGAGCACAATAGTATTTTATATGTCTGGGTGTAATTAATCTATAGTATACTAAGCTGACCTGGCAAACGTTGTTTTGTCATATAGATTATTTCAATTTTTTTAGTCAAAAAAAATATATTTGGGATATGAAAAATAGATGTTTGCCGATTTTCAGACCTACCCGATATGCACACAAAATTTCACGAAAATCGGTCTAGCCGTTTCGGAGGAGTTCAACCACGCACACCGTGACACGAGAATTTTATATATTGCATTATAGATAATAGATAGATTGAAAATGCCTGTGGCATTAAGTCCGTCGTTGTAATATTTTCATTTGTGCATAAAGACAAATAAATAATGTATTTAAAACACGACAACTTGTCAAAGATATTGGACATCACTGTCACCCATGTGGGTAACAACTATTTCGGATATCTGACACACAACGCCATCTAGTTTCAACCTAAGCAGAGCTTGTACTATAAAAGCTAGATTGATTGATAGAATACTTAGATATGTACTTTTTTTTTTAAATGCATACATATTAATTATAATATAGAAATATTTGCAGATCATACAAACATTTGGTCTGACCCGGGCATTGAACACAAGGCCTCGGTACGCCAGTCGCATACGCTACCACTGCATTACCGAGGCAGAAATGATGACGAGGATTAATATTTGTAGAATGAGAGAAATATAAAGATGTAGAGAACACGGGGTACAGCTGCCTGTAAGTGGAAGCGATACAGGCAACGAGAGAGATGTATATCCAATAGTTCCCTCTGTCTCTGTGTAGCTAAGCTGTGATTGACTATTTATTAACCCCTCATATTCCCCAGCCAACCACTGAGCTCGACTAGAAAGAGATAGAGGGAACTATCTATTATCCATCCCTCTCGTTGCCTTTATAGCAAGTTTGGGGCTCTTGTTCACTCTATGCTTATATCTCTATGGTATGCAGAAGCCTAGCATCTCAGACTGGTCTCAAATATGCTTAGATTAAAATTTGATATAGTATTGTATGTTAATAGGTATAAAACTAAAGTTAAAATTGTATTGTTAATATTACTGCTAGTATCGGCATTTTACAACAACATTGTTATTTGCACTTCAAAGTGTTTTATTAGAATCGTTGATACAATAATGTAATAACGGTACCGTTAAGGCTAACATTGTCGATGTGATTGAAAATTTAATACTGTTTTAAAAATATAAGAAACGTAAAGGAATTTCTACGGTTTTTTTATTCTTACAAAATCGCCAAATAAAGAATAAAAGAGTAAGTTTGCGCTAACTCGATTTGTTGAGCATTATAGTGTCGTAAATAATTTGAAATTAGGAATTAAAGCTATACCTACCTACCGATTGGATTGTTTACTATATGTATTGTTAAATAAAGTAAAATAATGTTAAGAAATATTATTAATGTAAAAGTTAAACATACGTATAACTAAACAAACACTATACAATGTATAATGATTGTTTAGTTATAAGTTTGTTTTAATTAAGCTTAAATAGTAAACAATATTACGACGATACAAGAGCATGTTGAAGTCTATGAGCCTTTTTACTATTCCTGAGCGTATTCTGCGCATGCTCCAAATTATTGATTACTGTTGCCGAAGTAAGCTGTACCACACCCTAACCATCACAGCAATTTACCTATTAGTTCATTGCACACCGAAGGCGTGTGCACTACGAGCTAGAGTTATTTTTAGTCGATTTCGAAAACTCAATTTTAATTCACGCAGCAAATCCGCACCTTTAAATCATAGAGAATAGAATACCAACTGTCAAACCGATTGTTGTCAAACATACATAACCTTTATCGCGTTGTTTTACGTTAGCTAGCCGGTCGTAACTAAAATAGTTTGCTTACATATTTTATCTCATTTAAATCTTTTAACATGAAGGAAGGTTCCGGAGATATCGATAGTAGAAATGTGGTGAAGAACCGTGAGTTACTTTACCGACTGATTATCAGGTAAGTAAAAGGTTAAATATTCAGTCATTGTTTTTACAATGTTTGTAAATATTGCAGAATTAAAAGAAAAACTTGCGCAGTTAAAAACCGAAACAATGCTTTTAAAATAAGCTTGTTACCTGTCATAAATATTTAAAACACCATACTTTTTGAGGTTATTTGGTGTTTTTGCTGACAAAATAATTTTGTTCAACAGTCAACTGTATTACGATGGCTTTCAACCCATAGCTGCAACGTTAGCTTCTGCCGTTCACGCTGATCCGCCATGTCCACCAAGCGACAGGTAATCAAATATTACTTACACTATATTTTGTCTGCTAAGCCAGAGTTCGTAGGTTCGATTCCTACCCAGGACAAATAGTTGTGAGATGAGGTCAATTATTTTGTTCTGTGTTTGGGTGGAATTTATTTTGAATATGTAGATATTTAGAAATCTAATACCTTTAAACGAGCAATTCTTGTCTATATATATAACCTGAATCTCGGAAACGGTCCAACGATTTTTATGAAATTTGTATGCAGGGGGGTTAAGGAGACGATTAATCAATCTAGCTAGGTTTCATTTTTAGAAAATACCAATAAAAGGCATCAACATACTATATAAGTATGTTGATCATCAGTCTGGGTACCATTGCACGGGCTTTGCCTAGTTTAGGGTACTAATATGAAAAACATCAAAGTTTTCTGTGTTCATTATTATAATGGATATAGATAGATAACTCTTTATTTGCAAACATTTTACAAGTATTATGGTACATAAAAATATCAGAAACGTAACGTACAAGGGGCGGCCTTATTGCTAATTGTAATAATTATGTTAACAGACTACTAAACCTAATGGTTGTGGGATTACAACATGAGCCTGACCGTAAGGACCGGTTAGCAGCCTCCAGCGGAGCCGAACATCTGCTCGGAACTACTGGTTTTGGTGAGTAAACTGATGCTATATACACCTGGTTTTTTTTAAGAAGTGAATTTTTTGTTAACTGATTTTTTGTGAATTAAAAGAAAAACTTGCGCAGTTAGAAAAACTGAAACAATGCTTTTAAAATAAGCAAACACACACTAAAACACACAACATAACTAACACACTTGATTTCTCAAATTTTAATAATAATATTGTACCACATTCACACAACGCCATCTAGTCCGCAGAGCTTGTACTATGGGTACTAGACAACTGAGATAAATACATATATACTTTTTTTTGTAAATACATCCATATTATACATAGAAACACCCAGACCAAATCAAACATTAAATGTTCATACACACAAATGTTTGACTTGAGCGGGAATCGAACCTGCGACCTTTGGAATAGCAGTCCGTTACACAAACCACTATGCCATCCGATCTTCAAATGACATTCTATCTAAACATGTAAATTATTGGCTATGACTGATTGATTCATTAACGCAGAGACTAAACTGCTGGAGCTACAAACCGGCAATTCTGTCTGCTGATGCTTTTTATGTTGTAAGCACTAAGAAAGGATTTTTTGGAAACTTCATTCCTAAGGTTGTAAAATAAGAAATAATCACATGAGCGAAGCCATGGGTAATAGTAATGGCCTGTTGGTCTAGTGGCTAGTGACTCTGACTGCTACGCCAGAGGTCTTGGGTTCAATTCCCACCGTGCTCATCACACATTAATTGTGTGATGAGCACGGTCATTTGTTCTATCTATACTAAGTATGTATTTAGAAATATATAAGTATGTTTATCAGCAGTCTGGTTACCATAGTGCAGGCTCTGCCTAGTTTGGGATCAGACGGCCGTGTGAGACATGTGTTAAAATATTATTATATTATTAATGAAAGATTAATGCTAGTTGAATTATTCGGTGATGTTTGATTTTGATTATATTATATTTCTTTTTATAAAAGCAGTATCCTGCGTTACTTCTGTTATATTTTTTTTTTAAGATAAATATCAGGCATAGACTAAAGCTATCAAGAGTATTTCTTGCTATCTGCTTGTGGAAGTACAATGCTTTATTGCAAATCGGTCAGCTGGACCATGATACTACAGAAAACTGCTTTCTGTAAGGCTGTACTATCCCGGTCCATTTATTTCATTGCTTTTCATCAAGTGAGCAAGGTTACGAAAGCCCCCCAAACCCATGTTCAGCACACAATATTTGTACTTGGTGGGAATCGAGCCTAAAATCTCTAGCTTAGCAGTTAGGATCATTAACCAGACAATATAAAAGATTTTTTTTAAACTTTTAATTTCATTCTCTAGACTTGGAATACGAGATGGACGCATCCTCGCTAGCGCCAGAGCCGGCCACGTACGAAACAGCATATGTTACATCACACAAGATGGCGTGCCGCGCGGGAGCGTTCAGTGCTTGCGGACAACTGGTTGCTACAGGCTCCGTTGACGCTAGTATTAAGGTATATTAACAAATTTAATATATTATCATCAGAATCATCAATAACAGCCTTTAATAGACGTAGACCTCTCCTTAGAAAGGAGGTTTTGGCCTATTATACCACACGGGATCAGACGTTTTGATATAGGGTTTGTTTCAAGTTTTCCTTCTCTTTTTAGTAGTCCTATGGGATGAATAGGGGCGGTGACATTTCTAATATTTGCATATACTGACTCCGATTTTATACTTTTGGTAAATCATGATCGTAATTATGGTTTATTTGTGAGCATATCTATATTTATAAATAAGATCTTGTATCTTATTTATAAATATTTAAAAGGAATACTAAAAGCTGCCATACTGATGCCAGCAAATATAAGAAACTGAAATAAAAAAGTTAAAACTAGTTATATTAGAATTTACTCTTATTGTAACTCTGTTATATTATATATTTTTTAAATATGAGATAATGTTATTAAATACAATAAAAACGAATTAGTTACACCATTTATAACTCAAGAACGGCTGGACTGATTTTTATGATGTTTGATTTTTTGGATCTGTCTCCGCCCCGAATAGTAGAATTATTAATTATTAAAACATTTTAAAAATTTACGAAAAAATGAGAAAAAATCATTTTGTATATATTGTGTACAACCTAACACAACTGTGCTGTGCTGATAAAACTGCGAGAACTGTTGGTTATTACATAAAACATTATTAACAAACAGCAATGTTCAGCAATCAAATAGTTTCTCTGGTTTGCAATTTTCTGAGAATAGCAGCATCATCCTACAGTAAACTTGATTTCTCAAATTTTGGATATATTGCCAGATATTGGACGTGGAGCGTATGTTGGCTAAGTCAGCTCCTGAAGAAGTGGATCCGGGGAGAGAGCAGCAAGGACATCCGGTTATTAGAACTTTGTGAGTTGCAAATCTCTTGTATATTTATTTGATAATTAAAATAAGATTATATGAGATTTGACTTTTAAAATTTATGTTTAGTAAAATCATCTTCATTTGGAGTTAAGTGCAATATGTAGTGACATAACAATTGGCTGACACTGAGTTTGGAGACCATGGGCTGGTTTCTTTATTAGCCAACCGCCTGACATAAATATAAGAATATAATCATTTCAAAATGGAATACAAGAAGATAGTGGATAACGCGAGGGATCCAGGGTAAGGGATTTCACAAGTCTCGGATGGGGCATCGGACTATTTTTTTGTCTGGTATAGGGGGCAAACGATGTCACCTGATAGTATGTGACCACCGCCTTCCAAGGACATCTGCAACTCAAGAGACACAAGTGCATCGCCTCCAATTAAATCCTCACCGGAGCGGGAGAGGCGCTCACCCATAATCAGAAGAGGGAGGGGCGGTGGTTTTAGAGCTTTGGTAACCCCATTCACATGGTGAAAAGTAACGAAAACTTGGTTAACACCGGTTTTCGGTGAGGCTGTGGTATAACTCCGGTCGAGCCGGTCCATTTGTGTCGAAACAGACCTGTGATTGTTTCATTATAACAAACCATTTGCTGTGTTTAAGGTACGACCACACTGATGAGATAACAGCTTTAGATTTCCACCCACGGGAACAGATATTGGTGTCAGCATCCCGGGACTGCTGTATCAAGTTGTTTGATATCACTAAAGCTTCAGCTAAGAAGGCTTATAAAAGTATTACGGTATGTGTTGCAATGGTCTTTTTTTATTCTTCATTTTAGCAGCCATTTTGTCGTGTGGCAACCCACACCGAAGCCGAAAGAAGAGATAATCAAACTAGAATCGCCTAAAACCACATGGTGTTCGTCACGAATGAGCGTATTGCAGAGAACTCAGGATGTCCTCACAAGGAATTCTCCAAGAAATCCTTACAGACTTAGATATCTGACTGCACGGATGGCGTAGTGGTTTAAGCGGTCGCCACGCCGCTTCCTACTGCGCCGAGTGTTGTGGGTTCAAACTCCACATGGGACGACACTTTGTGTGATCCACAAATTGTTGTTCTGAGTCTGGGTGTTCTTTGTGTCCGTTTCATGTATGTTTGTAAAGTCCCCCGAGACACAGGATTTATTCCTAATGCGGGAGTTGTCTTTTAAAAAAAAAAAAAAAAAACTAGGCAAGTGACCAACCTCGAGTAGAGGGGGCTACCTTCCCCTAAAGTATTTCCGGAAATAAAAAAGAAAGACTTTACAAACATACATAAAACAGACACAAATAACAGCCCGACTCAGAACGATAATTTGTGGATCACACAAAGTGTTGTTCCATGTGGGAATCGTACCCACAACACTGAGCGCAGTAGAATGCGGTGAGATAAACTACGCCATCAAAGCACCTATAACGTTTAATTTCGTAACAATTAAATAATTTATTTTAACCATAGATAACTTTTTTTTTTTCTAGGACGCCGAACAAGTACTATGTGTGGCTTTCCATCCTCTCGGGGACCATATAATAGCCTCGACCACTCACCCGGTGATAAGACTTTATGACGTCACCACCAGCCAATGTTTTGTATGTCCAATACCATCCCATCACCATAAAAAACAGGTTAACTCTATCAAGTAAGTGTTATGCTATTGTCTCTGTCTTTTCGTATAGATATGAAAGAGAAAGTTGATTAAGGATTAATAATTGTTTTAAGTCGAATTTTGAGGGTATGGAATGTTTTGTTTTATTTAATTTTATGTTGTTTTTATTATTTATTTAGCATATCTTAAGAACAGCTGTAATAATTTAGATCAAATAGAAAAACCCTACCGTGTCACAATGTCCTATGTATTTCTTTTTGTTTTTGTATTACTTATTTATTTTGCTTAATTTTTCAAATAATAAAGGGTTTCCCCAGTAATACAAGTCTGCCCTAGTATTATATTTTTTCCCAATAATACAGATTTTCCCCAATAAAACAAGTCTGCCCTAGTATTATATTTTTTCCCAATAATACAGATTTTCCCCAATAAAACAAGTCTGCCCTAGTATTATAAGTTTTTGCCAATAATACAGGTTTTCCCCTATTATACAAGTTTTCCCTAGTATTATAAGTTTTTCCCAATAATACAGGTTTTCCCCAAATGGGAAATACTTCGCCAGCGGTAGCGCGGACGGTTCAGTAAAACTGTGGGACACTGTCTCCAACCGCTGTTTCAACACCTTCATCAACGCCCACGACGGGGCAGAAGTCTGTTCTGTAGCATTCACCAGGAATAGTAAGGTAATGTATGAACTTCATAACCACTATATCACTGATCTCGTTATGACACCAACTAGTCCTTTACGAACGCTACAAACTGGTGGTAAATAATTCTTAAGATGCTTGTTACCGAAGAAATTAGAAATGAAACCATATTAAATATATATTTAAATAAATTAAAACAATTATTACTACAAAAATGCTATTACAGCGTCAATGAATATCTGAGCAATCAATAAATTAAGCATGTACATAAAAAACTGAAGTATGATTATTGTTATTAGCTTGTATTATCTCTCCCTCTCTCATCTATTGCTGTGCCCGACAGGGTCCATGATGATCTGATCATATATTTGAGTACCATCTAAGTAAACATTGTGGAATGCAATAAATATATTGAGTACTGGTTACTGGAGCCCAAAACCCTCCCCACTCTCTTTGCTTTTGGGGGTGAGAAATCAAAGGCCGACAACGCAGTTGTGACTATAGTCGGGTAAGCACTTAATATCAGGTGATCCGTTTCCTTGTTTGCCCCCTATGACATAAAAAAATCATAAACACTCATTTTAATAATACCACTTTATCATCACTTTCTTACATCACACCATATAACACCACTTCTAGTCACTACCTCACTAATCTCATTAGTGGATATCTACAAAATGTATGACGATGACATATCATTATCGCCACTGTATCACTTCCTTATCACTATCACTGTAACTAGCATGACACTAATAAAGCACAGTTATAAATGTTTCACCACTACCTCCACCAACTAACATAGACTTCTACGGGTGGTATACACAGTTTAATGATAAGAGGTTCCGTAAAACCACTATAAATTAAAGTCAAAACATCTGCATATTCCAACCCACTACTCCATGATCACCTAAAGTGCTGCATTTACCAATTATCAAGCTGAAAAATAGAAGAAACACTTGATGCAAACCTTGTAGGGTTTGCATCAAGGCCTGGTTGGCCATCGTGGTACAGTAGGTCAACACCTCCTTTCTAAGCAGAGGCCTATGTCCAGCAGTACACTATTAAAGGCTGTTAATGATAACTATTCTTAATCCGTCACCACACGGACTCGGATTAAGAGAATTAAGAATACAAATTGTCACCGCCCCAATTCATCCCGTGGGTGTCGTAAGAGCCGACTAAGGGAGTAAACTAAGCAGGACAACAGCACTGCAAAGAGAAGGAAAACTTGAAACAAACCCTAAACCAACCCGTCTGGCCAGCGTGGTATAGTAGGCCAAAACCTCCTTCCTAAGGAGAGGCCTATGTCCAGCAGTGGACTAGTATAGGCTGTTGATGTGAATGATAACTAGATGTTTCTTCCTTTTACAGTACCTCATGACCTCCGGTCTGGATTCATCCATCAAGCTGTGGGAGTTAGCAAGTAGCAGATGTTTGATACAGTACACTGGCGCTGGAACTACAGGTTAGATACTTTAAAACCTACTGGTATACCTACTTAGTACCGTGGGAGAGCCAGGCTCGACCGGAGTTATACTACGACCTTAGAGAAAACCGGTGTTAAGTTGCTTTTCGACAAGTGAGTATGGTTACCGTAGAACCAACTCTTCACTCTGGGGTGATGAGCACTTAAAGATCGGAATTCCCTCGCGTCTCTTTAGTCACAAGTGTGTTTTGTACAATACTTAAGTATAAACAAATTTTAATCCACAATAAAACGGAAATTTTGTTCGAAAGCCTATTACTCAATTGTGGATTACATAGAAGACAAGAATGATTAATGTAGAACAGGTTATTTTTTAAGTGGAAATATAGTGTGTTTTTTATTTGTTATGTTTTACTTTACTTTCAGCTTGTTTTTTCTTTATTGCCTTTTTACTCATTAGTCCTTTTAATAACAGATGTTCTGGCGCACATATATATAATGATATATGTGGTATATTTAATGATACCATTGCATATGTGAATTATAAAAGATTGGCCATGTGTTAGTTTGCACTTTCTTGCCTTAAGACTCAACTCATAACGGGGGGTTGTAGATCGGCACAGGCATATAAGAGATTTTTGATACATTGCCAAATATTTGACAAAACAAAGATTGTTGCTATTGTGTGTGTTGATCTATGGCTGTAGAGTCTACATAAAAGAAAATTTCAACAAATTTTAATTATTTTAATGAAATAAAGACATTTTCAGTTTTGGTGACGGTAGTCACTACCTATCAGGTGACTTGTGTGCTAGTTTGCCCCCTACACCTTACAAAAAGACACCATCTTCCATCAGTCATGATAAGCTTTTTAAGACAACTCCCGCACTAGGAATATATCCTGTGTCGTGGGGCACTTTACAAACATACATGAAACGGACACAAAGAACACCCAGACTCGAACAACACTCTGTGGATCACACAAAATGTCGTCCCATGTAGATATCGAACCCACAACACTCAACGCAATAGGAAGCGGCGAGGTGACCGCTTTAACCATTACACCATCCGTGCAGTTAAATCTAATTAGTCTTTTGTCTTATAAAATTTCAACACACACTATATTTTATCGATACAAGCAACGAACAAATATTATTTTTCCATCGGGGACAGGTGACCCATCTCTTCGATTGCCCTCTATACTATTAAAAAAAATATAACTACGTTTAAACATATGATATTGACGACCGGATGGCGTAGTGGTTTGTATAACGGACTGCTATTCTAAAGGTCGCCGGTTCGATTCCCGCTCAAGTCAAACATTTGTGTGCATGAACTTTAATGTTTGATTTGGTCTGGGTGTTTCTATGTATAATATGTATGTATTTACAAAAAAAAGTATAAATGTATTTATATCAGTTGTCTAGTACCCATAGTACAAGCTCTGCTTAGTTTGGGACTAGATGGTGTTGTGTGAATGTGGTAGATTTTCTTTTTTTTTTTTTTTAATATTTTTTCCTATTCCTCTAGGTAAGCAAGAACACCACGCCCAAGCTGTGTTCAACCACACGGAGGACTATGTGATGTTCCCGGACGAAGCGACCACGTCCCTTTGCACGTGGCACTCGAGGAGTGCCAGCCGCTGTCAGCTTATGTCGCTAGGACACAATGGCGCTGTGAGGTAAGTCGCCGTGTCCGTGGTGTCGGATTAAGAATACAGAGTGTCACCACCCCTATTCATCCCGTGGGTGTCGTTAGAGGGAGCAAACTACCCAGGACAACAGCACTGTATAGATAAGGAAAACTTGACACAAACCCTATACCAACCCGTCTGGTCAGCGTGGTATATTAGGCAAAACCTCATTTCTAAGGTCCTATGTCCAGCAGTTTACTGTTAAAAGCTGTTGTTGATGATTCTAGCCATTGGATGTCCACTTCTGGACATAAGCCTCCTCAATTACTTCCAAATAAGACCGATGAACTCAATTCTTAGAAGGTCATCTATACATATGTCATGTCCCCACCAAAAACTCTGGTGGGGTGACGGTCTAAGGGAGTCTTAACTGACGTGTGTCACTTCTTTGAACAGAACTATATTGGTGAATAAAACCTTAAAATTTAAATTCTATACTGACTGAATTAGTGATTCATCAACACAGACCCTAAACCGCTGTGGCTACAAACTTAAAATTTTGCCAGCTGATCCTTTTTATGTTGTAAGCACCCACTAAGAAAGAGTTTTTGGAAATTTCACCCGTAAGGGTGTAAAATAAGGGATGAACGGTTGTTGTGTTCGCCATTTTCAAAGTTAGAAAGACGAAATAAGTAATTTTTATTTTTCTTTCTAGGTTTATTGTCCACTCTGGCACAGCGCCAGCCTTCCTGACCTGCAGTGATGATTACAGAGCTAGATTCTGGTATCGTCGGAATACGCACTGAGAAGCCGAAAAATCTATGGAATTACTTAATTATAAGATTTTTTTTAATAATATTATGAGACTTAAGTTAACTGAACGTCTGATTCAGTGATAAAGAAATAAATTGTCATGTCTATAGTTGTGAGTTTGATTTCCGTACAATACAAACATATCCATACTTATAAATGTGAAAGTGAGTTTGTTTGTTTGTTACGCTTTCACTCCTAAACCACTAAACCGATTTTAAAAATTCTTTCACCAAAGAAAAGCTACATTAACAGCGAGTAATATGGCCTACTTTTTAACTGACATACACATGGCAAAAGCCAGTATATGTTTAAAAAAACTTGTGTATTTTGCCTTCAATGTTGGTCTAGTGGCTAAAAACCCGGACTCAATAGTTGACATCAATCAAAACAAAAGTATGGAGGGTACCCAGAGAACCATCTTTGTTTATGAAATGCGTCCATAAAAACGCTTCCAATAAGGGTGCCGCTGCACTAGCTTAGGATAAATTTATACTGGCTTAAATAATAATTAGACACTGTACTAGACTCCGAAATTAGTCAATGAGTTATAAAGACAATAAATAAACGTGTAATAACTTTCAGAGAAAAAAACTATTATAATATTTGAACTCAGTACACTTCACTCCGTCTACAACAGCTATGTTTATATCGAAGTTTTTTGTACGCCCCCGACATCTATTTTCAGTATACAGCTGGACACTTAATTTTCCCCGCATACGAGATGGTTCTCCTTGTCTCTACACTCCATAAATAAAACAAACCGATTATCTGCATGGATGGCGTAGTGGTTTAAGCGGTCGCCACGCCGCTTCCTATTGCGCCGAGTGTTATGGGTTCAAATCCCACATGGGACTACACTTTGTGTGATATACAAATTGTTGTTCTGAGTCTGGGTGTACTTTGTGTCCGTTTCATGTATGTTTGTAAAGTCTCCCGCGCCACAGGATTTATTCCTAGTGCGGTAGTTGTAAAAAAAAATAACTTTTACTTTGATATGATTTCGAGTTGGCTTAGGTTTATTTTGGTTAGGTCATTTTGGAATTAATATACATACAGTATATTAATTCCAAAATCAATTTCGAAGAAAAGTGATCACTCTGAAATACCTTTATTTTTTATTGGACTGCGACAGGCCAAATACCTTTGACAAGATGAAGTCTGTCGGGGCAGCTAGTTAAAAATAAAGGTTACTTACTTGGCTGTACAACTCGACCGAAGATTCCCCCTTTAACTGGTGCCCTGTCAGGTATGTATTGTGGGAGCTGGCTATATAGTACTGGCTGAGGGGGCCGCTCATATCCTTGGCTGGCTGCTTGCTTTCGTCATCTTCAGGGTTCTGTTTACTGTGGAGGAAGAAAACGTTTAAAAGGTGTATTTTGTAATCCAGCCCTCGATGAAAGTATATTCTGTACAGCTTTGCGTATATACAACAATATTCCGATAGGTACTAGGAAGGCTAAAGAAATTACTATGTTTAAAACGAAACTACTACATGACTTGTTGGCAAATAAATGTTATTATACAGTTAAAGATTACATGACCGACAGGTCCCTGCTCCATTACTCTATGCCCCAATCATGATGTGTTCATTATTCTCTACTTTTACTCTTTTATATCTACACTATTTTAAAAAATTTCAACTTCTGTCGGCTCTCCCAGAGTGCCACTGTGTTTTTTCATATTTAAGACATGTAACACAACGCCATCGACTTTTAAACTAATCAGAGCTTGTATTATGTAAGCCAGATTGACTGATAGAATACTTATATACTTATTTTATTTGTAAATACAAACATATTATACATAGAAAACACCCAAATTCCTAAACAAATATCTGCAGATCATACAAACATTTGGGAATCCCCGGGAATCGAACCCGAGACCTCAAAACAGCAGTCGCATACGTTACTTACTGCACCAAAGAGGCAATCGATTTATCGGTTCCACATAACGTCAGGACAGGACATGACGTTTTTTCTGGTTGAAAATAGGCCTTTATCGGGTTTGAAACTAATCGGAAACCCCGACAATACGTAAATGAAAGTTAAACTGTATATCTTTAATTAAAATACGCCTGACCCTTTTAGAATATGACCATACATTTTTGTAACAAACTGTATGACGCTTATTACGAGGATTGTTGAAATAGTTTTGTCATGGGGGATTTTCTTAAGATGCGGACTGCACGGATGCCGTAGAGGTTTAAGCAGTCACCTTGCCGCTTCCTACTGCGCTGAGTAGTGTGTTCGATGGGACAACACTTTAAGTGAACCACAAATTGTTGTTCTGAGTCTGAGTGCTCTTTGTGTCCGTTTCATGAATGTTTGTGAAGTCCGCGATACAGGATATATTCCTAGTACGAGAGTTGAATTTATAAAATATGCATAGAAATCTATTATATTTTCCTCTTACCTGCTAAAATTACCAGCCCTCATTTGTTCAGGCACGAACGCGTAATTATCCTTGTCAGTGAGGAATCTGACGAAACCTTCGAATGAAAGACAGTTTTCCGCTCGAAGAGTTGGGTCTGGTTCGTGTCTCTAAGGATCAAATGTGTGTATTAATAAGCGATATTTAACTTGGCAGTAAGAATAGTGGGACAAAAAAATCTGCGTGATGATGGATTAAGAATACGGAGTGTTACTACCCTACTATTCATCCCAAAGGAACTGATGAGGACTGCTAAGAGAAGGGATATAGACTCTAAATCAATCCGTCTGATGGTCTCAGCGTTGTATAGTAGGCCAACATCTCCTTTAGAAGGAGCTTGTTCCTATGTCCAACAGTGGACTGTTAAAGGCTGTTGATGACGGAGGGTCATGTGGCTTGTTTAAGGGATTAATAAGCGCAGGCTATTTCTTTCTTAAGTAAAAATGTGGTGTGTTTTTTATTATTATTATTTTTGCAATTTTCACTTCTTTTTCTCTTTTATTCGTTTTTTTTTCTTAATCTTGTTTTGTCTTCATTGTCTTTTTACCTTTAAGTCCTTAATAACGGACATACTGGCACACATCAAAACAATGTTGTGGTATATTTAATAATGCAATTGTATCTATCTGTGAATTGCAAGCAATTAAAACAAAAAATGAAACAAAGAGAGTCTGAGTTTGGTGCTAATGATTCTGGTTCACTAACAATGTATTTAAAGTTTCTCCTTCTAGTTCTGTACCTGTATGATGTCCTTTAACTGCTGTTCAGTCTTAGGCTCGCATTGTCTCGTCTCGCAGAACTTGCCCAGGGTTGGCAGCGAGAGGACTCGACCACCAACGTCGGGACACGCACCTATTTACAAAAAAGAAATTATTTTGATTAAAAGCTAGTGACTTTTTCTATGTGAATTCATCCAAGTCAATTGTATTTTTAAACGACTTCAAAACAGAACGTTCTTGATTTGCTTGTATCTATTTAGAATCTTCACCTTAGAAGTTTATTAATTGTGAACCGATTGGGCAAACACTTTATTTATTTGGGAGAGTTTATTTCCCTATTGGTCCCATTAAAATTAAAAAAGAAATACCACATCTAAAGGGCAAAAATTAATAAATGAAGAATACAGTTCATGCAGAAGTCGATGATACTTTGTTAAAAGTTAATTTATGAATCTTGTTTAGTCATTTTTAAGAAATATATTTAAAAAGAAAAAAGAAAAGAGGAATAGTTAGTACATACCTGGTAAGGCCGCTGCAGCTAATACGTCGAAGGCTTTCTTCCTTCCCACTTTATCACTTGGAGGCTCCAAGTCTAACGAACCATTTCTCGTCAACAGACCTGGATATGAATAAAAACTTTAGTTTTGTCTCTTAACATATTTCTGTAAAAAAACGATTGAAATGGTTATTATTATTCCCTTTGAGCTCCCTCCCCATTAGGGGAGAAACGGAAGACGACGTTTGGAGCTCCGGTAATCTGTGTGTGATGTGAGACCTATTTAGGAAAAAATAATTATAACAACTTACCAGTTCGAAAAATGCCTCTGCTTCGGAAAAGTTCGGGTGAACTTCGACTTTTCTCGGCTCCCAACAATGGTGATTTGTTACGTGGTACGGCCAGCTGTTCGAATATATCTCGTAGCTCTGATCGCATCACGAGGCTGGAGACGGAAAAACATTTTCGTAAATATTTTGGAGCACACTACATATGTATATATTTTTAATATAACCATTCTTACACGCGGCTGTCTGATCCCAAACTAGGCCTACTAACTAGGAGTGTGGACTATGAAAACCAGACTGCTGATAACCATAGTTATTACTAAATTCATCATCAGCCTATCGCAGTTCACTGCTGGACATAGGCCTCTCCCATTGCACGCCACTTAAATTTTGGGCTTCTCGCATCCAGCTCCTGCCTTATTAAATCATCACTCCACCTGGCCTGTGGGCGTCCTAAATACATACATATTAAAAATAAATTACACCAATGATATCAAATGATGACCAGATGCATCTGTCTTAGTTCTTTCTCCAATCATAAATAAGATAGTTTTCCGTGCACCTGATCCTGGCCGTGTTAAGGGACTAGTGTGTGATAAAAGTTAAGTGACTTATTTTTAAATAAAGTTTAATAATTTAACGGAGAAGTTAATTAGGATGTTTTCGAACTATTATCTTACTACGAAGAAGAAGTTTAGAAATAAAGAGATACAAACAAACAAGTTGAACCATCATAATTAAATTTTGATAAGTGCTCTGTCTCCTAAACTAGGTTGTTTTACCTGTACCTGAACTGTAGAACATACATCGAATCAACACCCACATACGACAGCCACCAACACCACACCACAAAAAACCCATGGAAGCTGTTCTACATACCTGAAACTCCTAAACAGAGCGACAAAGTCCATGAAGTCCAGTTGTGTGTCGTAGCCAACGGAGCCTGTTCTCAAGTGCTTCAAGTTTTCCCAGAAACGTTCACTGGTTTCCAATCTTCTGAGGCTGCAACAAAATTTGGAATTTATAACAAGTAGTGGCAGCTCAAAGAAGAAATTGCATTGCGTAATTTATTTGATTATAAAAATCACTGAAGCTCCATAGACTGGATATCCGTCGAGGCATTACATCTATACTTATATTTTAAATATGAAAGTGAGTGTGTTTGTTGTAACGCTTTCAGCCTAAACCACTAAACTGATTTCAAAAATTCTTTCATCAATAGAAAGCTACATTATTTAACTACACGGATGGTGTAGTGGTTTAAGCGGGCGCTACGCCGATTACTACTACACTGCGTGTTGTGGATCAGATCCCCACATGGGACGACACTTTGTATGATCCACAAATTGTTGTTCTGAGTCATAGGCTGTTGATGATGATGATTGATGAACATCTTCTAATTTTTAAAGCGATAACCGATAAACACGCAATGAATAAGAACTAAAGGAGAAAATGCATTTGCAAATTGTAAAAATTTAAGCAATTACAATAATTTAAGCGCCTACTTTTTCCTCCGAGCCTTTTTTCCCAAACTTGGTTAGGGTCGGCATTAAGTCTCCTACGACACGGCTGAATAGCGATGTGTTACGTGGAGCGACTGCCATCAGACCAAACTAGAAACAAACCCTATAGCAACCCGTCTGGCCAGCGTGGTATAGAAGACTAAAACCTTTCTAAAAAAAAAAGCTTCTCTAGCGATGGACTATCAAATGCCGTTGACTCTACAAATAAACAGAAAATTTTAAATTGTTCTCATAGTCACTATAGGTAGAGACTGTACTATGGTACCCAGTTGTTAACAAACATATTAAATATATTTCTAAGTACATAGTATATCTTTATATATAAAACTGTTAAGTTGGTTTGTGTACGCTTGAATGACTCAAAAACTTCTGCATCCGATTGAGCTAAAATTTTGACACGACACACGACGCTTCAGAGATTTTTTTTATCTATTTTTCTTCCTTCTCCTCAGAGGTCTTCATTTCTTATGAATTCAAACACAATGTGTCACAGCGAAGCGTGGCTTGGTACACCTAGTTATAGATAAAAACAGCCAGACATACAAATTATAGTCGTAGTGTATTGTTTCTCCTGGTTGGAAATTGACCACAACCTGGCTGAGCTGCTAAGTAATTAGGATCCCTTGCCAGTAGAGCAGCAGGTCATTGTTCGAAATCAAATTTATTTTAATCCTACAATCTAACTTGAGCTCTTCTTACCTATAATAAGGTACAAAATGAAGTGGATACAAACAAATTTATTAATTTATTTCGTGCAACTTTAATTTTTTTTAAATATATTTTTTTATGCTTTGGAACGCTACAGGCAAATGCTAAATTGTACCTTTTGGACTTTATATAAAGTTTAAAACTGTTTAATCTGCCAATTACCCTCGTTTAAGTAGGGTTCGCACCCCTTTGAAGGGGTGAGAAAACCCTAATTATCGTCCGACCGTAAATAGGTCAAGGTCACACGGGGGTAACTTAGACTGAAAATAGGGTTGTCACATAAAAAAATATTGTTGCAACTGACATGGCCAATTAAAAGTTAATGATATTAATATATGGTGTAATATCGCATCAAAAGTCAAGGTCATCATAAAATTATTTATATATTTATTTATTATTATTTATTTTTTTGCAAAATGAACGTGCCGTCATTTTAACAACGTGTAACTTTTCATCAGTAACAAAAAATAATAAATTGCAATTAGGTAATTCTTTTGCAAAAATAAATTTGTTTGTCAAGAACAAACTGTCCAATAATCGTAAGGGTATACTCCCGAGGCAGTCTCAATACCATCAAATCAGGATTTGATGATGTTTTCCAAAAGAAATTGAGGGAAAACCTTAAATTTGACAGGTTTACACCGTGTTTTAACTCGTTTCTCTAGCTATATAGGTATTTGCGTTAAGTAGTCGTTATGTCATGTTGCTGAGCTGATGATCAAAAGACCCTTGACCTTTAGGAGTTAGACGATAACTCTTTCAAAAATATAATCATGTATTGATCTTGTTTTATTCTTTCAGGATATATGTTAGGTGTTGTTTTGGGTAACATAGATATGTGCGCAAGAGATATTACAAAACTTTTGAACAAAAAAAATTTTGTTTTGCAATTATTTTCATGTTTGTTACCTCAAAATTCTTTTATTTGTAAACCGATTTGGAAAATTCTTTTTTTATCTGGAAGGGTATATTTCCCCTTTGGTTCCAATCAAATGTGAAGAAAAAATGTCACTCGTTGTAGTGGAAAATTAAGTAATGTGAAAAGCAATAGATTTTCGGATTCAAATGTAACATCTTACTACCTTATCTAAATAAATTAACGAACTTATTAAACAATATTTAATATAATCTAACATACTACATTTGGTAATGTTTGGTAATATACATTACAGTACGGAGTGTTTTAAAATTTCGTACTTATCTACTTATTACAAATTAAATCCTTAAAAAAAACAGTTGAACCGACTTCAAACAATACTGACAGAGAACTCTAAAAGTATGATAAGTGCGACCCTCAATATAGCAGTTAACATTATAATAGCAGTGGTCTCTTCTAGTCTGTTTGAAGTCGGTGCCCAGCCAAATAGGCACTTGATAGGCTTGGTAATTCTACCTAGCCTATCAAGTGCCTATTTGGCTGGGTATTCTCCTGGCTTTGCTCGCTAGCATAAAAGAAGAGGAAGATACTGACCTACTTCTGTTAGGAGAACCTGCTATGATGCTGGTAGCAGCGGCCGTTAGGCTGCTGTGTCGTGGTCCATACATGTGAGGATGAATGATTGACGAGGAATAGGAGCTGAAAGAAAATATTATTGTTATAGTAACTCTGAAACTGATGCGTTCTATGCTTTCTTTACATAGTATAAAATAAAGTCGCTTTTATTTAACACTACATTATTATTTCTTACCCAGTTAAATACGTCTGATACTTTATGCATTTAATGTAGATCAAAATTGCGTCTTACAGCATGTCATTAAAATAAACATCTTAGTAGATATCAGAGATTTAAATTCTAAGGTCTAAAGTCTCTCTAAGGCAGCGGCCGGCAGAACTGGAGTGGGCCTATAAATATTGCATTTAAAGATGACTGTAGACTTATCATCATAATACTAGTATTATTAATTACTCGACACTGACACCACATTAGCAGTATTAGTAGAATCTACATTGCACGGATTATTAGTATTACTATATAATTATGCTTACGCGAATGAACACGCTTACGACAAGTATTAAGTATATGCTTTTGAATTGCCTGGCGCTTCGACCTTGGCTGTGGTCACAGGTCGACTTAAAGTTATAAACACCTATCGTGAGCGCGTTAATTCTTTCAAACAAATATGGGATTATATACATATTGCACACTACACTATATATGTCTATGCACTAGAGAATGCATCTCTATCGTATATATACGACCTTCTAAAATTCAAGAAAAGAGCGTACACCTTCCTCAAAGGCCGGCAACGCGCTTGTGACTCCTGAGTTACAGGCGTTCATGGGCGGCGTTTGTCACTTTCCATCAGGTGACCTGTCTGCTCGTTTATCCCCTTTTCCATTCAAAAAATTAATAATAATACACGAGCTTTATAATAAACAGCAATAACTTACGGCTTCACTCGCGTGAATATTCCTTCTATGAAAGTGACGATTATTCATACAACCGGTAATCCCTTATTTTACCCCCTTAGGAGTGAATTTTCCTAAAATATTTTTTTAGAGTGTGTGTGTGTAACATATAAAGCATCCGCTGCCAAAATTTCAAGTTTCTAGCCCCAGCGGTTCAGGGTTTGCGTTGATGAATCAATCAGTCAGTCAGGGAAATTTTATAAGTATAGATGAATTCCCTTTAAAACCCCCGACGCAAAACCGACGGGGTGTTATAAGTATGACGTGTCTCTCTGTGTGTGTGTGAGTGTGTCAGTGAGTGTCAGTGAGTGTCTGTGTGTGTATGTGTCTGCCTGTGGCATCGTAGCTTCCGAACGGATTAACCGAATTTGATATTTTTTTTGTTTGAAAGGAGAATTAGTCGGGAGTGTTACAAGATCCAAGATGGCCGCCGCCACAAAATGGCGGCTTATATATTTTTCACAACTCCCACAACATGGGTATTAAATGCAAGGACTTGACTAGTAGAATACTATGCAATATGACAAATTTTAAATCCAAGGTGTGTATCAGGGGATGTTAAATTTTAAATTTATACTAGTTTACCTATGTCTCGGTGATCCCTGCATCACTTCGTCTTCGCTCCTGGTACCAGAAGTGTGCGAGGACTGGATGCTTTTAGGGGAGCTCGTTTTCAGCTCCGATGTTGATTTGTTCTTCTGAAAACATAGTTAGACTTTAAACATTTTGTTACACGCTCTGTAACAGTTAGTATAACAACAAAGATTGAGCTGACCTCCGTCTTGCAAAGACATCATCATCATCATCAGCCTATCGCAGTCCACTGCTCGACATAGGCCTCTCCTATTGCACGCCACCATCTTGCGCAAATCGTCACTCCACCTGGGGGCGTCCTACACTACGTTTGCCGAGACGCGGTCAATATGGCCAACCCACTGCCACTTCGGTTTGCTGATCCGGTAGACTAGTTCTCTGCAGGATCACCTCATTCCTGATGCGATCCCTTAGAGAAACGCCGAGCATAGCCCTTTCCATAGCACGTTGAGCGACTTTGACCTTGTGGACCATGTCATGACGGGTAGGATGCACTTATTGAAGACTTTCGTCTTAAGACACTGTGGGATCGATGATGAGAAGACTCGACGAAGCTTCCCAAAGACATGTTTCTATAAATACAGGTGTACGAATCTCTTCTCCATAAATTGGGCTTTCTCTCATTAATAAATTATGTAAAATGCGTCCATTAATTTTCATGATAGTTGGCAAATATAGAAAGTTTTTTTACATGGTATAAGGGAACCAATGAGCATACGGGTCACCTGAGGGTAACCAACTACCGCCGCCCATGGACACCTTTAACTCAAAAGTGCGTTGCTGCCCTTGGAGTCCCTAACGCTCGAGTCAGCGGGAGGAGGGATTTGGGCTCCGGTAACCTCACTCACTCAGAGAAAGGCAACGAAAGAATTGCTTAACATCGGTTGCCGGCCCATTCGTGACGAAGCATGGCTCTCCCGCGGTTGAAAGTTATAAAATATGGTCGTAAAATGACTTTTTCGAATTGACGACTTTAACAACCCTCCATTATGATAAATTGCACTAAACTGTATTCTCCATTCCTTAAATTTTACCCTCAGGGGTAAAAGTTTTTCTTCAAATTTAAATTGCACCAAACGGGAAATTATACCTTTTCAATTAAAAAATCAAAGTAGTTTATAAATGAAGTTTGACATAACAAACATTATGAAAAAACGTCGAAAATTTTTGTAATTTCCTCCTATTTTCAAGTCGGTTGAAATAACTTTTTTAATAGTACTGTTTTATGTTCTATGTTTTAAGGAATAAATAATTTAACATATTAGTCACAATTAATTGGATTTCACTCTGAAATTAATTAAACTGGACATAGACAAAGAGATCACAATTGAATTTCTATACATACCTTAAACTTGATGCCAGATATTTTAAGGGAATCACAGTGTGAGTCCGTGTAACCGCCTTTCACAGGAGTGGAGTGAGATGAGCTGCCGCAGGTCGACTCTCGCCCTCCGAAGACCTGAAGACAAAATGATGCATTATGTTAAATGGCAAATAATAATAGATATCCCACGGCTTCCCTCGTGCTTACGATAACTATATCCCTCATAACTTTTTCTAAATCTCTATTTTATTTTCTGTTCCTGTCAACGTCAACATTTATACAAAAACATGACTATCTGATTTTAAGCAGAGGCTCAAAAGGCTTAAAATATTAATTAAGGGATTTAGAATACGGAGTAATACCACCCCTATTCGTCCAATGGGTGTCGTAAGAGCCGACTAAGGCTAACTAAACTAAACAAAAGAGAAGGAAACTAATACTCGTACCAACCCATCTGGCCCGCCTGGTATAGTAGGCCAAAACCTTTCTAAGGAGAGGCCTATGTCCAGCAGTGTGCTATTAAAGGCTTGTTAATGATGATTTTACCTCGCATATCAGAGGAATGAATTTAAAGAATCCACTGCCTCTATTTTATATATACACTGGCGTCTCTAAACTAAGACGTATAAACGCCCACATTTTGCCCACTGTAAATTTAGTCCCACTTGCGTAATTTTAATATTGTACCAGAGTCACACAACGCCATCTAGTCCCAAACTAAGCAGAGCTTGTACTATGGGTACTAGACGACAGATATGAATACATATATACTTTTTTTTTGTAAATACGTACATATTATACATAGAAACACCCAGACCAAATCAAACATTAAATGTTCATGCACACAACGGTTTGACTTGAGCGGGAATTGAACCCGCAACCTTTGGATTAGCAGTCCGTTACACAAACCACTACGCCATCCGGTCGTAATGTATGGCAGGTCTATTCCCGTCAACCGGGCATGTATATTTCTAAATGAACATACTTATATACTTCTAAATTGTCAAGTAAGTTGTAAGTTGACAAATGTTAGGCTTAAGAATACCTGGAGTCTAAACTAAGCCTTGGCCTGTATTTTCAAGCTCCAGGCCCCCCAATATTATTACAGTAATGCTGTGCTTAAGCGTGGATATTTAAATATGTGTAGGTGTGTGTGTGTCTGTAGGTATGTGTGCATTTGAACATACATACATAAAGATAAATTACACCAAAGACATAGAAGAAATGGTCGTGCTCATTACACAATTTTTATCCAGGGTAGGAATTGAATCCACAACCACTGGTTTTACAATCAGCACATGTAACTACTAGACAAATAAACTTTCATATGATGCCCAATAATTCTGAACCAACTTACCCGAATAGCATCTGATACGAGAGGCTCACAGCAGCATCCCTCCTCATAGTATAAAGCCGTGTACTTGTTTTTTAGCCAGGCAAGACTCCTGTCCGCAAGCTTGGCTTGGCTCATCAGAGCTCTGATGACGGAATAAAGGCCGACTGCCCATACTCTGCGAAAAAAGAAATAATTGGTAGCTAAATCAGAATAAGCTTACTAAAGTAAATGATTAACGCCGCCGCGCCTGAGTGCTGCTCCCCCCCCCCCCCAGAAATAGAGAGAGGAGGGTTTTGTGGTCCGGTGGCCTCATTCACTTAGTGAAAAGCAACAAATGAATTTCTTGACCACGGTTTATGTGACGCTGTGGTTATTCTCCGGTCGAGCCACCCCATATGTGCTTTTCTCCGGTTAAATTCAGGTCAGGTATTTCACTACCGATTCGAAGGATTGACAAAATTCACATTTCCTAAAAAGAAACCCCTCAGCACAAGAAAGAAGATAGCATACCTGTAAGAATACGCTGGCAATACTAAATGAACAGTTCTGTTGTCACTCAAAGTTCTTCCATACACCAGGGAGATGATATGAGGACCTTGAGAGCAGATCTCCAGTCCGTGTCTCCTCGCACTGGCAGTTAACTCCGCCAGGTCTCTTGACTCGAGGAGTTTGCCTCCAAGACGCATGTCTTTGACGCATTGTAAATCGATAAATCTGAAAGAAGCGTATAACTCTTCAGCATAAGGTTTATAATTTTGTATTCAGTAGTAAGAGCAAAAGGACTGGTGCAGTTAGAAAAAAAAAACCGTCATTGTTTTATTATGTATGAGACAAACGCCGTCCATGGACATTTGCAACTCAAGACCTACAAGTGCGTCACCACCTATTGAAAGACCCCTCATGATTAAGGGTAGAGGGGGAAGTGTGCTTCCGGTAACTTCACTCACTTCAAAAATCAATGAAAAAAACTGCTCGACAGCGGGTTTCTGTGAGGCTGTGGTACCACTCCGATCGAGCAGGCTCATTTGTATGGCTCTTAGATACTTGTGTTTTAAATATTTATGTAGATATTATGGTGGGTGCACTTTTCAGTTAGGCTGCTGGAAGAGGACAGTAACATTCAGGGACCTACGTGACTCTAGCCCAGAGCTTATGAGATCAAAAAATCCTTTCAGAGCCTTTTTCCCAATCAAGGTTTGGGTCGGCTTTAAGTCTGCTATGATACGGCTGAACTTCGATTTGCCATCAGACCTCAACAACCCAAGTACTAGGCGATATTGAAGTTCTGTATAAAGACTGTTGTCGAACTTTTGCTCCAACTACAAGTAACGATGGCTTCAGATAATCGATGATACGATTATCTGAAGCCAGAAGGCTTAACGTGCTGCTCTGAGGCACGGAGGAGTCTCAATGTGTTAAGAATGGTCTCCCATCAATTGACGGACCTGGCTAGAACTACTTAACTGTACAATACTAGCCACTACTATATATTACTATTGTCTAAGATCTACATATGTTAAACTGAAATGTCCTACACTGTAATATTTATATTGGTCAAATAAAATTATTATTATTATTATTACTACAACTCAGCCACGAGCCCCTCAAAAATTGATTAGCCTAAATAATTTTAAATGGTTCTTACCCCTCTTCCCCAACGATGCCAGCCTCATTTTCATGTGCCAGGTTGGCGGTGTATTTCAGGGGTATGACTTCTTCAGGGTTGTAAGAAAGGCTCACTTCTGGTTGCTGTACACTTTCTGAGGGGGTTTCTCCTGAAAATAACAGCCTTGTTGAGTCTTATTAGTGATGTTTTTTGATTTCTTAAAGTTATGAGTAAGAACTAGATGATGATAACTAGGACAGTTCGATAATTAGTTAAAAAATTGTTTCTACGAAATCTATTCGTAGGACATGTAGCACATACTATACATAGCATCTACCTATGGTCTACGAAAATGTTATAACTTCTGTTTTGGTCGTAAATTCAACGTTATGCAGTGCGTAGACCATTTCCATGTACGAGTAGCATAATATGCTACATGGAAATGGGCTACGAACTGTATTAAATATTATTTGTAGAGGCATCCGTAGATCTAAGCAGATAATTTTTGCTCATCCGAAGCATATAATTGAAAAATATTCTTTAGGTCATCTAATAAAATGTTACCGTTATATTTCCTAGTAACTTATGAAGATCTACAAAACGTTTACAAATATGTTACGTCCCATATCTATTTGCGTTCACCATAAAATTAAAGGAGTAAGGATGCTGACTGAAATTTTTAGGAAATGGGTATTCGAACCCAGTCGATCCCATTTGGATCTCTTACTTCAAAAGTATTGATGTGTGTAATCACACGTAGACAGTCATATTTCTAATAGTTTTTATAGTCAAATTTAAAATCAAACTAAGCGTAGATTGTAGGTTTTTTCCTGTTTCTACATTTTCGTTCCGTTCGCTGTAAATCATTAAAAAAGTTGGCACAAAGTTATTTTTAATAATACCTATAGACTACGGTCTTTAAGTATTAAAAAGAACACAGAACTTTTTTTTTAATAATCAATCAAAATATACTTGATAAAAACTCAAAAACCAATTAAACGTTTTATTTTAGTGTCAAGAGTATGCAGTCAGGTAGAATAAGTTAGTAACTACAATTTCAATACCCAAAGAACAGGAAAGAAACAAACGAAACTCTCAGCGATAGGTGTGCGCTTACCATGCTGTGTGTGAGGCGTATGCGCTGTTCGACACCACGCTAACAAGGCACACGCACGTTCTAGTCTAATTTGCGCCAGCGCACCACCCCATTCTGGTTCAGAGATAACACAAGCTGTCCCATGGTGCATTATCTGAAACAAAAATTCAAACATATGGTGGTGATGGATGAATACAGCCTATCGACCTGCAACTTAGCACGTTGCCGGCTTTTGTGGCAGGAGTACGTTCTTTTCTTGAAGGTTTGAAGGTCGTAACAGTCTGGCAATACCATGACTCATAAGTGCGTTTCTATAATTCCTTCAATGCTCCCTCTAATTATTGGGAGGGCAAAATTAGGAGAGGAGGGGAGTCTTTTTGGTTGGTTCTCCGGTAAAATTCACTCATCATCATCATCAACAGCCCTTAACAGTCCACTGCTGGACATAAGCCTCTCCTTACAATGAAGGTTCCTCTCCTTACAAAACTCACTCGGTGAAAAGCAATTAAAAACTCCGATAATCTATGAAGCCTAAGCTTGGCTCTCCTCTGAATTAACAACAGCATATAGATCTGGATGGTATTTGTTACAGACAAAGACTATAGTCTGGAATGACACGTAGGCTTTTTATCCGAGAAAAAAGTATTGATAAAATGGACATTAATGATAGCAATTGTCCGTGAAGTGACGGATTAAGAATGCGAAGGGTCACCACCCGTATTCATCCCGTGGGTGTCGTAAGAGCCGACTAACAAACGGGAACAAACTACGCACGACAACAGTACTGCAAAGAGAAGAAAAACTGGAAATAAACCATATATCACTCCGTCTAGTGTGGTAAAGTAAGCCAAAACCTCTTTTCTAAAGAGAGGTCTATGTCAATTAGTGGACTATAAAAGGCTGTTGATGATAATGATAAATTGTAGAAAAGTTGGTTTAATTACTAATTAGTATAAAAGAAGTTACGGTAATCAGTTATACAGTGCGTGGACTGATAATTGCTGGAAATCCACTGTTATTGATTTGTTATTTTAACAAAATCGAAAAACAAAATACATTACACTAGTTATTGACCGAGGATTCGCTTTCATGTTTCTAGCTTTGAAAATAAATAACTTCCAGACCAGTTCATTACTTATTTTACCCCCTAACGGGTGAAATATCCAAAAATACTGTTGCGCCATATGATTAAATGGTCCGATTGTATGAAACGTGGAGGACAGCGCCATCTAGTATCGACTAAAGTACATCTATTAAGATTGTGGTTAATGCGAATAGTTCTGATCCTTACAAGTAACGCGTGACTGATCCTGGAAAATTCTTGTTGGTTTGGAACGGACTATCGAATACTAGAGATTTTTCTAGTAAAATTCAAAAGCGTTATAAAAGCGGAGCGTGTTGGCCATTCGAGACAGTATCGTTTTACGACACATCGAATTAACACCGGAGTGAATTTCTAGTGCGACTAACAACATACATAGTGATTTCTAGTCTATTATAGTAAGTGTTTGTGACTATACAGTGAAATAAAGTAATTAACCGACAACTTTTATTTATTATATATCCTGCTCGTAACAATACTTTCTTAGTAGGTGTTTATAACATATAAAGCATTAACTGCCTAAACTACAAGTTTGTAGTCCTAGCGGCTTAGAATATGCTTTGATAAATTAATCAGGCAGTCGCGGCAAGTTATTTTAAATGTAAGTATAGATTTACGGCAGACATTGATATCGGTCGGTCACACTTCTACTTGGAGTATTACAAAGACAAGACAAAGAGATAAATCACTGAAACAGATCTTCTTGTATTAGAATTAAGACAAAGGTTAAAGCTGGGTCCATTATATTAATGATCTCTTCTTATATCTTATTAAATCCCTTAGAAGAAACCAATAACTTAATTTCTAAATGAATGTTGTCTCCGTGACATTATAATGGTCATTTAAAATTGTCACTTCCATTCTCTTCGGTGGTTCTATTTTTATTTGATCAGAATTACTTAGCAAAAAATATTTTATAAACATATTATTTAGTAATGATTGCTTCCTTCCTCCGAGCCTTTTTTTCCCCAAACTAGATTGGGGTCGGCTTCAAGTCTACTACGATATCTACGATCCGGCTGAACTTCTATTTTTTACGTGGAGCGACTGCCATCAGACCTCCACAACCCAAGTACTAGACGATATCAAAGTTTTGTAGAAATACTGTTGTGGGACTTTTTAGGGCTCCAAGTACCCGTAACGATTGCCACAGATGTTCGTATGGCAACCGGGTTTACGTGCTCTCCGAGGCCGGAGAGTTAAGAACGGTCATCATCCATAGACTGACCAAGCTAGGATTTCTTAACTTTCATCATCATCATCATCAACGGCCTTAAATAGTCCACTGCTGGATATAGGCCTCTCCTTAGAAAGGAGGTTTTGGCCTACTGTACCATGCTGACCCGACGGGTTGGTACAGGGTTTGTTTCAAGTTTTCCTTCCCTTTGCAGTGCTGTTTTTCTCCAGAGTTTGTTGCCTTAATCGACTCTTACGGCACCCACGGGATGAATAGGTTTGTTTACACTCTGTATGCTTAATCCTTCACCACACGGACAGCGATAGCAATGCTTAACTTTAAAATGTGTTAACTTATTTGGTTATCACTTGCCACGAGCTCCTTAATTACTCAGCAACAATAGTTGAAGCTATTTTTAAAAACATATTATTTGGTAATAATTATTTTTATCTGTATCTTTAAGCATTATTATGAAATATTTAATCACAAAACACCTTACCTGTAATATATGCCTATCCATCCTTTCCCCATTTTGTGGTGCCAAGGGAAACATAGTGACTCCATGATCATGAGGCAGAGGCTGCACAGGACAATATCCTGTACCTTCTAACTCGTATAATGCTTCGTTCTCGAATTCACCGTTAGTCTTCTGCGTGGGCTGCGAGAAGACCGGCTCGTCGCAAATAGACATTGCTGTTCTAAGATGAAAAGAGACAATTAAGCTCTGATACAAAAGAAAATTACTGAAATATGGAAAGAGAGATTCCTAGAAGATTAGACTACAAAGAAAGGTAATATCTTTGAATTAAAGTGCAATTTTTGTATGCGTGAATATGTTCATGCTTATTGCTTTAACCGCTATCTATAAATTTATTTAATCCTGTTCTACAGCTTAAATTAAAATCAAAGTTTAGTTTACATATAAATAGAGCTGTATTATATATCGGAAAATATTATTTAAAACTACAAGGTTTTCAAAAATGTTTGCAGCTCTTGTTTTTGTGAAATTCTAATTAGGTCATCAAGGTAAACAAAATGAAAAAAAATTAATGAAAACCAACTTTTTTGTTAAAATGGGCGAAGGTATTACTATTTTTATCATTACAAGGAAAGTTTAAATCTAAAACTGCACCTTAAATAGTCTCCAAACACCGGTGCATTACTCCTGGCTAATGCGTAGTGGTGTTGGTGAAAACTGGCTATGTGGTCCATCACAGCTTGTGTACGGTAGACTTTTTCTAAATTGATTAGACCTTCTGGTCCTACGCGTCTCCATCCTTGTGGCTGCTCACCTTCCTCATCAAATGAAGCTATATACTAAAAAAAAAAACCATGGTTAATAAAATTGTCGAAGGAACTGAGTTTGTATAAAATTAAAATTGTCTCTTTTATGTCATATTATGACTTATAGTTCTAATTTTTTTCAAAATAAATTCAAGCATTACACTATTATTCTCCCACCCTTCTTCTAAGATAACTAACGTAACTACTATAAAGAAGTAAGTTCACGTCGATGGATTTGGACTTACGACCTGCGTTCAGATCGCAGGCCCGTCATTATATCCATTGACAATTTAAATTAATTTATTGCAATTTACTGATTACTCTAATTCCGTAAGTCTGCTATTTGTCTTGCCCTAATCTTTTTTCCTAAATACTATACCATACTACAATATAATCAAACGCGAAATAGCTAGCTTCCTTTTGATCTGTAACTTGTTTCACGTGATATGCTTACAATTTTCTCAAATTTATTCCTTCTTCTTTGGCACTCGACATTCTCTTTTACGTACTCTGTTATGTCATCAAATTCTATAATTTACAAAACGTGTTTTCTGTTTCGCTGCAAAATATGTGTGACTTACCACTTGCTTAGTAGAATCGCTGGGTCTAGGTTCTCTCTTACAACTATCCCTTAAAGGACTAGTCGTGGTACTTTGGTCCATTCTTTTACCACTTTCTCTTCTTGTCTCTCGTTTAAGTGACCCTCTGTTGGAGGTAAATAATTTTATAGGTCAGTTACATATCATAGCCATAAATCTTGTCCTAAATAGAAATGCAGGTGCTATAATAAGGGCCGGATCTGGCGGACAACCAGTACGGTTTCCGTCAGGGGCGCTCCACCGTGGATGCGATCATGCGCGTGAAGGCTCTGGCGGAGGAAGCAGTCTCCCGGGGCGAAGTGGTGTTGGCGGTGTCCTTGGACATCGCCAACGCGTTCAACACTATGCCCTGGAGCTGCATCAGGGAGGCGCTCGTGTATCACGAAGTGCCTCTCTACCTCCGCCGCATAGTCGGGGCATATTTGTCGGAGAGAGCCGTCGTCTACCCCAGTAGGACCGGTCTCGGTAGGCGTGAAATGTCGTGCGGTGTTCCGCAGGGGTCGGTGTTAGGGCCACTCTTGTGGAACATCGGCTACGACTGGGTGCTTCGTGGTGCCTTCTTGGATGGTGTCGCCGTCGTGTGCTACGCGGACGACACACTCGTGACGGCGCGCGGCAAGACGCACCACGAGGCAACCCTGAGGGCCACGGCCGGGGTTGCCCAAGTCGTTGAGCGTATCCGGCGGCTGGGTCTCGAGGTGGCTCTGCACAAGTCCGAGGCCCTGTTCTTCCACGGGCTTCGGAGGAAGCCGCCTGAGGGATCTAGCCTCACGGTAGGAGGCACTCGCATCGGCATCGAGCCCTCGATCAGGTATCTGGGGCTCGTACTCGATGGCCGATGGGACTTCGGATATCATTTCCGAGGTCTGGTCCCCAAGTTGGTTGGGGCAGCGCGTGCGTTGGCGCGGCTGCTGCCCAACATGAAGGGACCCGATGACTCCTGCAGGAGACTCTACTCGGGGGTTGTGCGGTCCATGGCCCTTTACGGGTGCCCAGTATGGGCGGGGGCCCTGAAGGCCAGCAACGTCGCGATACTGCGACGACCGCAGCGAATGCTGGCCATCAGGATCATAAGGGGGTACCGCACGATCTCCTTTGAGGCGGCGAGTCTCCTGGCCGGAACTCCACCATGGGACCTGGAGGCGAGAGCCCTTGCGGCTCTGTATCAGTGGCGCAAGGAGGCGCAGGAGTTGGGTCGATCCCCCGAGATTCGAGAAATCGATGACTGGAAATCCCAACTCCGCCAGGTCATCATAGGGGAGTGGAGGGAACGACTCGGGCAACCGAACGCCGGGCACGCCGTCATTGCGGCGGTAAGACCCGTTATGGAGGATTGGCTCGAGAGGCGTCACGGGACCCTCTCATACCGATTGACGCAGGTGATCACTGGGAAGGGATGTTTCGGAGATCACCTGTGTCTGATCCGCAAGGAGCCAACGCCTGAGTGCCACCACTGCGATGGCCAGACCGTGGACACGGCTCTCCACACGCTGGCAGAGTGCCCGGCGTGGGTTGAGCAGAGGCGAGACCTCGTGGCGGCCATCGGAGTGGGAGTTCTCTCGCTCGATAGCCTGATTGCGGCTATCGTGCGGAGCGAGAGTGCGTGGAACTCTGCCGTCTCCTTCTGCGAGCAAGTTATGCTCGCGAAGGAGACGGCGGAGCGGGACCGGGAGAGGTTTAGAACTCTCCCGGCCCGCCAGGCCCGGGCACGGGCCAGGCAGCGCAGGCGACTCAGGCGCCGGAGGTCGCAGAACGACCTTCGTCCTCCATAAGCGCAGGCCTGGGGGTGACAGGTGAGGCCATCTGTCACCCTAGCAGAAGCAGGCCGGGGTGGCGGCGAGCGCGTTGCGAAGCGCGCTCGCTTCCAGGGAGCACAGGGAACATGGGGTTCCCACACGGGGCGGGGGTCGTCTACTCGTCTGTAGATGACCCGAGGTATGTCGGGGCACCAGGGCCTTCCTTTCTAGGGTATACCTGGTTCCCCGGCTATTAGTACCCGGCGAAGGCGTGCGGTTTTAGTCGGTTCGAGTCCGACATGCCACCGACAGGTGGTATCCGAGGGGATTTCCGCACGGAGAAAAAAAAAAAAAAGGTGCTATAATAAATACTGTAAGTGAACTTTTTCAGAAAATAGAAATCTTAGAAAAATATTTTCAGGAATTATGCAACTGAAACTTGACATGTTTAATAAGTTCACTACTGACATCATATCCCAAGAATTTTGTTTATCACATATAATCCAAACCCAAGTTAAAAGGGTTCAAAAAACAACGAAGCGCTTCGAGAAAATGTAGTCCCTTGCGCTTCGCTTGGCTCTACCGTGCCCCTAGCCTTAGATATTTTTTTATCAAGAAAGTCAGTAATTATATCCAATATAAAACTTATTAATAATGAAAGTGGAATAACTAGACTTAGTCAGGATGTTCTAACTCTTTTTCTAGCCACAGCAATTCCAAGGGACCAATGGCATTCTTATATTTTAAACAGACGTCAGAACAAAATATATTATTTCTTGCCAATATTCTACACATTCTATTCTCAAAAAATAAAGCTTTTTGAATTCAGAATGTTGATTTTATTCTATTTAAAAATAAAAAGCCGTGTGGTGTCGTGGGACACCCGATAGGAACGAAGTTGTGACGATCGAGTAAAACTGATTCGACACGATTTTAATTACAACGCCATCTATGAAAGCGGCTATTACCTACATATTTTTTCAGTTGGTTTCTAATTAAAACAATTTATACATTGGTATAATCTCCTTGAGAAATGATGTCGAATACAATATTTTTTGCTCAACCTAAGAACATAAATTTTAATTTTACTGAGATGAAAACTGAGATATTCGATAGATGGCGCTGAATGACTGATAAGTGACATAAAAAGTGTCGTTACAACTTTCCGTGAGATTTTTTTCCGTCTAGCGCCCTTTCACAACGCGCGATAAGGAACTTCGTTTAAATAACTTGACACATCTCACACACACTGATCCTAAATTAGACAGAGCCTGTACTATGGTAATCAGACTGCTTATAAACATACTTATATATGTCTAAAAACATATATGATAGATAAGCTATTGTGTACCGGTTTGGGGTGGAGCCACAGAAACAGTCTTCATTCGACTGGAGAGAGCTCAGAGGGCAGTCCTGAAAGTTATGTATTCACGACCACTCAGATATCCCACTAAACTTCTTTATGCAGAATGCAATCTTTTAACTGTCAGACAGCTCTATGTCCGACAATGTGTGATTCGTAAACACTCGTCTCGTCCTCCTACAGAGCCTGATGGAGGACTTAAGTACAGGATTTTTCCCTTGGAGATAGACAGAACTTCTTTCGCTAAGAGACAAAACCATGTCAATAGTATAATGTTATATAACTACCTAAATAAAGTTCTTGGTATATATTCAAAAAATAAATACCAATGTAAAAATATACTCAAAGAATTTCTACTTAAATTAGATTATCGTAACACTGAGGATCTTCTGCTGGGACGCTTGAAATAGTAAATCATACACATACACACATGATCACACTTACATATATACACGCACATACACTCATGCGCGTACACACCCACACCTCACACATACATAAACTCGAACACACATTAGTACACACACAGCAACTAACCCTTTTCCTTACTATTTTCTTAAATGTTATTGTTCTTTTTTGTTTTTTGATCTCAACATATGTATATGGCTTTGTATTTTATCAAAAACAACAGGGGCACTGATTTCTAAAATACAGGTACTAAACCTAGTTAGAGATCAGCGTTTACTAACAGTAGTACATAATTTATATGAACCTCATTTCTGTTTTATAATATGTAGCTTTATTGAGTAATAAAAACATTATTATTATTAAATTTACTGCACGTATGGCGTAGTAGTTTAAGCGGTCGCCACTGCTTCCTACTACGCCGAGTGTTGTTGGTTCAAACCCCACAAGGGACGACACTTTGTGTGATCCACAAATTGATGTTATGAGTCTGGGTGTACTTTGTGTCCGTTTCATGTATGTTTGTAAAGTGCCCTGTGATACAGGATATATTCCTAATGCGGGAGATGTCTTTTTAAATCAAAAAAACATAAAAAAAATACACGCAGACACAGGAAACATTATCGTCTTTATCAAAAAAATTGATTGTTTTTCCTGATTGAGAATCTAACGACGACCTCTGACGTAGCAGTAGTGATCACTAACTTTTTGTTTATTTACTGTGTGAGTGTGTGAAGTGAGTAGTGAAGTACGGCACGCGAGTGCAGTTCATGGGGCCTTGGGTTCGATTCCCGGACGGGACAAAATTTTACAGGGTTTTTCTAAGAGGAAAAATTAGTTACTCTTTATATAGACCTAAATACTCACTACATAGATCTACCTTGTAGTAATATATTATAAAAATTAATTCAAACAGAGAGACAGACAGACAAAAAAAAACTAGTTTTTAGACATAGGTATCGTGCAAATAGCCGTGTGAACATGAAAAAAACCTATTATTTTGACATTACACATAGAGCCTTCCATTTTATTTATTTGTGTAGATACCATAAACTAGCACTACAGACTATATCCAATACAATAGAGTAGGACTAATTAATAATAACACAACAACTAAACCAATAGACAAGCCTTATTACGTAGAAATTTAAGTCGATATTATATAATATATATATATTTATTGTTACAGCATAGGGTACACAGTTTAAGCAGTAAGATGCCGCATAAACTCATTCGGGTTTTTCCGTGTATCAGTGTCATCACTAAAACATATTTATACATACTTAAACAGTTAATTATTCTAAATTAATAAGACAACAAAATCACACACATCACAACATCATTTATCACGGGTGTACTTACATATATCGGAGAAAAGAAATAGGCGCAGTGGTCTCTTTCTGTGAAGCTGTAATGCTCCAGAAAGAGACCGCTGAACGGGATCGGGAGAGGGCCGATCCCGAGCGAAGAAGACGTCGACGACCGTAATGAGCAGCCGACGGGACCGCGGGCCGCCAGAGAGTGGGGACCTCTGGTGGCAGATTAATTGCTGCGGTAGGGGAAAGGATGGCAGCCTGATCGCACTGAAAATGTGATCGGGCTGCAACATCTGGATAGGCTGAGAGGCAGGGAGAAGCCACTGGCTTTCCCTGAGATGGGACCTAGTTAGGTGCGGCGTCGATCTGGGGGACCTGAAATCACATGGCCCGGGTTCTCCCCAGAGCAGGGCGCCTAAGGCTGGCCGTCGGAGTGGTTTTTAGTGGAATCACCACGTACTCCTGGCTCCTATATTCCCAAGGAGCCGGAGATCCGAAGGGATTTTCCACTCCGTCGACAAGAAAAAAAAAAAAGTTCATTTGATTCCCACTGCGTAATACGTCACCGATTACACATTGCCGATCATTGCCGATCGGCGCCCCGATCGCAACAGGTTTTATACAATAACAACGCGATATACAGAGTGATGCATTACAAATAATTAAGGTAATCGATGCAATTTTAATAGTGTAATTATTAATGTCGTAACAAAACAAAAAATAAATAAAAAACATTCATTTCATTATCGACATGTATGCATGCATATAAACGTAAGGCATAGTTATAAATTTTTCGATATATTTAGATATATATATATAAAATATAATATATAATATTCTACCTCATTAACACAACGCCATCTAGTCCCAAACTAAGCAGAGCTTGTACTATGGGCACTAGACAACTGATATAAATACATATATACTTTTTTTTTGTAAATACATACATATTATAAAAACACCCAGACCAAATCAAACATTAAATGTTCATGCACACAAATGTTTGACTTGAGCGGGAATTGAACCCGCGACCTTTGGATTAGCAGTCCGACACACAAACCACCACGCTATCCGGTCGTCAATTATTCTAAGTTTCTTTGGTAAATGAGTCAAGTCATTAACTGTACAAGCCATACGTCTGTAAAATGCATTGTCACTGAACCTCAGAAAAACACAGACACTCGGTAGTTGTAAAAAAACCACTTAAGGAGCATTTCCTGTATTGTTAACCGGAGGACCTTGATGTCCGCCGCATCCTGTGTTTAACTTCATTTTCAATGTATCCCATTTTGTGTAGTGTATTTATGTGTAATAATGTATGTGTTCAGTGTGTTTATTTATATGAATCTGTATATTTCAATTAGTTACCATCATTATCATCATCAACAGCCTATAAAAGCTTACCTTACCACGCTGGTCAAACGGGTAGTTATAGGGTTTGTTTCCTTCCCTTTGCTCTCCCTTAGTAGACTCTTACGACACCCACGGGATGAATAGGTGTGGTGACACTTCGTATTCTTAATCCATCACCACACGGAACACATACCCATAAAAAAATATTTCAGCTGAACCCGTGAATGATGATACTAAGTTTACACTTTTATCGATAGATGGCGCTGTCTCAATTTTAAACAAGGTATTGGTAGGGGTTTGTTATAAGTTTTCCTTCTCTTTACAGTGTTGTTGTCCTGCGTAGTTCGCTCCCTCAGTCGAGTTTTACGACACAGACGGGATGAATAGGGGTGGTGACATTCCGATTGCAACTGCCCATCTGATCCTTAATCTCCTTCTTTTGCCGCAAATTGTACAACTTTTTACTTCTTTTTGATGCATTTTTTTAAAACTGTCCTTAAATCATAAGACTTATACAAACTTTACTATTATTATGTCTTTTGTACAATAAAGAGTTTTCTATTTATCCATCTTCTATCTGCGAGTACTGTCTACCTTTTTTTCTTTTTAATTGACAAGTAAAAATATACTAGACTTAATGTTAGATTCTATAGGATTATTTGTATCATCTTTATTTGCTTCAATAATACAATCGATATCTACTGTGCATCTAACAATAGGAATATGCCATCTGAGGCTAGCATTTAATAATCAGATTTTCATTATGCATATGTCTTTAGATAGATAGATAGGTACTCTTTATTGCACACCATAATTATGATACATGCGATGATACAGACTAAAAAAGAAAAAAACAGTGATACAATTGGCGGCCTTATCGCAGCCTGCGATCCCTTCCAGGCAACCTTTAGATGGACTATACTATGAAGTAAAATGTAGCATGTGGTGCGCATTTACAACTTCCGTATATTAACTAATGTTTACATACATAATTACACATTCACGAATATACATTCATACACTTACATACATATAAATATGAATAGCACATAGTTATTACGGAGATAAATAGTAATCTTTAACGAGTTCTTTAAAAGTACCTACTGACTTTGCCTGCCTTATAGCTTCCGGTATTGAATTCCAGAGGCATGCCGCTTTCACCGTAAAAGACGTATCGGTAAAAGTTGTGGAGTGTGTTGGAATTTCTAAGGTCAAGTTTTTCGATGATCTCAAGTACCGAGTATGGGTATCATGAATAAATGCAAATCGCTTCTTTAAGTAGATAGGGGTTGTAGGATTAAATAGAGTATTATACAGTAATGACAGGATGTGAGTATTCCGGCGAAGCCGAATTGGGAGCCACTTGGGTTTTGTACGAAATTCAGAAAGATGATCATAATTTTTGTTAGTTAGTTAGTTAAAAAAGGCAGCTCTCGCATTATGAATATATTCTTGTGTCGCGGGGGGCTTTACAAACATACATGAAACGGACACGAAGAACACCCAGACTCAGATCAACAATTTGTGGATCACACAAAGTCGTCCCATGTGGGGTTTGAACCCACAACACTCAGCGGCGTAGGAAGCGGCGTGGCGACCGCTTATACCACTACGCCATCCGTGCAGTCTCTGTTAGACAATTACTGTTCAGATTCAGTACAAATGTGTAATTGTTGTCTTTTTAGAGTTGTTTACTCTTAACCAGGAATTCTTGTTGTATATTCATGCCCGTCTGTCGGTTGCGACATATTTAACTTTGTAAACATATTTTTTGTTAGAGTTACGTGTCTAATTTCTACTATTCTTCTTGTGCTCTGTAACATCTTTTTCTCACCTGTCATCTTTCAGAGACTCTCTTTTGAACTCCCTTCGGTGTGTCGGCGTGCCCCCCACGGAGTGCGGTGTGGTCAACGACGGCGTGGCCGCCAGGATTTCTCTGTAACAAGCATATATAGATAAATTTTAATATCCTTGTGGTGACAGATTAAGTATACGAAATGACACCACCTCTATTTACTCCGTGGGTGTTGTACGGGTCGACTAACGGAGCAAAACTACTCAGGACAACAGCACTGCAAAGAGAAGGAAAACTTGACACAAACCCTATACCAACCCATGTAGCCTGCATGGTATAATAGGCCGAAACCTCCTTTCCAAGGAGAGACCTATGTCCAGCAGTGTACTTTTAAAAGCTCTTTGAATTTGGTCTTACTAAGGTAGTAAAGTATGTCTATTACCTTCAACCTTCCACTTTTGCAATTAAAGAAGGAAAATTTTAAGTAAATTCATAGGAAAGGGATGTTTTTTACAAAGATGGATTGAACAGTGCAAGCAATAGCCCGAACAAGTGAAGGTCGCCTACCGTAATTCGAACAGGCTGTTGCAGGGCAGAACAAACCCTCTAACAAAATTGTAAAGGCAAAATTATTCATATTATCGTCTTTAATTATGGTGGATTTGGAGGCGGAAGTGCTCGCTAAACTGCCGACTGAGTTCCGGGCGGACAGCGGGTCGAGCTGAGATAGTTCATTGGTCGTCCCGGCTGGTTTTGCTGACGTGGAGGCGCTCCAGCCGGTTATCCTCGAGTGGGCAGGGCGTCAGCACGCAGTCATAGGAGGAGATCTCTCGCTACCGTCCGTCATACGCTCCATGGCTGGTAGTGATAGTTGTTTTACCGTAGTCGCATCCTTCTGCAAAGACGTCATCTCGCGGAAGGAGGCGGCGAAGAGGGCCCGGGAGGATGATTTCCATTCAGACCCAATTCGCTACCGACGAACCCCCCTCTGAGTCATGCCCCTCTTCCATTCCCCTGACTTTCAACGTCGCCTAAATAGAGAATGTACCCGAAGGTGGTGCCCTCGCTGGGCCGCGGACATTCGCTAGGAGGGGTCCGGATGTCTTAATAACAGCAGTTCCCGGAGCCCTCCTATTACAGGCGCAGAGTGGCACACCGTGTGGTTTTAGTCGGTCCGAAGCCGACACACCACCCCGCCGTAAACCCCGGTGGAGGGACGGCCAGAAAGGGTTTCCACACGTACAAAAAAAAAGGGATTCCGACTTTTAGCATAAAATGTAATAATACAAAACCAAATCATTTTCTTTAATAAATCGTCTTACATACAATTATATCGATTTTTAATGTAATAAAGTATTCAGAGAACACTATGACTACTATTTGTACACTTCAATTGTACACGTGTAGGGAGAAAAACCATTTTCGGTGGGGATAATTAAAAAACAACGTACGTGGGAGCCGGTGAAGCGAATCTTTAGGGATGATTGGTATGTTTATAGAGGTGCTATTACCGACTTTTAAAAAGGTTGTAAGTATCGGTCAATTTTATTTATTACATAGGGTGACAAACAAGCAGGTAACTTGATGGTAAGTGACTACCACCGCCCAGGAATACCTGCAACTCAGGAATCGCAAGTGTGTTACCGTCCTTTTAATCACGGGGGGAGGGGGGGGGGGGGCAGAATCACAGCAAGGGTTTGAGGTCCGTTACCCTCACACACTCGGCGAATAACAATGAAAGAACTGCTTAATACCAGTTTCAAGTTCTCAAAAATGTTTATATGTCAATCCAAAAATATATTTTTAGTATAGAGCTCATACGAGTCGACGGGTTATCTAATAGTAAGTGGCTACCACCGCCCACTACAACTTGCAACAAGGCATTGACTTGCCGGTAATTGACTTCTGAGCATGCTCGTTTCTTAGTACGAGGCTCAAGACACTACCGTATATATCTGTCCTTGTAGTGACGGCTGTCCGTGTAGTGACTCATTAAGAATATGGAATGTTACTACCCCAATTCATAACGTGGCTGTCGTAAGAGCCGACTAAGGGCGCAAAACAACGCAGGACACCAGCACTGCAAAATGAAGGAAAACTTGACACAAACCCTGTATAGTAGAAAAAAACTTCCTTTCTAAGGAGAGGCCTATATCCAGTAGTGGACTATTAAAGGCTGTCGATGATAATGATGATGTAATCGGTCTTTGATTTTGCCTAGTTACAATTAAATCCAACGTTTAAGAATGAGTGAAATTTACGTTCAAAGATTCCGTTACATAGTAACATACATGCCAAGCTAATAAAGCAAAAAAGCAAAAAAGCTTCTTAAAAATATTGAAAGAGGAGGTGGTCTGAATTCCTCTAGACAATGACTCCTAATTTCTTCTTTCTTAGATGCAATAGACTTAACCCTTATTACGTAACTGAAGTATAGTAGTCACGATGTGGGCTTTTAACACGGAATATATATTTAAAGAAAGTGCAGAAGGAACTTTGAAGTTGCGGTATTATCCTCTCTATAAAATTACATGAAAAAACCGTTCATATGTGTTTTAATATTTCAGTTTCAGGATATTATGGCTGACCGGAAGACCGCAACTAATAGCCATTATTATTTTATATGTTACATTACAAAATAAGGTCATCGTATACTGTTTTATTTATGTTAAATTTTGATACTTTATTATGTTCATGAGAAAGTTGATACCTGTTATCCATTACGTCTTTTTATGGTATACTAGCTGACCCGCGCAACTTCGTCTGCGTCTCTCAATAGTAATAAATTTTCTCCGTTTTTGAAACATTCTTTATTGGTGCTCCGCTCCTATTGGTCTTAGCGTGATGATATATAGCCTATAGCCTTCCTCGATAAATGGGCTATCTAACACTGAAAGAATTTTTCAAATCGGACCAGTAGTTCCTGAGATTAGCGATTCAAACAAACAAACAAACAAACAAACAAACTCTTCAGCTTTATAATATTAGTATAGATATACCTGTAGCTAGTGCGTTACGAGCCCTTTGGGTTCCGGCTCTAGGATCAGGGGTAGAGGGGAGGGTTGGAGTTGGAGATTCCGGTAACTTCACTGGCTCGGTGAAAAGCAACGAAAAAATTGCTTAAAACCGGTTTTCTGTGAACTTGTGGTATAACTCAGGTCGAGCCTTTCCCAAGGTGTCATGGACAAACCGTCACGTGTAGTTCCAAAACCCGGTTCGAAGTCGTACATGACTTATTGAGTCTCCATCAATAAATCTCTCTCACTCTCTCTAACTCTGTAAGGTTCGTACCTTATCCATCACAATACCTTAACAACAATCAAATTGCCTGTTAGTCTAGTAATTTGTGACCCTAACTGTTAAGCTGTAGGTCTTTGGTTCGATTCCCACCCAGGATAAATATTAACGTGCTGAGCACGATCATTTGTTCTGTGTCTGTGTATAATTTATCATTAATATGTAAGTATTTAGAAATGTTTGTCAGCAGTCTGGTTCCTATAGTTCAGACGGGTCACCTGATGGTAAGCAACTACTGCCGCCCATGGAAACCTGCAACTCAAAAGTCACAAGTGCGTTTCGGCCCTTGGAGTCCCACCCGCTCGAGTCAGCGGGAGGGGGGATTTGGGCTCCGGTAACCTCTCACTCAGTGAAAGACAACGAAAGAATTGCTTAACACCGGTTTTCTGTGAGGCCGTGGTATCACTCCGGTCGAGCCGGCCCATTCGTGCCGAAGCATGGCTCTCCCACGGTAAAACTCTCCCTGGCTTGGTATCAGACTGCCGTGTGTGAGATGTCTAAAGTTATTATATTATTTACTTACCCTGTATTCCGACCCTTTCAATGAAAAAAAATCATAATTTAATATTCATTTGTATTCATCCCGAATTCAAAGTAAAATAAGGACTTAGTTAAAAGGAATATTAATAAAACAAGAATACCCTAAAGAAACCTTTTGAAGCAGCATGGGTCTACTGAATTTTATATAAATGCTATTGTTACGCCAAGCTGAGGGTTTTCGTGAACATTTTGATGGAAACAGCATTCCTATCGCAAGTTTAGTCAATGGTTCTTAATAGACAACTATTTATATGCATAAATGATATGAATGTGTTTAGTAATTGTTGCAGGCGTTCATGGGCGGAGGTAGTCGCTTTCCATCGGGTTACCCGCCTGCTCGTTTACCAATTACCATTAAAAAAAAAACTACCCGTAATTATTGCCACAGATATTCGTGTTACAACCGGGACCGACGCCTTAACGTGCTCTTCAAGGCACGGGGGGGTCTCAAAGTGTTCAGAAATAGTCACCCATGCATTGACTGACCTGGCTAGAATTGCTTAACTTTAAAATGTGTTAACGTTCCCCCTTTTTTTTTACCTTCCTATTAGTAAAGATACATTTAGGTTGAGGGGCTCAGACTGCAGCCATTTTGTTTACAAATATATGCGGACCTTGAACTCTTCGAGCTATTACTTCCACTCTTCAAAGCATCCCTATAAGCAATATCCCAGTCCTGAAATTCCCTTCTCTTCTTTTACTTTCATATGGCACTTCCAATTTTTCTCATTTGATTCTTAAAGTACCCGAGAGAAGGCAATAGACGTGTCTCTATTACGAAACTTGGGCTAACATTATAGACAGCAAAATTACGGTTTACTATAGCTCTGCGTACCCTGTACAGTAAAATTATTTTTATTACACGGATGGCGTAGTTGTTTAAGCGGTCACCTCGCCGCTACCGCGATGAGTGTTGGGGTTTCAATCCCCACGTGGGAAAATACAATTTACAAATTGTTGTTCCTAGTAAGGGCGTTCTTTGTGTCCATTTCATGAATGTTTGTAAAGTCCCCCGCGACACAGGATATATTCCTAGTGCAGGAGTTGTCTTTTTAGAAAAAGAAATAAGAAAATAAAACAAGATATAAATATATGATGATGATGCAGCAGAAATAACAAGAAATGGACTGAAAATCACAATAAAATCGGACCTATTTATTCGAGCGCGATCCACATTTACTAAATTTCCGCCGTATTGTACAAAACAAAATGGCGTATAAAATAAATATGGATTGTCAGGTTACCAAAGGCTTCCGAATCCAATATGCAAATTCTCCTTTTTGTATCTCCCGGAATAGTTGGCTAATTCGTCTATCAGTGTTTTGTGTTCCAAAAGCTTATACTTTGTTGAACACAAAATGTTACTACCCCAAGTCGTTTTTTGTGGCATTCGAGAGGGGTTGTCTCGGTGATATTCGAGGACAATACGGCAAAGTGGTATTTACTTATTTTATTTATTTGTTCATTATTATTGTATACCCGATTTAAACCGACTGAAAACGGACAATGTCCCGTCAGCGAGTATCTTTATATATATAATTCTTCTGTGAGTGTGTATGTCACTGAACTTCTCTCAAACGACTAGACCGATTTTGATGAAATTTTTTGTGTGTGTCCAAGGGGATCTGGGAATGGTTTAGATTCACAATTTTGAATGGTAAGGGTGGCCCATCCCTAATTTTTTTTTTTGTTGCAATACAACGTTTGCCGGATCAGCTAGTATTATATAAGATTTGATGACACTTAAAACTGAGTCACGATAATTAATTCAACATTCTGTTAAAAAAAGTTACGACAAAGGTTCGCCTTCATTAACGCACTGTTAGGACTTCATTTATCTTAAATGTCTTTCGGTACCCTTGATAATGTGTACAAAAATTTCATAATTTATTAGCTTAGTAGTTAGGACGAGAAAGTGTTCTTATAATTTTACTAAAGTCTTTAAGTATGTCAGTTTGACGTTGGTCTTGTTCAAAGTATTTTGGCGAATCCAAAGAAGGAAATTGCAATGCGGTTGTGTGCTTTGGTGGAAGTCTGCCACAACAATCATCAATAATTCCCTTTTATTTTATTTCACTTAGTAAATATTAAAGTATGTTGTGTTGGGTATGATAAGGTACGATGGGGTTGGCGTATTCCCGTGGATAAAGACCCCTTATTAAAAAAAAAACATATGTCACACATACTGATTAAATAGTTATTTGGAAAAGGGGCACCGAGATTGCAAGAATTACGCTTGCCAGCAAACTTATTATGGACAACAGACGCGCGTTCAGTGTGACATGTGTCACACCTTTACAAAAGCCGTATCACTCTCCGGTCTAGCCAGCTGAAGTATGGCTCTGCCACGGTAGGAGAGAAGTGGATGGAAGAAGAAAGGTAGGTCATAAAATCCGGAACTAAAATGCCTCACTATGTGACAGATGTTCCTGAAAGTGTATTACTGACCTGAGTTCTCTCAAGAATGCTCCGAAGAACGGAATGAGCCTGCATTCTGGCATCGCCAGCGCTCTTCCCAGGGCTCTCTCATACTCAGCAGAGAGAAGAGCTGCTGACAGAAAGTCCAGCGCTGGTAGAGGCTCATCAGAAATGCTGAACCAGAAGGATTTCAACTTGTTGGATCTGTGAAAGAACGGAACAGAGTTTTTGTTAATTACATTGTGAAATCCTAGAACGCTAGAACAGCCCATAAACAAATTTTTCCCAGTCCTGACAGATTGGTTAAGTACTAATACATTCGGTAATTGAATTGTGGAAAGAAGTAGTAGGTATGATAAAGTAAATTATAACTACACAAACCTGTTGAATAATGACAAGAATAATATTATATACCTATAAAACTTATTTTTATATGTTTTTGCATACAATTTCATGGCTAAACTAACTGGTAGCCGCGACATCGGTCCATACTCTCCCACGTTAGATTTAAAAAGGAGAGGAAAATTAACCTAAGTTACTCCTTATATAGACAGCAATCTGGTAGTAAAATATTATCAAAATCGGTCCAGCCGTTTAGAAGATTACCCGCAACAAATAGACAGACAGATAGACGGACAGACAAAAAAAATATTAAACTGAACATTAAAAAAACCTATTATTTTGACATTACAAACAGACACTTCAATTTTATTTATTTGTATAGATTTGTATAGATGTATAGATGGGATGTTCGGTTTATATCAAACTAGCTGCGACCCGCGGTGTTACCCGTATTTGTTGTTATAACCGCGGGCAACGCCGCGGGGCGAAGCTGGTCTAAAAAAAGTAGCCTAAGTTACTCCTTATGTCATCAGCTATCTGCCAGTGAAAGTCCCGTCGAAATCGGTCCAGCCGTTCCAGAGATTACCCGGAACAAACAGACAGACAGACAGACAAAAATTGTAAAAAATGTAATTTTGGCATATGTACCGTGTAAACATACATATGCATTTAATAAAAAGCGGTTATTTTAATATTACAGACACTCCAATTTAATTTATTTGTATAGATTAGTAATACTAACATTATGTATTACCCCATTTAAAGTTAATAAATCAAATCAAATCAAATCTATAAAGCATTTATGTGTGTACATAGTTGTTACTTAGGTAGAATATAGGGCTCAACATGAAGCCCTGTTAGGGCACACCAAAAATGTTAAAACTAAATAGGTAAAAATGATAAATTATCAAATTTTTCATTTTTTACACGCTCATTAATATAAACAATTTGAATTCCCTCCTATTTTCTTCTCTTCTGAATTTAACTTATGTTTAACTATTCTGTTTCCTCAACGCGGCTTGTCGGTTGATCTTACTTGCGTTTAAAAGTAAAAAAACATTTTATTTTTCTATTAAATTCTGTATATTTAGGGAGGAAATTTTCATCTACCCTCCAGCGCTGATAAATTCATTGGCTCATTACTTCGTATCTAAATGAATAAAAGATGGATATTTTTGATCATTATCTCCCTTCAACGCCAAGAGTGTTATTAAAAACATGTTAGGGAGAATCTATGGAGTTTAGGAAAGCCTTTTTTTGGTGGAGGGAGGAGCGGAGGGAATAAAATGAGAGGACAGGATCTGTTAGTTAGAAAAGAGTATATATTTATGGTATAGTGGTCCATGGTGGTAGTGGTAATTTAATTAAGGGGTGGCAATCAAGGGGTGAGTCGGCAAAGCACTCTTGATTATCGAGTTGGTGTCGGTGGTGTAAGTGTCAATTAGCGGCAATAATCAATACCATCAGCTGCTCCGTCTCCTCAATTGCCCCCCCCATACCATACTTCCACTTATACTATACATACGACGACCGGATGGCGTAGTGGTTTGTGTAACGGACTGCTATTCCAAAGGTTGCGGGTTCGTTTCCCGCTCAGGTCAAACATTTAATGTTTGATTTGGTCTGGGTATTTCTATGTATAATATGTATGTATCTACAAAAAAAAGTATATATGTATTTATATCAGTTGTCTAGTACCCATAGTACAAGCTCTGCTTAGTTTGGGACTAGATGGCGTTGTGTCAATGTGGTACAATATTATTATTATTATACAATACGCTTTTCTTTTGGTTACAACCTGTATCTTATCTTATATATAAAATTCTCGTGTCACAATGTTCGTTCCCGTACTCCTCCGAAACGGCTTGACCGATTCTCATGAAATTTTGTGTGCACATCGGGTAGGTCTGAGAATCGACCAACATCTATTTTTCATACCCCTAAATGGTAAAGGTGACAGATCCCTAATTTTTTTTTGTTTTGCAATACAACGTTTGCCGGGTCAGCTAGTATACATATAAAATTCTCGTGTCACAATGTTAGTTACCATACTCCTCCGAAACGGCTGGACAGATTTTTATGAAATTTTATGTGCACATTGGGTAGGTCTGAGAATCGGCGAACATCAATTTTTCATACCCGTAAATGACAAGGGTGACCCACCCCTAAATTTTTATGTTCAATATTTCCTAGAAATAATGTATATGGCAAATCAACGTTTGCCGGGTCAGCTAGTTGATCATAAAAATTTCATTGTACTTTTTACTTCTAAAAACAACACCGTTTATTTAAATCCTATATACTGCCATCAAGTCCCATCAAATTTAACCTGTTTATCGTAAAATTTCGATCCGAATAATTTGGCCCAAATAAAATATTTACACAGCCGAGCATCAAAACTAGGACATCGTAATGTCCCTCGACCATAATTCTATCACCATCTTGTATTCTAATACGACGGTCGGGGTCTCAGGACACGTGCGCTGAGGTCATCCTGGATCAATAAACTACTCAGATGTTACATCACTAGATGTGTCAGTGTTTTTGAAGTGAAAACTTCTTCAGGAGCGTAGGGCATTTTAGAACAACAAACAAAGTAATGTATTTTTTTAGATGAGAAAAAAACCATTGAACTCGCGACACTGTTACCGTGACCGACACCTCTGATATATGAAACCCACATTTCCAATATCACACAGAATATTGACTTGAAAATTTCTTAGATTTCCCCATAAAAACTAACATAATATCCACAAAGCGTACACTTGGACCACATCCTTATCGCTGACTAGTACAGGCCTACTACGGGCCCGCAAGCTTCGCGATGCGTTACGATACGATACGGTTTTTGTGACATTCATAAACAATCTACAAAGACGAAGACGTGATGAATATCTACGTTATACGAAAGCCGAAAGTAGATTGATTAGTATCCAGGGTAGTATACTAATAGTACGCGTTGCGTCTGTGTGCATGTACAATATTAATGTGGGTGTTCAATCTCAAGTTCTAACGCTTGGGGACTACAGTCTCAACCCATAATTGACTTCTCTTCTTCTTCTCTCATTTTTGCGACCAGGCCGCCATCCTATCGCCTACCGCAGCAGTTAATCTGCCATCAGAGGTTCTTCCATCAAACCTAAGACTAAAGAGACAAAAACTTTTGCACACACAACTCTCTCAGTTGTGTGTGCAAAAGAATTTAAGAAAATATAAATATACAATTTAATAAGTACAGAAATAGAAATATAAACAAAATATCATGTAAATAATTATTGTAATGTGTGTAAATAGATAGTCTTGTGAGGTATAGAGCTAAAGTTACTTTTACAATTCTTTCAAAAACTTTCATGGTTTTGTAAGGTTTATCCATTTAAAAGTAGTCAATAATAATAATAACTTCACTCATGGCAGTCTGATCCCAAACTAGGCAGAGTCTGTACTATGGCAACCAGACAGCTGATAAACATACTTATATATTTCTAAATACATACATATATTATTATAGATAAATTACACCCAGATACAGAATAAAAGATCGTGCTCATCACGTAACTATTTGTCCTGGCAAATCGAACCCACGACTTCTTTTTTAACAGTCGGGGTCATTAATGGCTCTACCAACAGGCCAGTCCAATAAATTTTGAAAACGATTAATTCTAAGCCAGACCCAGTAACTTTAATTCTGTATACATGTGAAATATTTTCTTTATTAAGTCTTGTCCGCCCGGCTAGAGAGACAGGGAACAGGAAATGTCCGGATTCTCTCCCTTTGTCACAGACAGAAACAGCTCATACATTTTATGTAAAGAATTCCTGTCTTGGGTTTCCTTGTATAAATTTATATTAGCTGACCCACACCTTCGTCTGCACCTCTCAGAAGGAATAAATTCCCCGTGAAGCATTTTTCATTGATACTCGACTCCAATTACCAGTACTCGTACAATTACCAATACTCGACTCCAATACCAGTATTTTATTTAATAAAGCTACCCCAAATGATGTCCGCAAAATCATCAAAACATTAAATACTAGAAAGGCACCAGGCACAGACAATATTACGGTTGCAGACATTAAACATATAGAAAACTATGTTGCTCCAACTATTTCAGATCTAATTAATCAGAGCATTAGAACTGGTTCCTACCCTAATAAACTAAAAGAAGGTTGTGTCCGACCATTGCATAAAAAGGGAAGAACAGATGAGTACGGAAACTATAGGCCTATTACGATACTTTCTTCAATAGACAAAATTGTGGAAAAATACGTATGTGATCAGATACATAGTTTTTATAGGAAACATTCGGTAATTACTCCTCACCAGTACGGATTTCAATCAGGTAAGAGTACAACAAGTCTATTATCAAAATTCACAGACGATATCAACACACACCTAAATGAGAAAAGACAAGTGTTAACTCTTTTCATCGACTTTTCACGTGCCTTTGATACGCTGGTACATGAACAGATAATAGACAGGCTAGACAATTGTGGGATTCGTGGTCCTTTGCTAAATTGGTGTCAAAATTACTTGAAAGATCGAACATTTTCAGTTAAAGTGAATAACGAATATAGCAAAACAGTGTCGGTTACGGAGGGAACGGCGCAGGGTTCGGTGCTTGGACCGCTGCTGTTTTTATCCTACGTCAACGATATGGGTAATTGCATTGTCAATAGTACATGCTATCAGTTCGCGGATGATACTTGCCTTGTTATTGGAAATAAAAATCCACAAGCGGCATGTGATCTTCTGCAGTCTGACCTAAATGTCCTAACAAAATGGTGTCATGATACAGGACTTGTACTAAACGCTAGCAAAACAAAATTAATGATCATCAAATCTCCGTATGTTAAACAGTTGCACATCAAAAACCTAATCGCACACGATCATAGTTGCTTACATACTAAAAGTACTACATGTTGCTGTCCACAGATTGAAATAGTTGAGAAATATACATACCTTGGAATTGTAATAGATAATAAATTTCACTGGAGTCAACATATTGAGTATGTATGTACAAAATTAAGACAATTTCTAGCAAATATTACAATTCTTAACAACCGTATTCCATTTAAAGTAAAATTGCTGTTATTTAATGCACTTGCACAGTCTCACATTCAATATGGACTTAGCAGCTATGGCCGGACTTACAAAACATACCTGGACCAGATTTATAATTTACAAGTAAAGATCCTTAAAATTATTGTTTCTAATAATATAAAATCCAAATTCCAAGACAATCCCAATGGTCTTTTCAAACACTGCAAAAGTTTACCGATACATAAACAAGTACATTTTAATATATTAAAAGAACAATTTTTTAATGAATCATTGAAATCACCAATGGAACATTCTGTATACACTCGTGCTATCTCTAAGAACCGGTTGTGTACTTCACGCGCCAACAATACTTACGGCAAGCGAACCACCAACTACCTTGTACCTCGATTTATTAATAACTTGCCACATGAATTAGTTAATAGTGTAACCGACAAAAATATTAAATGTAAACTAAAGCAATACTTCCTTAACCTAATGTAGCTATTATTATTTGATTATTGTGTAGTTATGTAATGTTTTCAAAGCACACAGTACTCGTAATTAGTGTACCATATAGTGGACAAATTTTAGTATATAACTACCCTCATTCACTTACATTGTAATAAAGTGTAAACTCTCGACAGCTCAAACATAAACCTATGTGGTTTCTCCAGAAGCTGTCGTTTGGTACATTTTCTCTGTCAAGTTGTTTTATGTG